AAATATGATACTTGAAAAACGATCGCCACTTCGCTTCACTTTCGCGCGTCTATAACTCCGTTGTCTTTGAGTTTAAACTATTAGTGTTATACATTTTCTGAAAGCTCTTTTCAAGGGCTACACAATGGTAATATTAATATTTAGAAATACGGTAAAGACAAGGGAGTTACAGACGCGCGAAAGTGACGATCGTTTTTCAAATATCATATTTCATTGTCCAGTAGTGTATCTATATCTAAAGCTATATCTAAATCTAAATCTAAATTTAAACCTATATCTAATCTAATCTAATCTAATCTAAACTAATCTAAATCTAAATCTAAATCTCGAAAAATCAAATCAAAAAAAAGCCCTCCGGGACTCGAACCCGGGACCATCCGGTTACCATCCAACCGTGCTAACCACTACACCACGACGCACTTGTTCTCCCTTAATCTAGAGGGAGTTAAATACTTTTCTCAAAGCTTTAATTTCCTTTTCAAGATGTACTTTGTGCTCGATTGTAAACGTACAGCTTCTAGTTCCTTGAATTCTTCATTTTTTTAGCATTTATCTAAGGAAAATGAAGAATTTAGTGCACTAGAAACGTAGCGTTTACGTTTCAACACAAAGTTCACCTTAAAGAACGAATTTTGAGCTTAATTTTGGTCGAATTTTTGGTGAAATCTTGGGTTACTACCGTTTTCAGCTATTCGGTTATTACAAGCCAGAAGGGATGCGTTTACAAAGCTAAGCTCAAAGTACACTCTCCTAAGCCAAAAATACATCTCTTTCAAGCTAGAACTCCGCTGCAATTTTTTTCTGGATTTTTTTTGGTGTAAAAAATTTTCCCCGAATATTCTCATGAAAATCACGAATCTAAATCCTTGTCTAGCTTTGGGAAAAGCATAAAATTGGCTTTGTTACCGGGTTTTTGGTTCATTGAACCCGGGAAAAAGGTCGACGCGTCTAGCTCAGTTTTGGGGAAATTGGTTGTCATAAAAATTGACTTTAACGCTTTTTTTTCTTTCAGTTCTTTCAGACTTCAGGTTTAAATCATTAAACTAAAGTCAAATTCTCTAAAAACCCAATTCTCGTAATAGTTTCCAACTAAAAACCACAAAAACTATTTTCTTTTTTGTCTGGGGTACTTGGAGTGCAAATTTCATTGTTCGAAGATTTGCATAACGATGACACCAGTCAATTTCGGAAGAGCGTAACACTGCTCAAGCTTGAGACGCTTGCCAGATGACTGTCTTCACAGGCGGGGGTCGAACCCTCGATCTCTGCAACCCCCATCGGGGCGAGAGGGCGCGCTTTGCCACTACACCACGGGTGCATCGTGGCGGGGTCTCTGGGAGTCGCCTAAATCCGCGGGAAGGAGGGAAATTGAAATGGAAAGGTAAAATCGTTAAAATCTTCAATAATACTCAAATTTTCTTTTAAAAATGTTCTTTAAATGCAAATTTTCGAATGTAAAGCCTTATTTAAATGCAAATTGACTTTCAAATGCAAAAGCTTTATCGCCAAATTCCTTTTAAATCAAAAATTTCTTTAAATCCATTGTTTATGATATTTTATTTTATTATTTTTATTAATAAACTTATTTTTAATAAATAAACTTATTTTTATCACTGAATTTTTGGTTTTAAAGCGAAATTGACGGATTTTAGCTAAAATTGGTTAGTTTCTAACGAAATTTGCTAGTTTTTAACTAAAATTTGTGAATTTTTGACGAAATTCGTTAGTTTTTAATGAAATTCATTAGTTTTCAGCTAAAATCGATTAGTTTTTAACGAAATTTGCTAGTTTTTAACGAAATTCGGTAGTTTTTAATGAAATTCATTAGTTTTTAACTAAAATTTGTTAGTTTTTAACGAAATTCATTAGTTTTCAGCTAAAAGTTGTAGTTTTTAACGAAATTTGCTAGTTTTTAACGAGATTCATTAGTTTTCAACTAAAATCGGTTAGTTTCTAAAGAAATTCGTTAGCTTTCAGCTAAAATTCGTTAGTTTTTAACGAAATTTGCTAGTTTTTTAACGAAATTCGTTAGTTTTTAAAGAAATTCGTTAATTTTTAACTAAAATTTGTTAGTTTTTAACGAAATTCGTTAGTTTTCAGCTAAAAGTTGTAGTTTTTAACGAAATTCATTAGTTTTTAACTAAAATTTATTAGTTTTTAACGAAATTTGCTAGTTTTTAACGAAATTCATTTGTTTTTAACTAAAATTCGTTAGTTTTTAACGAAATTTGCCAGTTTTTAAAGGAATTTGTTAATTTTTAACTAAAATCCGTTCGTTTTCAGCTACAATCCGTTAGCTTTTAACGAAATTCATTTGCTTTCAGCTGTTTTCGTTAGTTTTTAGCTGAAATTTGTTAATTTTTCAATTTTCAGCTGAAATTCGTCAATTTTTCGCTAAAAAATTGTTTAATTACGTATTTTTGTACTTTTTTTTCCTTCACTCTTCATTCTGAGTGGAAAAATCAAAGAAAGAAAAGACTTTTTTCTCATTTTTAAGACAGCTGCTCATGACAAGTCTCTTCTTTTCTTTGTTTTTCTTTTTAAAAACGACATTCTTTGAAGGAAATCGATGAAACTTTGCGAAATATTCGACTTTTCAATCATTCAATCGATCAATCTTTTCGAGAAGAGCATTTTTTAAATGTAAAACCTCTTAAAGACTCTTAAAAACTCAACTTCTTAAAGACTTTTTTGATTTCTTTTTTTTTGTTGAAAGTTTTTGAGAAATTTTTCCAGAAAACATTCAAAGCTATCAAGTATAAAAGCTTTGTTTTTCTTTGAATTTACATGAAATTTGTAAAACAATTAACGACTATGCGATTTTACAATAAAAATCTCGTTTGTTAAGCTCGACTTTTCACAATTTATTCAATTTCAAATCTCTTCCGATTTTTGATAAAGCTTAATCTGATTTTGATAAATCTCCAAAAATGTTCAAGATTAGTTTTAAACATTCATAAATTCAATTCTAGACTTTAAAGGGGAAGAATATTGTTGAAATATTATTACCTTGATGCTGCAATAGTACCCCAGCGCTATAATAACATTGCGGAGTGTTGGGAAGTGTTGGGAAGTGTTGCGGAGAATTGCGGAGTGTTGCGGAGAGTTGCGGAGAGTTGGGGAGAGTTGCGGAGAGTTGCGGAAGTGTTGGGAAGTGTTGCGGAGAGTTGCGGAGTGTTGAGGAGAGTTGCGAAGTGTTGCGGAGAGTTGGGGAGAGTTGCGGAGAGTTGGGGAGAGTTGCGGAGAGTTGGGGAGTGTTGGGGAGTGTTGCGGAGAGTTGGGGAGAGTTGCGGAGTGTTGGGAAGTGTTGCGGAGTGTTGCGGAGTGTTGCGAAGTGTTGCGGAGAGTTGCGAAGTGTTGCGGAGAGTTGCGAAGTGTTGCGGAGAGTTGCGAAGTGTTGCGGAGAGTTGGGGAGAGTTGCGGAGAGTTGGGGAGTGTTGCGGAGAGTTGCGGAGTGTTGGGGAGAGTTGCGAAGTGTTGCGGAGAGTTGCGAAGTGTTGCGGAGAGTTGCGGAGTGTTGCGGAGAGTTGCGGAGTGTTGCGGAGAGTTGCGAAGTGTTGCGGAGAGTTGCGGAGTGTTGCGGAGAGTTGGGGAGAGTTGCGGAGAGTTGGGGAGCGTTGCGTAGTCTAGCTTTGAACGCGTTTTTCTTGACACTTGTTTATGCTAGAATGAGCGCTTAGATGTCAAAAAATAGCTGAAATTCGCTATTTTTGATGTCAAAGACTTCACCAGAATTGCTCTTTATAAAATGAACTTTGACAAATTCTTTTCCTTTATTTATTCTGATAGATTGCAATTTTTTGGCCTTGAAACGTTACACCAAAGCCGCCTTTAAAGAGAGAAAAACATTGTACAAATCTTATCACATTGCAATAGTACATTGCGATACTGCAATAGTACTCCAATGCTATAATAACGTTGCGGAGTGTTACGTAGTCTAGCTTTGAACGCGTTTTTCTTGTGATATTCCACCATGGCTAGATTTAAAGCCGCTTCGGCAATTGCTTTGACTGCTGCTTTGTTGAGGTATTTAGTTATCTTTTGGATGTGTTTTGAGTGATGTTCTGGGTGATTATTATGATCTTGTTTTGTCGCTATTCAACTCAATAAAGCCTATGCAAAACACCCATCTTTTTGAAAGTGTTTGAAAAAGATGAAATACGAAAAAAGGTTTTGCGACTACGTGACTGTACTCGAATACTGTAAGTACTTACGGTACGTATTCAATTCAATTTCATTAATCATTTTGCCATTTCATTTTGCCAAATTATTCCACACAGTTTATCGTTGATGCAATTCTTTTTTTTTTTGCAAATTACAATTCAATTCTAACTATCAGAAGAGATCAGAAAATATTATTTTCTCATCATTTCCTGACTTGCTTTTTTTGAACTAAAAACTTTACAGCATCGTCGCTTTGTCATTGATTTAGTCGAAACTTTCAAAATCCTCCGTTGTAAACAGATTAGCCCTTTGTTTATAGACTTTTTCAAATTTAAACCGCGGTCAGGGCCCAGAAGTGGCTCATTCCTTTTGCAAATTCCCTTTGCTTCCAATGCCTCTTTATCAAATTCATTTCCCGTTAGAGCCGCTAGATTATGGAACTTGCTCCCAAACGACATACGAGAAATTCAGTCGCTTTTCATATTCAAGAAACGTATCAGATGCTTTAGATCTAGTGGCTCTTTGCCGTAAGTAATTGGCTTATTGATTTCAGTATGTATTGTATGATTAAGTATCACTGTGCATTTCTCTATGATTTCTTTCACTTTATCGTTTGAATAAAGTATTATTATTATTATTATTATTTCCCGTAATTTCTCAGCAATTAAATAATTTCTTTTCATTTATTTCTTTTTTTATTGGATTTTATTGGATTTTATTGGATTTTATTGGATTTCTTATTGAATTTTTAGGCTTTGAAGCTAGATTTTTAACATTAATTAATGTTTTAAAGGTTTCCTTTTTATTTAAATTCTAAAATTCGAATCAATTCAGGAATGGAGACCTCTGTGGCGCCAAACAGAGACGGCGACAGTCCACAGACATACTCGATTCTCAGCTACCTCTTCGAGAATGAGGATTTCGATGTGTATTTGCTGAAAATCAAATAGTAAGTTCGCAACGCTGGCCAATTTCAGCTTGCCAAACAAAATCTAAAACATTTTATAGACAAATAGACTATCGATATCGATAAAATCCTTTCCAGCCTTGCCTCCTTTATCGTCCCGATTTTTTGCGTCTTCGGCATGGCCGGCAATTGTATGGCGTTGATGTTGATTCGGTGAGTACAAAAGAAAACGATGTACGATGGTTTACAGTGTAAAGACAGAGGTTACGATAGTCGGGATGCGCTTTTGAGCAACTATTGAACATTTGATAAGCGCCTGGTCTCTTTTGCTAACTTTAAGCTCAAATTCCTTGGCTTTGGGCTGTTCAATTGAAATCTTTTTGATATCATTAGATGCGTCAAGTCTTTCTCTATCAATTGGTATAAATACTATTGAAGTTGGACAGATGAGCACCAAGAAATTTGAGTTTAAACTTATGGCAATGGGAAAAGGGGCGGGGCGTGTATAAAAGGTTCGTCGCCCCGCCCCCTTTGCCATTGTAAATTTTGAGCTCAAATTTCTTGGTGTTGGGTTGTTCAATTGAAATCTTTTTGATATCATTAGATGCGCAAAGTGGGCGGGGCGCGGCGGCGCGGCGCGTATAAAAGGTAAAAGGTAAACTAGAGTCAGTCTACAATAGCCGGAACACTTCTTAAGAAGACATTCGAATGGTACTTTAATCTTAATCGGAACATTTGCCCGTGACAAAGTGGGCGGGACGGGGCGTGTATAAAAGGTCGGTCGTCCCGCCCCCTTTGCCATTGCTATAAGTTTAAGCTCAAATATCTTGGTGTTGGGCTGTTCAATTGAAATAGTTTTTCTACCAATCGATAGAGAAAGACTTGACGCATCTAATGATCCCAAAAATATTTCAATTGAACAGCCCAACATCAAGAAATTTGAGCTCAAAGTTATGGCAATGGGAAAAGGGGCGGGGCGACGGCTTTTATACGCGCCGCGCCCCGCCCACTTTGCCATGAGCATGTAAATGTTTCGATTAAGATTAAGAAACCATTTGAATGTCTTCTTAGGAAGTGTTCCGGCTATTTTAGACTGACTCTAGTTTACCGATTACGATTTGGAAACAAAGAAAAGCTATTTTTGAATGGTTTTTTCTTTTCATCAGCTTTTCATGAGCTTTTTCGATGTTCAGGACAAATTTCTGGCTTCGTCGTCTCACGTCAAATGCCTATTTATCAACACTTTCTGTCTCCTCATGTCTTTTCTTGTTCACCGTTTTCGTCACTTGGATGGACAATCAACACAACGTGCCATTGTATAACAATTCGGAGATCGGGTGCAAAGTTGGTCAAAGTTCTACCGTAAAATGCAGAATTATCTATTAAATTGAGTACTAAATCTTGCACCGTTCATTTTATTACCGTAATATCTCTAATAGTAGTGCCTCCGTCTATAATGACCGTCGGAGCATTGCGTAGTCTAGCTTTGGAAGCGTTTTTCTCGTCACTGGTTTATAATAACGGTCGGAGCATCGCGTAGTCTAGCTTTGGAAGCGTTTTTCTTGACACTGGTTTATAAGGAAGGCCGGAGCGTCGCGTAGTCTAACTTTAAACGCATTTTCTCGTTACTTATTTATAATGACGGCCGGAGCATCGCGTAGTCTAACTTTAAACGCATTTTTCTTGCCACTGGTTTATAATGATGGTCGGAGCGTCGCGTAGAGTCTAACTTTAAACGCATTTTTCTCGTCATCTGTTTATGCTACAGTGTCCGCTTAAGTATCAAATGAAAGCTGAAATTCAGGGCTATTTTTTCATACCAAAGACGCATTTTTTGAAAGTACGAGTGCTTTGCAAAAAGATGGTTTAATAAAAAATGATTTGCGACGACGCGATAATTATTTGTACGGGGGGGGAAGCGGTGCTATTAGAGGTATTACGGTATCTAAATAAAGATAATCAAAAAATGTTCCCCCGCACATTTGTAAGTGTTTCATTTTCTAAATGAAATTTAAAACAAAATTTCTCATGTAAAGTATTTTGAAGTTGAAATTTTGATGAACATTTCTATAAGTAATTAATTAATTAATTGGATCAAAAATTTCCAGCCGAATTCGAGACAAATCGATTGCCTCATTGCATGCCTCATTGCCCCATTTAACGGGAAATTTTGCTAAAAAATGTGACAGAGATTGATCTTTTTTTTTTTGCTTAGAAACTTTAGACGCTTCTAACTTCTGGCAGATTGTCATTTAGCAAAAATGGAATATAGATTCGGAATCAGCATAAAATTCTGCGTCGAATGATATAGGTTGTGTGTCATTTGGCCGGTCAGTTGACCTTCCCTAGGGTCAAATCTCGAAATGGGTGAGAAAAAGGGTCGATCAAGCATCGTTTAAAGAGCTGGGATGTGAGCTATTAAGCCTACCATTAACTAGATATTCCCTGCCATTGCTTATTCCCCTCCAATGATATTTCAAAGAGGTATAGGTTTTCTGTCATTTGACTCTCAGTCAAATGACTCAGTTTGACGCTCAGTCAGTTCAAGAGTTATAAAATTGAGCTTTTCTAGATTTTTACCTATTTGGCTCACGCGTGTGACTTCATTTGCGTTTGGATGATTTCTTGGGTCTCCTGCGATCGAATTATTGTCCTATATCGACCTGGTAAATCATTTTCTTTCAAGAAAATTGGTTAGTGACTCGGCTAGTTGAGCTTAAAACGAATTAAAATCAAATTTTCAACATCAAAACATTATCTAACTTGGTTAAAAACGGTTTTTGAATAATTCTAAAGAAAATGAATCAAAAAAAAGTGTTAACTTTTTCTTTTAGGCATTAGAAAATGGGTTTGCACGAAAAAGTTCAGTCGTCGAATGGTTCTTTGCACGATTCTCATCTCATTAACCTTCTATTCTTGGTTTGTATTTTAAAAATAGGATAAATTTAACAAATAGATATCGTAAATACTGTAATAGTACCCCAGCCCCATAATGACGGCCAGAGCATCGCGTAGTCTAGCTTTGAACGCGTTTTTCTCGACACTGGTTTAAGCTACAATGCTCGTTTAGGTATCAAAAAATAGCTCTGAATTTCAGCTATTTTTTGATACCAAAGACGAATTTTTTGAATGTACGGGTGCTTTGAAAAACAATGAAATACTAAAAAGCTTTTGCGGCTGCGACTACGCGACTGTACGAGGGGGTTAACCAATTATAGTATTTACGGTATCAAAATCTACATATATCTTAGGAAATTTTTATCAATTTTTACAGGTGTTTAATCTCGGCTTCATTAGAAATGGAAGGAAAGCAAGTTTTCTGCGGTTTAGCCAGGAATCAAACGTTTTTTGGGTGATTTTTTTTTTTGATTCAAAAGATGTAAATCTGATTTTTTTTTCTTTATTATTATATTGTTTTTCATTTTTCAGTAAAACAATCGGCAATTTGTACTTCATTTTCACGCTACTCGACACAATGTTGTGCACGATTTTACCATCGATTCTCATTGTCGTCATGAACTCTTTTGCTATCTATAGGTGAGGCAAAAAGAATCTAAAAGAATCTAAAAGAATCTTGAAGATCTATTAAAGATCAATTAAAGATTATAAAAGATGATTAAAGATTATTAAATATTATTAAAGATCTATTAAAGATCTATTAAAGATCTATTAAATATCTATTAAAGATTCTAAAAGATATTCAATTTTGAAATCAAATCAACCATTCCCTTTTTTTTCAGATATCATCAATGCATGAAAATCTATGCATCCGGTGTGTTACGTGTGCGATTTTTGAGGACACCCGACACGCTAAATAATAATGATTATGAAGAAACAACAGCAAAGAAGCTATTGCTTTCGCAAGCAACTCCGACAACAAATGCTGCCTCAACGCAATCCGCTCGTGGAGCTCCATGCGGGAAAATGCGATCCAGTGATTTACAGCTGAGTCGAACGCTGCTTGTTGTGACTAGGTAAATGGATGAATTGGTGAAAAGGGCTAGAAACTGGTACAGAACGGTTTTGTTAGCCGTTAGGACTTGGCTTTGGTCTTAGCTGGACGATTGGAAGGTTTAGGTTTAGGCTTAGGCTCAAGCTCAGGCTTAGGCTTGGCTTGGCTTAGGCCAAGCTCGGCTGGACCAAAAGCCATCAGAAACTGGCTTAGGCCAGGCTTGGCTTAGGTCAGCCTTGACTTGGCTGAACCAAAAGTCATCAGAAGCTGGCTTAGACTTGGGCTTAGGCTTAGGCCAGGCTTAGCTTGGTTTAGCCCAGGCTTGGTTAGACCAAAAGCCATCAGAAACTGGCTTAGGTCAGGCTTGGCTTAGGCCAGCCTTGACTTGGCTTAGCCCAGGCTTGGTTGGACCAAAAGCCATCAGAAACTGGCTTAGGTCAGGCTTGGCTTAGGCCAGCCTTGACTTGGCTTAGCCCAGGCTTGGTTGGACCAAAAGCCATCAGAAACTGGCTTAGGCCAGACTTGGCCAGATTGGCAAGACCAAAAGCTATCAAAAGCCAAAAGCCAAACTAAAAACAATCTACCAAACTCGATCAAAATCCCTTTTTCAGCACATTCGTCTTATTAAACGTGCCAAACTACGCGTTACGCATTTGCCAAGAAATCTTCGTGTCGAACAACAATGTGATGTTTCATCTGGTCTACTTTGCCACCTATTTACTCTACTATTTTCATCACGCCGTCTTATTCTATTTCTACATCTTTTGGAGGTAAAAATAAGCAAAAATAATCTAGCTTCATTGAAATTTCATCTGAAAAAGTGTCGTTTTTCTTTAAACTTTCGAATTTAGTCTAATTTTTAGATCAGATTTCAGTTTTTAGTAGTTTCTCATTTTCAATTTCAGCTTCTCAGCTCCTAGAAAAGCTATCAATCTGCAAAATGTTTCATTAGAAAGCCAAGAATGTCAACTTTTGCTTGTGATTTGTCGATTTTTGTCGATTGAAAAAAAGAAATCGTCAATTTTCAGTCCACAAATGAAGAAACAGTTGAAGCCGGCAGCGATGCGTCTCCTCGAATGTTACTGCTTCAAAACAGTGCCCGAATTTGGCCACCACTCAACTTCCTTAAATCAATTCAATCGAAATTGATCTCAAATTTTCCATCGATTCGATATTTTGCTGTACAATTACCGTAATCTACCGGTTTTTTCTGGCAATTTCTATTGTGCCTTTGCCTTTGATTTGCTTCGATTTTTGCCTATTTTGCTTGTTTTGCTTCGATTTTTGCCTATTTTGCCTATTTTGCTTGTTTTGCCTATTTTGCCTACCGTATTTCTTTGAATAGAAGACCGGGTAAAGAGTACTCCTGCGTATCACCGCGTACTCCTGCGTAGCAGCCCTTTTTAAAATTTCTTTTCTGCATAAAAGCTTTCAATCAAGTGCTATAGAGCTGGAAAATGGCTCAAAAATCTGTTCGCTCATGTCGTATTTTTGAGTCATTTTCCAGCCCTATAGCACTTGATTGAAAGCTTTTATGCAGAAAAGAAATTTTAAAAAGGGCTGCTACGCAGGAGTACGCGATGATACTCTTTACGTGGTCTTCTATTCGAAGAAATACGGTATTTTGCCTATTTTGTCTATTTTGCTTGTTTTTCTGGAAATTTCCCCAATAATTGTCATTTTATTTATTCGTGATTGTTCACGGGTCAATTTCTAATCAAAAAAAAAATGATAAATATTGATTGAAAATACCTACAAACTCTAAAGTTTGTATCTTTACACAGATTTCACCGATTTCTCTACTTTTCTATACTTTCTATACTAAACGCATTCTTTCTAGCGCACTAAACAAGAGCTCAAAGTGCACAGAATCATAAACACTTGCTCTCTGGTACACTGATTTCTTCCATTTCACAGCTTTTTTCAGTAAAAGTATTTGAAAAAGCAATTTTTTTTGATCCTGATCAGATCCAAAGCCTATTTCTGGCTTTAGACTTGGGTTTTATCAAGATTAGAGTTGTTTTAAAGGTTAGAATTGTTTTAAAGATTAGAGTTGTTTTAATTTTATTCTAAAGTTAAATTTACTAAAGATGATCTAAAGATCTAAAGCTTCTAAAGCTTCTAAAGATCTAAAGCTTCTAAAGATCTAAAGCTTCTAAAGCTTCTAAAGCTTCTAAAGCTTCTAAAGCTTCTAAAGCTTCTAAAGATCTAAAGCTTCTAAAGATCTAAAGTCTCAAGCTTCTAAAGATCTAAAGCTTCAAAGATCTAAAGATCTAAAGCTTCTAAAGATCTAAAGCTTCTAAAGATCTAAAGATCTAAAGCTTCTAAAGATCTAAAGCTTCTAAAGATCTAAAGCTTCTAAAGATCTAAAGATCTAAAGCTTCTAAAGATCTAAAGCTTCTAAAGATCTAAAGCTTCTAAAGCTTCTAAAGCTTCTAAAGATCTAAAGCTTCTAAAGATCTAAAGATCTAAAGCTTCTAAAGATCTAAAGCTTCTAAAGATCTAAAGATCTAAAGCTTCTAAAGTGCACCAGAAGATCTGCATTTCCGACAGCACAAAAGTAGAAGAACCACTTTTAAAGAATAGGTTTAGTAATTTCATTTTTAACATTCAAGATCATTGATAGCTAAGCTTATTTTTAACGTTCATGATCTATTGATAATTTTAGAAATCGAAATAAAGATCTAACTAAAATTTCGATATTTCGATATTTCTATTGAATTAAAAAAACCAAATCCTCTTTTCAATACCATTTTTGGCGCAATATCATTCAATACCTTTCACCCCTCCACCAGCCACCAAATGACGCCTCGGGCGGGGAAAATTTCTAAAGAATACCCCAGAGTTGAACCCTGGATAGCTTTAATTATCTTTTATATTTTACCCTTTACCTTTGGATTTTACCCTTTATCTTTGGATTTTATCTTAAATTTGTTTTTGAATATGATTTTATTTCATTTAGATCTTGTCCATTCAATGAAGAGATCTCCCGGGAAATCAGTGTTGGGTAATAAGGTGATTTTTTTATCTTTTTTATCTAATAGATCAATATCTAATATCTAATAACTCAATAGTATTTATGTAAACTGTATTTACGCTAATTTCTTTACTTTTTTTGGCGCTAGAGTAGTTGGGCAGGCTGGAACTTGACCCAAAATCAATATTCTTTCCACGAAAACTTGCACACAGGGGTTTTTGACTATGCTGAATCGATTGGTAATACTTTTATAACTTTTTTAGGTACTTTTTCAATATCGGGGGAGCGGAAGGATTATTGGGGGAGCGAAAGGAAAATCGGGAGAACAAATTTTGGCAGCGCTACAAATTGTGACGAACGGGAGCTTGCTTTGTTGCAAAAAGTTATCGACTCGAATTCCTCTTAAATGCTTGGGGACCTTTCGCCGTGCGCAAGTGTCACATACCCAGCGAAATAGATCTTTTCCATTTGAGCAGGCTTTCATCGATTCGCTACAGTTGCAAATCCACGACTGGATAACTGCAACGTTTTTTTAAACTTTAACGACGATGCGCTTCTCCGATATTTGTGCGTTCAAGGAATCGACGGCAATCGATTATTTCGTCACCAAAGGAGTGGATTTGCAACTGTGGCGAATCGATGAAAGTCCGCTCAAAGGGAAAAGATCTATTTCGCTGGGTGTGTGACGCTTGCGCACGGCGAAAGGTCCCCAAGCATTCAAGAGGAATTCGAGTCGATAACTTTTTGCAACAAAGCAAGCTCCCGTTCGTCACAATTTGTAGCGCTGCCAAAATTTGCTCCCCCGATTTTCCTTTCGCTCGGAGAAGCGCATCGTCGTTAAAGTTTTAAAAAAACGTTGCAGTTAAAATACAGTCCCGGAAATGCATTTTTCCAGGGGGCAAAGTTTGCTCCCCCGATTTTCCTTTCGCTCCCCCGATAATCCTTCCGCTCCCATGATATTGGAAAAGAATCCTTTTTTATATTAACTAATAGAATTTTTAGTAAAAACTTGAATACAAGCAGTTTGTTTGCGAAAAAACAGGTTCCTTAATCTGTTAGAGAGTTGTTTTATACGCAACACCAAGCAACAGTGTTGTTATTGTTGTTTCTTGTTTTGTTATTGTTATTTCTTGTTATTCGATATTGTTAAAATAAAAAAAAGTTACAAAAGTATTACTAAAAGGTTACAAAAGTAGGTTTGAACCTGTTTTTCAGCAAATTGCGAGTTTGCATATTGCAAATTCGAGTTTTTACTAAAAATCCTATTAGTTAATATTTTAAAAAAATTATAAAAGTATTGCCAATCGATTCAGCATAGTCAAAAACCCCTGTGTGCAAGTTTTCGTGGAAAAAGTATTGATTTTGGATCAAGTTCCCCTCAACTACTCTAGCTAGCTCTAGCTCCACTCTTTTTCTTAAGTTGTAGCTATTTTAGTTGTGCTTTTAACACTCTCAAACACTAAAATGCTATCGTTTAAACGATAAAATAATATTTAAGTAAAATAGATTTACTGTATTTGCTAAGACGAGTTTAGAATATATTTAATAATTAAATAATTAATTGTTTTTTTGGCTCTTTCCCTGAATCGTGGTTTTTTGTTTCTTTTCGTTTCGACAGACTTTTTTTTTAAAAAAGACCACGAAACTTTTAAAAAACCACAATTCAGTGGAAAAACCTCTTTTAATAATTGATAAAAATGGATTTGAATTGACATTTTTAGTTCAAACGAATGCCGCCTCCTCGACCGGGGAAATTAGAGCCGAATCCGAGGATTGAGGTACGTTTTTGAAAGCTTTTAACTAGTATATTATTGTCATTTTTTTATATAGTTTTAAAGAGGACACTTCAGGCTTTCGAATGATATCAAATAGAGCTTGATTGATGCAATTTAGAGCTTTTTAAATAGAGATTGATTGGTGCATTCCCGTGCAAAATTAAAGCCAACTTGGGCAAAAGAGATCTTTTTTCAAAAAATTGTCCGAGGAATTTTGACCAACCCTGTATGTTTCTTTTTCAGCCAAAGTCACTAGTTGATTATTATTCGAGAAGTGGTCAAGATTCGCCAACAAGCTCCACCTTTTCCTCATCCTCATCACTCAAAGAAAATCAAATACCCGCGAAAGTGATCGAACCAAAAACGATAAAAGATCGGCTCAATCGTTTAACGCAATCACCGAAGAAGTCACCGATTAAGGCAAGTTTTTGATTACTTTGCTTCAATTTTTTAAAGTTTTAGACAAAAACGAAAAGTGTGAGAAGACGAAAATTGATTTTGCCAATAAAAAGAGTCTCAAATGGGAAATTGTTGCATCCAATCGGTCAACTGGAGTCAGAAGTTGATGAGCTTCGCGATTTTGATGGTAAATAATTGTAGTTAAGAGCTAGACAGCCAAAAATTGTCTAAACGAATCCGATCTAGTGCATGGGTTTTAGAGTTCAGTGTGCCAGAAAGGTGTTTACGGATATTTTTCTTGTACTTTAAGCTTAAATGTTGTAAACGCAGAGTACAGTTTTTTTTTTTCAGAGCTCTGGCGACTCAATGACGATCGTTTTCGCTTGTCCAGTCCACTTTTCAGGAAAAATTCTCACAAAAAGCTGAATCTTGGTCTCCAATCACTTCGACAAAGATTAAAAGTAATTCTAGAATTGATTTTCAAAAATTAGATTCAATTAGTTTCAATTTAAGAATCGAAATCACAAAAATCAACACAAGCAAAAAGAAGCGAATGTTGAAAGATCGATTCGGAGAGTGAAAGTCCAAAAATTGGTGGGTTCTTGTTGTTCTTGAACCAAGAACCAAAGTTCTTGAAGAATTGAGAATTTCTTTTTTATCGTAAAAGTTTCAGGAAAACTCACCCAAGAATTTGCTCGTTTCGATGGACTTGGAGTATGTGAAATCGACGTACGAAGGTTGGGTTAAACGTGAAAAAAGTTAAACTGGACATTAAAGTCTAAAGCCTAAATTAAACCACAATTTGAACTTTGAATTAGTGACAGTAATTCTTACATTTTTCCAGGAAAGTGGATCTCAATGGAGGCGTTTCTTGTCGAGATTTCATCAGGCCGAGCGATTCATGTGAGTTTTTTTTTATTCAAAATAGACTGGGAATTTTCGGAGTGAACGTCAATCGGGGTGCAACAGAAAAATGTCATATCTTGACCAATTTCACTCAAATCTTTTTGTCTTTTTATTTCAATCGATAGAAAATGAAATCCCGCGTCAATTGATAACAAAATCAAAAAGATCGGAGTGAAATTGACCGAGAAATTGACCATTTTTTCGTTGCACCCCGATTGATCTTTGCACCAAAAAGTCCCAAATCTTGTTCACAGGGTTGTTCGAATGGAAATTGGGTACTGTGGATCTAAATGCTAATGTAAATGCTAATTTCGATAATCAAAAGTACATATTATGGCCAGAAATGATCAGGTGTCAGCATCTTCTTCACAAGTTTCTTCACCTGTCCAACTAGTCTAGTAAAAATTACCAAAGTTATTGAAGTTATCAGAGCACTAATGGTGCTTTCTCCAATAGCCAGAACTAGACAAAATCAAGCCAGACATCTGAAATGGCTTAAAAAAGACTGTTAGAAGCCAACTTGAGCCTGATCTGGCACAGGGTCTTGATTAGAGTGACACAGTGATATAAGTTGATCAAATTTTGCAGAAATATGCTACAATGTACAACATATCCTATCGATTTTTTGGGGCAAACTGTTGTATTAGGTTGGCAACTAAATAATGGCCCTCGCCCTTTTTTGATAAAATCTTTTAATCTTTGCGTTTAATCTACCCTCGCTTGTTGTTAATTGAATATTACTGAATTTCTGGTGCATTATTATACGTTTTTTACTTTCCTTGATTTGATACTTTTCAAATAATTTTGTTTAGAAATGGAAGATCTCAAATATCGAATGCGTGTCTGTCTCTGGTACGACTACAAACAAGACAAAACAGCTGCCGAATCCCACAGAGATTTATTGCGAGTTTTTGGTGATGAGGCTCTTTCCGAAACACAATGTAAGAGATGGTATCGACGGTTCAAGGAAGGGGATGAAAGTCTTGAAGATGAGCCTCGCCAAGGACGACCCGAACTTCTGCAGAACGATATTTTGGAAGCAGCCTTAAAGGAGGATCCAAGTCAAACATCACGCGAGCTAGGGGATCGATTGGGCTTTTCGCATACTGCAATCGAAAAGCGACTTCATGCATTGGGGAAAAGTAACCGCAGTGGAAAGTGGATTCCGCATGAATTGAGCGAAGAAAATAAGGCTACTCGTGTTATCACAGCTGGAATACTACTAAAACTTGCGAAAAAGGGAAGCTTCTTGAATTCCATTGTCACTCTGATGAAAAATGGAACTTTTATGATAATCGAACGCGAAAACGACAGTGGCTTAGCACAAACGAAGACCCAAAACCAACTCCGAAGCCGGATATTCACTCAAAGAAAACTCTCCTCTGTGTGTGGTGGAGTTCTCGTGGGTTGGTGCATTTCGAGGTTCTCAAAAAGCCGGCAAACGGTTAATTCAGAACTCTATTCGTCTCAACTACATCGTGTAGATCAAGCAATTCGCTCTCAAGGACTCGAACCCTCTTCAATTCATTTTCTCCATGATAACGCAAAACCACACACTGCAAAACTTACAATGGAGAAAATCGAGGAGTTGGGCTGGAATGTTCTTCCTCATGCGCCATACAGCCCGGATATGGGGCCTAGTGATTACCATCTTTTTCGATCGATGCAACACTTTCTAGCCGAGAAAAAGTTCAATGACCTTGACGAAGTCCGAATTTCAGTGCAGAAGTTCTTTGACGATCAACCAGAAGAATTTTTCAAGAGAGGAATCCAGTTGCTCCGTCAAAAGTGGAAAGAAGTAATAAAGAATGACGGAGAATACCTTTTGGATTGATGTTGATATTTGTTCATCTTGTTAATAAATTTTTTGTTTTTACTGAAAAGGGCCATTATTTAGTTGCCAACCTGATAGATCGTATCTTGAAACTTACCTACTTACCTGATTCAAATTTCTCTTACTGTGAAATATCGTATCCCTTGGCTACTAAAAATTTCCTTGTGATTACTGTAGTTATAGATTACTGTAGCTATAGATTACTGTAGTTATAGATTACTGTAGTTATAGCTCACTGTATCGTCTCATTGCCCGTTTCTTTTTCAGCGCTCTCTCGGCCATCACTCAGTGCCGACGAAATGCGATGATCGACCGTGTTACCTAGAATTCGACGTGGATTTGCGGAATTTCACCGAGAAATCGTTAGTGCTATGCATATCTGTAATAATTAGCATATTAACTTTTTCCTAATTGTATCCAATCGTCAAATTCAGCTCGCTTTTCGTCGCTTTTGTCGCCGATTTGGCGGTCACCGAGAAAAGTGGGTTTTTGGAAAGAAAAAAAAGACAAAGTTTATGCTAATTTATGTTAATTTAAAATGCACATTGCAAACTTTCATGCAAATTTTTACAAACTTCTTTTTCAGAATCGCGTCGCAGTCTCAGCACGTCGGATGTTTGTTCAAGGAAATCTCGAAAATCGTAAAAGTGTTTAGAATTTCACCTACATCAAGCAATCGATCGGCGCGCTGTGTTTAGGAGAGTTTTGTCGCCAGCAAAACGAATTTTTACTCAATTTTGCGTTTCGTGGCGAAGAAGTCAGCTTGAAGTGAGTGCTAAATTCGTTTTTTTGTTAAGGTCAAAACTGCAAAGCTGGCAAAAACTTTCAAATATGATCGAAAACTTGTATCGAAAAGAAAGAAACTTTAATGTAAATTGTGTAAAATTGGGGGGTTTTTCTCTAGCTCAAAACTTTCAGATCGTTGGGCGATTTCCCGAAGAATTGGATGAGCAATTTGGAAACATTGCAAATGTTGGGACAAATCTCGAAAAAGGTCGTTTAGTTTAGTTAAATTTGTTGTGAAAATAAGCCAAAATTGGGCAGATAGTCACATTGTTCTCTCAATAGTCACAGAGAGTCCGATAGTCACATTGTTCTCTCAATTTAGCTACTTTTTAAGTAGAGCAATGATTTGAACGGAATGTAGAATTTGTAACAAAAATCGAGCTAAATTTTAAGGCAAAAATTGATCCCAAAAATTTGAACATAAACGGCGATGGGCTTGCCGGCTGAGTCCCCAAAGACAATCCCTAGAGGGAGGATAAAGGGCACCGAAAGGACGCCGCCTCCTTTCGCTCAAATGGCGCAGTGCGATGTCTCCTGGCTCTGGGACAGAAGGTGCGGGGTTCGGTCCCGCCTGAAGCATTTGGTTGGGCAGTAGCCTTTAGCTGTCCCAATTTGCTAGATGGCGAGCGATCGCACTGCTAGATGCTAGATGTGCTAGGTCGCACAAGGAACACTTCGCCAGAGCCACATTTAGAGAGATAAGGAATTCCCTTGGCTGTGGTTTTTCGCTAGATAGTAGATAGGGACATTGGGAATCTCGTTAATCCATTCATGCGCGTCGCTAATTGGACGACGAGGCAATTTTTGGACAAGAATTTCTCTTTCGCTGGCACAAATAGCATAAAAAGAAAGATATTCAGGTGTAAATTTATAACCTGGGGTTTTCCGGGGTTGGCGAATCGATTGGAGACATTATTGAGTACAGTTTTGAAGTTATTCAAATTCTAGGAGAAAAGCTCGAAACCACTGGATTTCTGTGTGCTTCTTTTGAAGACTTCAAATGAATATGAAGGCGAAACTTTGAAGAAAAAGAAAACAATAAACTCAAGAGCAAATCAACAAGTGAAAAAACGGCAAGATCTCAAGTAAGTAATTGATTAAATTCTTTTAAATAAAGATTTTTCAGGTATTTTCTCCGTTTTGGTGACTCGCTGCAGGAATGGAAACGGGTAAAGAGTTAAATAATTCATTAAAGAACTAAATAATTCACTAAAGAGCTAAATAAAACACTAAATAATTAAATAATTCACTATTTTTAAATCTTTCTATCTATATTTAAAGAATTTTATCGGTTTTAAAATGTTTTTTTTTGATTTTGAGAGGAAAAGAAAATTAGAGTTTCCCTGTCTAGAATGATTATGGTATTTATTCCTGAATGATTACGGTATTTATTTCGTGCTTATTTCAGATCTCCGGCTTTTACTCTCCATTCAATAGCTTTCCACGTGAATTCTCGTCAATCTCCAATCTCATCGATCATCTCAATTGTCAAACTTCGTTCAAATTTAAAGCAATTGATCAAGTGAGAGATTTGAATTTACTTTTGATAGAAAAATTTCAGACTGACTTTCAAACTGACGAATCATTTGGAATCGAAATTTTCACAAATCGTTGCACTCAACTTTCACCGCTTAAAGTGGAGAAAAGGGGAAGAAAGGAAAGTCCTGTAGAAAGAGTGATCGAAGGAAAACGATTGCACAAATTTGGTGAGTTTAAGGGAAAATTGATTTTTTTTTTTTTTTTTGATTTTATTTTTTTGTTTTCTCATAGTATTTTAAACCCTAAATGTAAATTTCTAGACTAAAAACATACCGTATTTCGTATTGAAAACTACCGCAAAGCAATCGAAAAACCGTACCAAATTTCAATCGAAAATCCTCGAAGTTAAACAATTGAAAATTCTACATTGAAAAGGAAAACATCATAAAATACCGTATTTCTTTGAATAGAAGACCGGGTAAAGAGTATCATCGCGTACTCTTGCGTAGCAGCCCTTTTTAAAATTTCTTTTCTGCATAAAAGCTTTCAATGAAGTGCTATAGAGCTGGAAAATGACTCAAAAATACCACATGAGCTAACAGATTTTTGACAAAACAGAACAGCCATTTTCCAGCTCTATAGCACTTGATTGAAAGCTTTTATGCAGAAAAGAAAGGGGCTGCTACGCAGGATGATACTCTACGCAATGATACTCTTTACCCTGGTCTTCTATTCGAAGAAATACGGTCACTTTTTTTTTATTTTTGCTTTAATTTGTCTAACGTGAGTTTTTAACTCTATCAGATGAGAAATGAAAGTAAAAAATGCGAAAGGAACTGACAGGGCTTTCAAATTGACTTTGGAAATAACTTGGAATTGATTCTAATGGCATCAACAACTTACCGGACTCTCTCTAATAGTAGTGCACCCAGCCGAGCACTACCCAGCTACCCAGTAGCACTACCCAGCCGAGCCGAGTTGATGACTATTTTTACGATTTCCAAGCTTTCCCAGAAGCTCAACACTCTAATCATCGTCAAGATTGGTTAGCCGTCCTGCTGGTTCTTTACAATTTGAAAGAGAATGGTCTAATCTTTACAATTTGAAAGAGAAAATTAAAAATAAACAATAAACAATAACTTTCCAGAGCAACCGTCCCTTCGCGATACTTTCCCTCACTACAAAGTGGCGCATAACGTTGAGGAAAAATTTGTGACAATCGATAACTCAATGCACTGGTTGGGAAAGGAAATGTTGATGGTAGGAAGAGATTTTTTTCGATTTTTGATCTTCAATTCTTCTATTCTAGAATCTGCACAATGTCTCTGATATCAATGTCCATGAGCGTACATTCATCACGATGTGGAACGCGTATTTTCGGATGAATTCTCGATGCACTTTCGGGAATAAAGATGTTTTTCGAAATCTGGTATACGAAATTTTGCTTTAGAAATCTAGAAATCTATATTGGGTTGGTGAATTGAAAACTGCCGATTCTGTGTGTCTTTGTGCGGCCGCGTAATCGCTCGTCGTCTGGCGCAAGGCTTTTACATAACCCCTTTCCCTCTCCCTTTTCCTCAATGCACCCTGATTAACCTCCTCGTTCTCAACCCCTTTTTAAGATATTTTTATGTGTAATATACCAAAGGATAGCCCTTAATTTCTTCTATCTTTTGGTATATTACACATAAAAATATCTCAAAATTGAGCTGAAAACGAGGCGTCTAAAGTTGACCCTCATCATCGACCCCTCGACCAACTTTAAACCCCTCGTTCTCAACCCCATTTTGAGATATTTTTATGTGTAATATACCAAAAGATAGAAGAAATTAAGGGCTATCCTTTGGTATATTTTTGAGTCTCACACACACAAACCAAAACCCTACCAAAGAAAGAGGAATCCCCAAATTGCCTGTAAAATGGGCAGAAGTCGTCAATAATAATGGAAATTATTTGGAATCAATTGATGGTTTTTTTATTGAATAAATTTTAGTTCAAAGTCCCAGCAGTTTTCAATTCACCAACCCAATATAAATTACTAGATCGGTTTTCGTCACGAGCTCTACTCTTGTCTTTTAAACGATAAGAATGAAGCATTCATCGATTTTCAACTAATCTGGCTTTTGTTCTTACGACGACTTACGGTTTGTTTCAATTTTGATTATTAAAAAATGTTCATTTTCTTCATTTTCTTCATTTTCTTCAACCCTATCGTAATCTTATCTGATTTTTATTCAATTCTATTCACTTTTTAATAGCTTTAAGATATTCTTTTAGATAAATCAGATAAGAACTGAATAGATTTGATAAAAAGAGATTGTGTGCAGTGCAGTGAGAGGATGCCGATGATTATTTAGATTGATTGGCATTGATTATTTAGATATTTGATTCCGAATCTATCACAATCAATAATCTAGCGAGAAAATACAATAAATAGGATTGTTGGTTCAGTGTTTTTAAAGCCAAAAGAAAATGAATTACACAAAATGAAAAAGAAAAGAAAATGTTAATACACGTGAATACGAAAAGGAGAAAGAAGACTGATAATAACAATAGAAAGAAGACTGATATAATGTTTATAATAAAATAGAATCAATCGTTGGTTCAGTGTTTTAATACGTGGATAGCACAGTGAACTATACGTGAACGTAGAGTCAACTATACGTGAACGTAGAGTGAAACTATACGGATCAACTAGAGCTACAATGTGCAGTGCGTGAGAGAGGATGCCGATAGGGCAATGATTATTTAGATATTTTATTCCGAATCTAGCACAATCAATAATCTAGCGAGATCTAGCGAATACAATAAATAGAATCAATCGTTGGTTCAGTGTTTTAAAGTCAAAAGAAAATGAATACAAGCTCCATCCTGGGCTCCATCCCTTTTTATCATAAATGATCTTTAGAAGAAAGACAAGAGAATCTTCTAAACGATTTTTAGAAGAAGGACAAGAGAATCAGAGAGATTCAAAATCAAAGCATCAAATAAGTTTTAACAGAAAAGAGCTGCACAGATAGGATTTGAAGAAAATGGATATGTTTTTATAAAAAAGGATTAGTTGAGGTCATTGATCATTTAAGATCATTGATGATTGATTATTTAAGATCATTGCTAGAAAATCATTGATATTTTTAGGAAAACAAGATCATTTCTCCTCTACAAGAAGCTGTGCTCATCACTGGGAATTTTGATCTTTTGAGTGGAGGTGATGAAGAACGACTCAATGGGGTAAGTAACTTTGATTCATTCTTCCTTATCTCTAACTATACGATTAAATAACAACAATAATCATTGTTTGTCATTGACATTGTTAAACATTGACATTGTTAAACATTAAATAACATTGTTTATCTTGCTTGTCTTGTTTGTCTTTGTAAAAATCATTCCTTTTTAGGATGTGATCAGAATTGAGAACGATTCTTTCGAAATCCCACACACTCTATCAACACCAATGTCAATGGAAAAGGTGAAATTGAAAAGAATTCAAAAAAACATCTATTATGACATCATCTATTTCAAAAAAACATCATCATAGATGTTTTTTTTTTTGTTCTATTCCATTCCATTTTTATCTTTTTTCATTTTCAGACTACTCCATCAAAATCGAGCTCAAGTTCTTCCGTTTCCACTCCAAAGAAGCGTCTGCTAAAGTCGGCAGAAAAGAAATTGGCTTATCAAAATCAGGAAAAGGTAAAAGCAATTAGCTGAATATCTTACTATTATTACGAAAATTTGATGGCCATTCGCAATCTAGCTCAAATATCTTCTTGTTGGGCTATCGAATATCACTATTTTTGATACCATTAGCTGCGTCAAGTCTTTCTCTATCGATTGGTATAAAAACGATTTCAATTGAACAGCCCAACACCAAGAAATTTGAGTTTAAACTTATGGCAATGGGAAAAGGGGCGGGGCGCGTATAAAAGGTCGGTCGCCCCGCCCCCTTTGCCATTGCCATAAATTTGAGCTTAGATCTAGATAACTACGCGACTGTACGTACGTACGTAGTGTACGTTAGTAGCGTACGTAGCGTACGTAGTGTACGCTCAAAATGCCGTCGTCACTTGACAAAATATTCAAATTTCTTTTTTTAGCTGTATCCACTGAGAAATTCATTGACGCCAAGTCGAAAATCTCCGGCGAAAAGCGCTTTAAAGCGGCCGAAAAGCGCTGTTAGTGAATCGCCAGCGAAACGAACAAGAAGCAGTGATGTACAAGTAAGAATCTACAAGTTTTTTTTGGCGTAAACGATTTACCGTAATCCTTTACTGTAATCCTTTACCGTAATCCTATTATCCAATAGCTTTACTCATTCAGGTGCATCTATCAACTCAAAAGCCTTCTCCAAGAGCGAAAAATTCTTTCTTCACGCAAAATCTCCAAAATAAACGCACTTGCCATTAAAAAAAATTGAAATCTCAAGAAAAGTAGATCTTTGTATAACCAAATCGCTAGTCTTTTTCTCATTTTTCACTATTTTTGTTCTTTTTGCCATTTTTCCTATTTTGCCAATTGTCAATCTCAATTTTCTTTCGTCTTTCAAAATCTCTTCTGTACATCTTTCTTCTTTTTTCTTTTCCCGGGTTTTCTCCTTAAGAATTTCTTCAAAAGAAAGCTCAACAAAAACCCCTGCCAAACCCCCATTAAACCCTTTAAACTTCCCTTTAAACTTCCCTTTAAACTTCCCTTCAACTTCCCTTCAACTTTCCTTCAACTTCCCTTTAAATTTCTCTTTAAACTTTCCTTTAAACTTCCCTTTAAACTTCCCCTTAAACTTCCCTTTAAACTTCCCTTCAACTTCCCTTTAAACTTCCCTTTAACACACACACAGAAAACTATTTGATCTCAATTCTTGAATGTTTCGTAAATTCTGTTGTAAATCTGTTGTTTGTAAATTTACGAATAAATCTTATGAAAGGCTTTTCGAGGGCGAATTTTTGTTTGTAAATTTGACAATTTTCTATATAAAACGATCTAAATAGAGTAATATAATGTTTTCGAATGTTCTAATATCTAATATTATCTAATATTATCTAATATTATCTAATATTATCTAATATTATCTAATATTATTTAATATTATTTAATATTCTCTAATATTCTTACTATAAAGTACTATTCGTTCCTAGGTATAAACGGATGTGGACTAGAATTTGGGTTAAGTGAAAGAGAGTGGATCCCTTTTGATATCCCGCCATCTCTAACACCCCGACAACCCCACTCAACTCCTCCCACGTATTAGAGGGGAGTCCCTGTGAAATGACCGACCTGTACTGCAGTTGCATAGACCCGGAAGATATGTATCTTTATTTACAGTAGTATAATAAGAAGAATCGATTACAAATAAGTGTAAGGGGAAGGGGGACTCCAAATGAGAGTCTCACTTGTCCTTCTAGCTCCTTCTAGGTCCTTCTAGCTCCTTCTAGGTCCTTCTAGCTCCTTCTAGATCCTTCTAGGTCCTCCTAGGTCCTTCTAGCTCCTCCTAGGTCCTTCTAGGTCCTCCTAGGTCCTTCTAGCTCCTTCTAGGTCCTCCTAGGTCCTTCTAGCTTCTTCTAGGTCCTCCTAGGCAATCCCAAGGACCGCCCCTTCTCGGCAATAAAAGGGATAAGCACAGGGGAGGACACATTTGCATAAGAATAGACAAATCATTCAATAATAACAATAGTAACTAAAATATCAGTTTGGCTCGGAGCTGACAGTACTATCGTTTTCTAAAATTTGACCAATTAAAGCAAAAAACCATATTTCCAAAGCAATCTTTCCTTTAGATTTTCATTTTGATCATTTTGATCTCATTTCGATTCACAATTTGTTTTCGCATTGAATGTGATTAAAATTACTGAACTGAAGAACGTAGAACTGAAGGAAACTAAAGGAAAGGCTACGGTAGTTTATCTAAATTTTAGAAAACGAGTATACTCTAGTGAAAGTCTATCAATGAGGTCAAAAACGAGCTGAAAATCGATGCTTCTAAGAAAACTATCTGGTGTGCCGTCAAAGAAAATCCTCATATCGATCGTGAACGCCTAAATCAACAGCCTGCCTTAAAGCAAGAGCACAAGAAAGCCCGTCTAGACTTTGCCTTGACTTTGCCTTGACTTTGCCGCAAACCATATGAAATAGAATGCTGAAATTGAGCAAGAGACGTGCTCGGAGACTCATTTGCTCGTTTGCTCGCTCGGAGACTTATTTGTTCGTTCTTATTCGTTCTTATTCGTTCAGCAAAACATAGTTGAATACAAATCTTGCCTGTGAGTGGTCTGGGTCATGAATTTGGATCAAATTTGCATTCAAATTTAAGCTATTCAACACTCTGAAATGTCGATACTTTAAGTTAGATTCCAATTGACATGCGAAAGCGGCGCGGTGCGCTTTCTAAAGCCTGGACGCGCTACCGTACCCCGCAAAAATTCTCCTTTTGGCGGTTAGGCAATTGCGACCTTTTTTTTTGCGCAACCAGGGGGGTGGGACAAATGCGACCTTTTTTTGCGCACCTGGACATTTGCGCACCTTTTTTTTGCTGGAAAAGGTCTTAGGCAAGGCCGTAGAGCTTCGAGAATATTTCGAAAATATTTCCATATAAGGGAATCGTATGCGTAGATTCCGAATTTCGACAAATCGGACCTCGCTGACACGTCAACTTTGGGCTAAAAGGCAAAAACTGCGGAAAAGCGTTAAGTTGCGTAGTTTTTGCCTTTTAGCCCAAAGTTGACGTGTCAGCGAGGTCCGATTTGTCGAAATTCGGAATCTACGCATACGATTCCCTTATATGGAAGTATTTTCGAAACATTTTTGAAGCTCTACGACCTTTCCTAAGGCCTTTTCCAGCAAAAAAAAAGGTCGCATTTGTCCCACCCCCCGCAACCAGTCAAAAGTACGACTTTTTCGGAATTTTAAAACTCTCCGCTCCCTAAATCTAGATATTAAACGTTTTTTTGTTTAAAAAGTTAATTTTCTAGGTGATTTGGCCGCATAGAATTTAAATATCGACATTTCAGAGCGTTTCAGAGCATTTCAGAACAAACGATCTGGTAAATGCGCGAGGGGAATTTAGAATCTCCTAAAAAACCACCTTGCACATTTACTAGATCATTTCTAAACACTCTGAAATGTCGATACTCGAGTTCTACGCCGTCAAATTACCTAGGAAATAAACTTTTGGTGCTATACGGGTCGGCGAACCCAAAAATTTCACATACTAATTTCGCTTTTTGTAGGTTTTCCCCTATTTTGTCTATTTTTTTAATCGCTATGCAATTTTTGTTCTTTTAACAACTTTCAAACGTTGATTATCAAAATTAACACAACAAGGTTTTTTTTAAAGCATTTTAAGCATTCAAACGCATTTAAACGCATTTAAATGCATTGTTTTCTTCTATTTTGTCTATATTTGATTAAGTAATTATGTAGTTTTATAGAATGGCTTCTATTTGCAACTGGATTGAGTCTCAAGTCTTTCAATTTGTTGACCGAATGGCCGAAGCTTGCGATCAAATCAAATGACGACTTAGTGCTGGGAACTTCGAAGCTGTGCTTGGTGCTGGGAAGCTGATCGTTATCCTCTGACGTAAGTTTTCTTGTTGTGTTGTTGTTGATAATGTTAATTTTATATCATAAATGTTGTTACCTAAAAGAAAACAAGTAAAAGATGACTTGTAAAAGACGTAAAAGATGTCTTTTAAAAGACGTTAAGCTTTTTATATTTTAATTTTTGCCATTTTTAGATCGAAATCGGTCGTGCAAAAGCCCGCTACCTGTACTCGCGTTTGATCGACGAGAAAGGACTGAGACTCGTGATGTGGAACGACTAAAAGAAAATTTCGTGATGTGGAACATTACCGGAAACAAAAATGTTCAGTATTTAGTTTAGGGAGCTTTTTTAAAACTCTGATAAAGTTGTGCTTTTGACCAGTTGCTCCAGAAAGTTGTGCTTTTGACCAAGTTGCTCAAAAAAGGTAGCAATTCCTCCTTTTGCCATTCTTTTCATTTTCCTTCATTCCATGATGAAATCGGAAACTTTGTCGGGCTTTTGTGCTAAGTCCCGCTAAGTTTTCTTCTTCGTAAAATCTATTATGTTTTAAATCTATTGTTTGTAGCGCGTTTTTAAAGTCCCCTCTCCCCTCGTTCGTCCCCTTCTTTTTATATTGTTTGCCTATAGTTTTTTTTTGTTTAAAATTCTAATGTGGTTTTATTTCATTTTCTTTTCTCCTTCCGCTTCATTGTTTGTTCTGCATCCGTTCACACATGTCGTATAAACTTAACTTAATCAATTCCTTTTAACTAAAACGCAAATTTAAATAATTTAAAGAATGTGTGAACGGATTCAGAACAATGAACCGGAAGGAGAAAAGAAAATGAAATAAAACAACATTAGAATTTTAAACAAAAAAAACTATAGGCAAACTTATTAAATAAAGGAAAAAACGCTTTACCAATGAGCTTTACCGTGACTTATTTGAGGGCCACCAAGATAGGGTCTTATTGTTTATAAAGGCCCGACCTCTCGCTAAGATGAATTAAAGAATTATTAATTTTTCGAAGGCTTTTTCTCAACCAGATAACGACTTTGACTTTTTACCTGGAAAGCCTTTATAAACAATATAAACAAAATAGAAAATTCTAATAGTCTGGTGTTTCGTGTCAAATCATTTTAGAGAAGGGTTGATAAGTCTAAAAGTGTTAGGTAAAAGAGTTAGTTGCTAGCTTTTTGTTTCTTTTTCTTTTTAATGTCAAACGATCTTTTGGGGCGAATATCTATTGGGTACCGGCGTACTATTGAGTACGCCAATTTTCGGAATACACTATGAATATTGAAACTTTACAATATCTTGAATAAGCTCTTACTATGTGATTAATAATCTGAAAAGTTAGACCACTTATCTTTATTGTGTTGTACTTTCTTTTCTTTAAGTAGATTAATTCTAATGTTTTTTTTTAGTTTTAGAAACTTCCAGATATTCTGCTGAAGAATGGAGCAGATCGGCGTCTCGCCAAAGAGCTATGACGCTCAGTTTCCTAGTTTCGCATGTCCGACACCGATCGGTGAATACACGATCAACGAGGAGAGAAAGGTAGGAAAAACTTTTAAAAACCAATTTTTACCAATTCTAGATTATTTTCAAAGTTTTGTAAAAGACGTTTAGCTTTTTCTATTTTAATTTTTGCCATTTTTAGATTGAAATCGGTCGTGCAAAGGCTCGCTATCTGTACTCGCGTTTGATCGACGAGAAAGGACTGAGACTCGATTTGTCCGACGGTTTTGCCACTTTTCAGCCAAAGGTTTGGTTTTGAGGATGATATTTGAGCTCGTTTAGATCTTAATTTCAAAGATCCAAACCCAACTTTTTCAGGACTCCGATCAAAAGCTGAACGCTTTACTTGCGTGGATTTGCACCCAGTCGCCGAGTGGCGGAAGACTCAAGCAGGTGAAAACTTTGTCGTTAGTAATTAACACATTCGCGACGATGGCATTTTTAGCGTACAGTAGTTACGTAGTCGTTAACTGTTTTACTGATCATTTGGTGAAAACTCAAAGATAAACTAAAGTATTATAGTGATTCGATAGCCCTGAATCTCCTCTTGAAAACTAGGACAAAGTTATCGAGAATTTTTTGCGAAACAAAGAACAAAAGTTCTTAAAAACTTGAGTTAACACCAAAAAATAATCTTCGTGTCGTCGTGAATGTGTTAAAAGAATGTTGTCAATGTTATCCACGTCGATTACTGTAACAGCATTTGTTTGATTCACCTGACGGGTTACGGCGGCCGATGATGGCAAACTTTGATTTCAATTGATGACTCGAGTTGCTGCTTTAAAGCACGCTCAAGCTACCGTAGCCCGATCCTATACAGTACGATCTATTTAGATTTTTGCAAATTCTATATCTAAATCTAAGTTAGTTGCTGTTACGGTAAAATCTAAGTTAGTTGCTGTTACCTACAGTACCCACTTGTGAACTTTTACCTAACTTGGCAAGGCTGTATGCCCAAGCTACCGTAACCCAGCACAGATCTCTATGCCGTACCGTAAGCCGGTCTACTAAGCTCGTAGGGCTTGATTTTATCTCGGCTGTCAGCTAATGTTACAGTAATCAAGGGTCTGTAAGTATGAAATGTCGCGATTTGTTATGGTTCTGTTTAAAACCCCCCTAATACATCGATTAACTTACGGTTTATTCTATCAGAAAGCTCTATTAATTCTCGAGAAAATTGCTTTTGGAGTTTCTGAAAATCTTTTCTTTTTGGGGTTTGCGAGAGGTGAGAAGCAAAGTAGTCAAAAATGGAAAATTCATAAGATCATACGGTTTGGATACTTTCGTCCACAGTAACCTATATTGGTGTCAATAGAAAAAAGGTAGAGCATAAAAAGTTAGGCATATAGCGAAATTTTCAGACCAATCTGTCCAGTCTATTTTCTTGGACCGGAATTTTCAGAAAAATCAGAATTTTTCCTCAAGATTACTTCGAAACAGGCTCAAATATGCTTAAAAATGACAATATGTAAACGATAAATATTTCTAATAAAGCAATAAAGCAAGCAAACATTTCTAATAAAGCAAACCGTAAGTCAATCGATGAATTAGGGAGTTTTAAACAGAACCATGGAAAATAGTGACATTTCACACTTACAGACGCAATAGTTGAGTGCAAATCTAATTTGACTACGGGATACTGTAGCCCTTTAGATTTAGACTACCCTTTAGAACCCTTAAACGAGTCGAAGTTTGCAAGTAGTAAAATTTGAGTGCCTCCACGAGACGGACTTCGTCTGTTGGCGCGGGCTGCTCACGAAAATCTCGGCCACTCCATTCTCGCAAAATGACGATTGGTCTTTTATCGCTAGGAAAGCAAAAGGTAACATTTGTCAGAATTTCTTGTGAATCACAAGTTTTGATTCAAAAAGGTTAGCTTAAATTCTCACCACTTTAGGAGTAATCTTCCTTCTTGAGCAGGAGACCGAAGCACAAGCCTTGAGGTGAGGTTTTCTCCATTTTCTTGAAATCAGAAATCACGAAATTTTTAGAAAGGCCAAGATGTCACCGCGTGACCATTTGATGACGTATTGGGGCTTTAAATTCGAGCAGTACACCTCGACAAGGGACATTGATGTGAGTTGAAGTATTAGGTTCTTAGAGTACTGTGGATTACGGTAATAGGGATAAGGTTACGGTAGTTTGAGAGAAATGGAATACGTTTTAGAAAATATATTCTATTTCCCCATTCAGGGCGTCCCGTCCACTTCCGAGCCGGTCACCCAGAACGAGGAGTTCGGCGTGGTCGTCAAGACAAAACTTTCCACGCCAAATGGTCCGATTCGTCTCGTCTATTCGGGAGAAGTCGATTGCATCGATGAAAGTGAGCACTTAATTGGTTTATTCGAAAATTTGCTCTTTGAATTTTAAAAGGTGTTTCGAGTACGGTAGCCTTTTCATTAGCTATAAGGGCGCTCCTTAAAAAAAGTATTTAAAATCAAGATTCATTTAAAAACCGCCAAATGATGACAAATTTCTAGACGGTGACCTCGTCGAGCTGAAAACGCAACGCCAAGCGCTGGAGGGTGGCTTTTGGCGGCAAAAATCGATGAAATGGTTGGATAAGTTTGAAATTAAAGATTAAATCTTAAAGATATTCAGTTTTGAAAATAAGTTTACAATCAAAATCCAGGTGGCTTCAATCATTTCTTCTTGGCATCAAACAAATCGTCGTTGGTTTTCGCGACGATGAAGGATATGTGCATCGGGTAAAGCTACTTTTTTTCTGATTCTGTTAGGGTTCACGAAGGATATCGCAAAGATATAAAAAGTGGATAGATTGGATAAAAAATAGAGATAGAATTACGATAGTTTGAGAGGAAGGGGTACCCCTTTAGAGCTTTAGAGAATGCAAAATGTTAGAGCAGATTCAGGTGAGTCCCGTGGTGGTGAACGATTTGCCAAGGAAGGGACAATGGCAAGGCAATATTTGCTTCAATTTTCTCGCCACCGTCCTCGGAAAGGTGAGCTTTTTGAGGGGGAAATGACAGAATTCTCAGCAAGATACTCTTCTTGAATTTTAAACTCGAAACAATTATCTATATATAATATCTAAATTTACAGGTGAAAACCCTGTTGGAGAACGAGAACTCGAGTGAACCCTCGTGCACGATCACCTATGATCCGACAAAAAGGAGTGTCACTTTTGAAAAGGTAGATTACAGATTACAGTGGTTCATTAAGGTGTACTTTGTGCTCAGATCTGTAAACGCATCCCTCCTGGTGCACTGAATTCTTCATTTTTCTCGCGAAACCAAATCGTTGCGGTGAGGAAACTGAAGAATTGAGTGCGCCAGAAAGGGTTTGTTTTCATTTTGAGCTCAAAGTACACCACAAAGGGCAAGTATGCCGGAAAGTGGGTGTTTGCAAGGGCGCAGTATTACAAGGTGTTCAATAAAAAATGTTTTCAAACCGGAATTCCTCAGAATTACTAGTGGGTAGAGATGGTGTCATAGTGAATCATTTGCTTCAAAATTTTTCATATTTTATCACGAAAACATCATGAGATTATGGTCACCGCCATGAGACTATCAATAGGATAAAATTTTTACCATAAAGCGGAGACTTTCTACTGGCATCGTGGTGTCATATTAGAGGTAATATGTAAACTAAGATGATTAAACAAACACATTATTAGTCTGAAACATGCACTAATCTCTCATTCATAAGGTCCTTTCAACTCACCGTTCAACACGTCCAAACGGAGGTCTAGTTTTTCCAAGGAACTCCTGATCAAGAAATTGTTTCGCTAATAAACTTCGTTTACACATACCAGCTCTAATATGACAATACAAAGATACAAATTAGCTCTAATATGCTCTATATCATGGTGGTGACCATGGTGGCACCCATAATCTCATGATATCCCCTATTCAAGTGATGGTGTTTTCGTGAAAAAAATGAAAAATTTTAGAGCATAAATGATTCACTATGACATCACACCGATCACCTCTAGACGCTAGGAATTCTGGGAATTCTGAAGAATTCCGGTTTGAAAGCGTTTTTCTCTTATTTGACACCCTGTAACTCTCTATTTCAGAATCTCGTCGAGGATTTCTTCAACACCGATTTTCGGCACCATTTTTCCCTTGAACCACCACCACCATAAATTGTTTTTAAAAATCGTTTTAAACAAATCTATAAATAGTTATTTACAAGCATGATTTTCAAATCTAACCTTTATAAAGTACACTTCGAGACGACATTCTTCATTCTTTAATTCTTCAAAAAGCTCACTTCTGAAAACTCGTCGCTGAGGCGATTCGTGTAGGGACGGAAAGCCAAAGGTAAAAGAGAACATTCTCTATCATGTTTGCCGTATGATCGTTTCTGAAGCATTACTGCATATTTACGATAAAAGTATACTATAAAAGTGTACTACAAAAGGATAAAAGTTTGTATACGATAACCACCGACTTCAACGATACAGAGTACTAGAACAAAAAGATACAGAGGTTACTTCACCAAAAACGAACCATCTTTCAATGTGGTCCCAGTTCTTCGGATCAATGCACGGTGGATGTAAGTAAACAAAAATTATTAGCCGTTTTACAAAAAAAAATTCCTTTTCATCAAGCTAAAAGAATAAATTTTAAACAGTATGTGCCTAAAAAACAATAAAACCCTCACCTTGCGCGTCCGGTGAGACACCCGGATGATGAATGTATTGCAGAGTGGTGATTGTCGGCGGCACAAACGGGGGTACTCGGGCGCGGGACATTCACCTAAAGAAACAGTACATTGTTGGGTAGGAGCTTAAACCTAGGCTTCTATGTGACCAAAAAAAGCACACATCTAATTTCATCTTATCTTATTCTTTTATTAGCTGAGAGGAATAGAGATGTATCCATAGTTCACACAATTTTACCCTCTCAACTAATTTAACAACAGAATATCAATAGTTTTTTTGCCTCTTTGTCCTCAAAATTCAAAAACCCAAAAACACGTGATATTTGCGATTCGCATTCTCATTTGCCTTTCCACTAAAAAAGAACAATAATTTGGATATTCAGTAACTTGTATTCTATTTTTTTAAAATAGCACAAATCTTTAAACTTTAAAGCTTCCTTATTTAATGATTGACAAGATGAGTTTAAGCGGGGTGTACAGGACTCGTTGAACCATTGGATGTTTACTTCTTTCAACCATTTAAAGGCGTAATGGAAAAATTTTTGCTTACTTTCTTTTAAATAAATTGTCAATCATTAAGTAGCATTAGAAAATAACATTCTTCAAATTTCTAATAAGAAAGGTTTCTAAATTTTTTCAAAAAAGAAAAAAGTTTGAACTATAGGACCAGAACCAAGACAAAAGCCAAGCGCATTCAATCTAACACTAGGCTGAGCCGACTTCTAGAAGGCGCAAAATGTAAAGCCTTTCCGCCGGCAAAAATCAGTGTGCCAGAAATTCGAGAAAAGCCTTCATTTTTTCGAAATTCACATGGCTGTAACTTTGCGTTTTACCTATTAGCGGTTTTTGAAAATAGTTTCTGAACGTACATTTTCAGGCCTTTCTTTTTGCACCTACCTCATATTGTAACTCGCGGGTAACTTGGGAAGGTTCCCAGCTTAGATATGTAAATAGGCATATGCAAATTATGATTTCCTTCTTGTGCTAATTCTTTCATTACTTCAGAGCTTGAACCCTGATATCAGACGATATTTGCTCTGCAAGCTAATACGAATGTGGGTGGTCATTTATTGACCGCAAGACTCTTTCATCTCTTTTCCCGTTCCAAAGTCCATAAACTTTATTCACAGCTGAGGCTCGTGACCAGCAATTGAAATCAAAAAGTATACATAATTCGCGCAAATGAAAGAAATTATCCCGTGACTAAAATGACCTAAACACATACAAACGAGGAAATGAGTTGGCAACAAAGGCACAAAATTTTAAAAAGCTCATAAACTTTAAGCAAACATTGGAGACAAGTCTTTTTAACGAGAATCCCATAATTTGATTGAATGGTCGACACTCGACGTGGCGACAAGAGTGTTTGGATGAATGGCTAAATGTTGTAATGTAAAGCGATCCATGAACAGAAAAACTTTTTACCAATTGAGGAGACAAAGTGCTCGTGTGCTTCATACGATTTGCGGCAGCGTTTCTCGTCGAGCGCCCAAATCAGTAACTTCTTATCGTCAGCCACAGAGAGAAGAAATTTGCCTCGTGGATGGAATCTAAAATAGAAGCAATTTAATGCAACTAATTCTTACACTCAACAAATTTAAACACTCAAAACCCACTTCAAATCGCGAACCCAATTGTCATGCCCAAGAAAGTCTCTCAAGCAAATCCCATTTGTCGCATCCCAAAGCTTGATCTTTTTGTCACGGCCACCCGATGCCAAGTAGAGCCTCTTCACCGTAAGTCTTTCTTCGGAAGCTAACCAATCGAGTTTTAAAGTAACACAATAAAAATTACTTGACTCTTCCTTTAAATATGGGTCAACCATTTGATTTGCCCATTCAACACACTCGACGACATGCGCGTGACCGGTCAACGTTTGATGTACGGATCGCTTTTCAATCGACCACACAAGTACATTCTAAAGTTAATCCTCCAAAATTTCGGGAACATTACTCGAATAAATATAATCTAACAAGGTCACAATCTTACATGATCGGCGCTAGCAGTAGCAAAGAAATTTCCACATGGAGATATGCGAAGCATTCGGACCCATTCTTCATGTCCACGGAAAACAAAAAGGCAATAACCGGTATTAACCTAAAATAATTATTCCAAGATTAAAGACTAAAATCTACCTGCCATAGTCGAATTGATGTATCTCGTGATGCGGAAAGAATGTGCTCCCCATCAGGGAGGAAAGCCACTGAAGACACTGTGTGGTCGTGGCCCTGAATAGAATGCTTATTGCTTTTTTGTCAAAACGAAAAAAAAACCTTTAGACTTTTTAAACATTCCAAGGTGGTGAAGTCCCAAAGCTTTACAAGTAGATCAGAAGAACACGAAACTAAAGATGAAAGTTACGAGAATTGCAATGAAACTAACCGAGTAAGTTTCCATTACTGTTGACAGACAAATCGTGAACGGCGTCCGTATGTCCTCGCAACGTCTTTTCCAAATCGCCACTCTCGCAATCCCAAACCTAAACGAAATCAATTTTTTTCTAATCGTAAGTCATTCGCTCTATTCCCAAACCTACTTTGATAGAAGTATCATCTGAGCAGGAGATGACCAGATTGTAGATTGGATGAAAAATTACACGATTCACGGCTGAGCGATGTCCAACGAGAGTGAGCTTTTCCGGCGGCCGAGGGATTCGATCTTCAGCGGAAGCCTTTTTCCTAAAAAAGATATGAAACTCTTTTACATTATTGAAAGTACTAACAAATCCAGAATTCTAAAAAATCACCCATATGGAATCATTGTCAATCGTTCTTCCTTGTCGACGTATCCACTCAACTTCCTCTCTAATTCCTCGTTTTTCTTCTGCAAGCGGAGCAGCGCGTTCCATTTCTTTTCCAATAAACCATCGAATTTTGCGGCTACATCGCTCTAGAACCAATGTTTTTATGAAAATGAGTAGAAAACGTACAATATTGGCTTCTTTCGTGAAACTATTGACCGATTCAGAGTATCCTTTGTTTTTCAAATATGACGCTATAGCCTGGTTTCTAAAAGAGGATACAAATGAGGGCGTTTCAGAGCACTAACATTTCCTCCTCACATCGCCCCATCGACGTAGGCATTATCTATAACAAACAAATCGAACGTTAAAAAATTATCAGATTTTCCAATTGGCAATAAAATTTGAAGACAGCTTTTTGGTTATTTAACGTTTTTTACGCATTTTTCGAGTGGAAACACGATTTATTTCTAACAACAAGGTGGTTAGTGAAAAACAAACAGAAAAAAAAAATCAAGCAAAACTTGAAAAAACAACAATGCACAGAATTTTAAAGCAATCTTGTTAGTTTATAGAGTGGCATTTCAAATTAGGAACGGGTGTAGGAATGAGTTGGACTTGTAGGAGTGGCAACACCAGGAGTCGATTTGTCCAAACGATAGGTCTTTGCGTTTCTGTGGCGCGCCAAGATTGGTTCAGCCTGAAATGAGAGCGATAGAATTAACCGATAACTAGTTAGTATTCACAAAAGTTTACCTTAGCACGTAGCTTGGTGTTGCGTCCTTTCTTGATCGGTCCGACGTTTCCTCCATCCTCTTCAGAATGCGATGCCAGCGCCTCGAGGTTCTTTTGCTTGGTCCTCTCACTGCGCCGATTGGCGGCTTTCTCAACTTGTTCATCGATGATCATCTTGTCAATTTGTGATTCAAGTGTTTTGTCCTCCTTGCGATTCAAAGCGGCTCCATTGATCGATCCAGAGATGATGGGCGATGCGTGGTGTTGGAAATTCTAAAACGCTTAAATTAGCGCAACAAGCAAATTAGTACCTCTTGAAAGAAGCTGCTTTCATCAGAAGTCACAGTCTTGTTGAGCGAATCGTTGTTTGTGAGTCCATTTCTGGCACGCTTCATTGCTTCACCAATCTCGACTTCGTCGTGAATTGCGAAACTTTTCACAGAGAGAAACAAACTAAATTAGCAAACAGTTTGCACCAAATGCACCAAAGCTTACGCGGCATCTGAAGCATGCATTTGTCCAACAGCGAATGAATCAAGAGCATCTGGATGATCAAAGTCGTACAAAGTTTTTGTATCGTACCAGCCGTTTGGCACGTAATTTTCAGGCACAACTAAAAATTCAAGTTTGAGGGCAACAAGCAAACACTCACGTTCATTATAGTAGGTCGATCGAAGCGAACAATAAGCATCCTTTGGCAGCTTGTCCATGACGTGACACAAAATGGTGATGTCGTCCAAGAATTTGAAGAAGTCCGCCTCCGCATATTTTGCACCACGGAAACGAATCGATGACGCCAGACGTAATCCGTTGCTGCTAAAATCAAACAGTTTTCAAGATTAAAAACGACAGACGAACTCAACAAACTCCAAGTGTGGCTCATCTCCATACACAAAGCGCATGGTGAACACCTCAAGAGCATCATCCGAGTCCTTCTCGTTGTTTGAGATGACCATGATCAGCTCCTAAAAACAAAATAACAATGTTCAACTATACAAACAAACCTTCAAGTATCCCAACGCAACGGCGTCAAGTGCTCCCATCAACTTTGCGTGCACACGTTTTCCCACAAAGTCATTTTCCTTCTTCAAGACGTACAACCGGAACGGTTGACCATCCACAGCCCTCTTCATGTAGGCGCCAGGGTGAATCGCCTTCCTGGCACAAGCAATCTAAAGCAAAACTTGAAAATCGTATCCAATTGAACGCTTTCACCTGGACCATTGCATAGTAGGCGACACGTTGAAGGTACCTGATACCGTCTGTCTGAGGCGAAAATGCCTTGAACATTTGCGGATACTAAACACACAGTTTAACAACCAAAATGACAACAATGGACCGTGATTCCAGTTGTCTTGAGAGCCATTTGTGATGAAGTGAATATCCCGAAGGTATCTGAAACAAAAAATTTTAAGCAAGACTTTTAAAAGAAGCATGATTAAAAGAAGAGAATACGCAACATTGGTTTTATGGCAAATCTACAAAGTATCGGTACTTTGTGGGTTGAGGGCACCTATATTTTTGATTTTTTTACTTTTTTAAGGGTAATCGAGGGCGCCGAGCATGCATTTGACAGTTTTAGCATAGGTTTTCAACTGAAAAACAGACATTTCGGCACGTTGGAAATTACACTTCTATTATCCTAGGCTATGGCTCAGCACACCTGGAGACCTGATGAAGCAGAGGCTATAGCCTGATTCACCAGCTCCGTAACGACTCACCTGAGCCTCCGGTCAGGTTCAGGTGTGCTGAGCCATAGCCTCGGATAATGGAAGTGTAATTTCCAACGTGCCGAAACGTCCGTCTGTTTTTCAGTTGAAAACCTATGTTAAAACTGTCAAATTCGTGCTCGGCGCCCTCGACTACCCCTAGCAAAGAGAAAAAAACCAAAAATACAGGTGCCCCCAACCCACAAAGTACTAAAGTTTCTAAATCATCCAAATTTGTTGGTCGGTGAGAAGGCAAATAAGCTAGAATGTGTGCAAAAGTTTGGAAACGCTCAGTTTAAACGTAACAACTGCAAATTTAGGGTTAGAAAAGGTGAAAACTTAACAAGAACAATAAAAACTACATCAACTAACGCAAGAAGGAGGAATTTGATTGAATTGAAATGAAAAAATGGCTACTGGGAAGCTTTGAGGCGAAAAACCAGACAGTCTTACTGTATTTTAGGCAGATTTCAGGCAGTTGCATTTTAGAAAATCAATAATCTGAAAAACTCACTGATCTCGAGATTTTTTGCTTTTTCTTTGCATTTTGTATGTGGAGCTTAATTTCGCTGTACTTTTGATATCTTGGCGTTATTCTTAACACTCAAAAACCGTTTATTCGACGAGACCAAAAGGATTATGCACAAGGTCTAGCAAAGTATTAACAAAGTATTTACAAACAATAGGTCATAGGTAATAAATTAAAGTAATCGATGAAAAACATTTTCACTACTCCTCGCTGCTCTCTTCTTCATCCGTTTCCACATAAAGAATCGGTTTTAAATCGGGTAATTTCGGATGCCAATCAGGCAGATTCGGGAATGCCGTCTCGACGAGGTTCAATCTAAAAATAGACATAGACTTCAATTGACAATGCAACTTTAAACTATAAAAACTTACGCCAGTTTATTCACAACGTATCCCATTCGATAGTACTCCGTTTCAACGCCATTAAACCGGTAGCAATTGTCGAACATTCGCCGAAGATCCGCCAAGAATAGCGCCTCCTAAAGAAAATTTTGAGCAACTTAATGCTTTCTTAAGTTTGTGTTGCGTAATTACACCTAATGCAAAAATTTACATGTCCATAATGTTTTCCCTTAAGCTTTTCAGCCATCGTTTGCAAATCGATCGGCTGTTTGATGTACGAGTAATACTCCGGAACCTAAAAACTATTGCCTATGGTGTGTTGTTTTAAACTAGCAACCTGAACCGCATCCACAGGCTCCAAAAACGGCCACGCATCTGCGTGTTGTTTGAGTTTATTCAAAATTTGACGAATCTAAAAAAAATTAATTAGATTTAATAATTCTAAAAGCCACCTTATTCTCATAATCTTTCTTGTGTGGAAGCTCTTCGGAAGACTCCAACTCAAGATCCACGATTTCGTTAAGCGGAACAGGCGAACCAGCTAAAACAAAACGATTGATCCAATAAAAGTGATAAGAATTATTATTAAACTTGTAAATTGATAAACAAAAACACTAACCATATTCTTTATGTAAATGCTCAATCCCGGCTCTCGTTACTTGTTGGCTTTCATCCGGATAGATCACTTTGGCGGCCTCTCGAATCAAATCCCGCTCAACCATGCAAAATTGAGCATAGTGCGTGTAGGGGATTCTAAAACCAATAATTTTGCATTTAGCAAAACCTTACTGTGGATGTAAATGACAGGCCATCAACGTTGCTCCATCGTAATCCTTGATGAAACCTTTGTAGTTCTCCTGTGGAATCGGAATGTCCTAAAGTTTTCATTTTAAAACCAGACAAATCTTTCAAACCGTTGTGAATCCTTGCTTGCTAAAGTATCCGATCGCCAATTTATCCGCGTACGTCATCAGATGATAGATTTGGAGACTCTGCGCGTGGAATTCCTATAAGAAAGTGTCAAGTCCTTCCTCAAATTTTGCTGAAATGAATACCTTCACATGATTCATTAAATGTGTTCCGTAGCCTTTCACCTAAAACTTTAACATGATTGAATCCAAGGAATCAAATTTGCCTGTTCATCGGCTGTCACCGCACAGAAGACAATCTCTGAGAAGCCATGCCGTAAAAAAGCTCGGAAGCAAATTCCGCCGATTACTCCTCGATCTAAAAACCACAGTAAAATGATACCGAAAATCACCCAAAAAAGTTCAAAATCAAAAGTTCTACCAGGTTTGATAATGACCATGTTCATATGCCGAGTGTCGTAAATCAGCCGAGTGATGTACTCCCGGGGCATCTTCGGTAAAGCCACGCTATACAATTGAAGCAACTAAACACTCGTACTTTACATAGAAATCCATATTTTGTCAAACCTGAGACAAATAATAGAGGATATTCTGTGGCATTCGCGTATCGACCCGATTCTGGATTACACGGAATCTAAAAAATAAGAAAACATGCAAAAAAAAAGTAGCTGATTTGATCTAGAAAATTTTTGCAGAAAAACTCACTGTATATGCCCACTGAGCTCCTCCTCAAAAACGTCATCAGCTCTAAACAATATGGATTTATATAATAAGACTAGATTGCAAGTATTTAGCGATTACAAAGATCAAATGCATTACTTTAACATAAAATTTATAGTTTAATTTTAAAAACACAACATTTTACCTAGCCACATCGACAATTAAAGGATCCCCATTTTTCGATTGCACTTTTTTCGCGTCTCGACGTCGTTGTTTTGCAAACTAAACTAACATTTGAAAGCCATTGATATGAATTCTCACCAGATAAGCAGCTTTCACCACATCCTTTATATCGATGTCACCAGGTAGTGAAGGTTTCTACAACAAGAAGTTTTCACTATTCAAAAAGCTCTCTTACCTCTCCATTGAGCCATTTCGCATAGAAAGCAGTCGTGTTCTTCGCACGTTTTTCACCACATAATCTAGAATTTTTTGTACACCGGAATCTTAGTTATCTAACCGAAATTTGAAATCAATTTCTTTTTCCGTTGTCGTCCCCTCATTGCACATCTAAAAGACACAATATTGGATTTTCCGTTCAATCCTAAGCTTACCTGATCTTTCCGAAGGTAGGGCTCCTTTTTCATGAACTCGATGACCTCGGCAACAATTTGTGCAAATCGTTGACCACGCTAAAACGGAAGAATTACCAAATGAACTAGCTAGCTAACTGATCAAGTTGTTTAAATATTTAATCACAGTATGTCAGCCTAAAAAGTATTACAAATTACCATCAAAAAGGCATCGGCGACAAGATGTAGTTGAAGCTGTCGAAGTGCCCGTAGAACAAATCGTTTCCCAAAGATTTGTACCGGTTGATAGATCGGTAATATGGGTACGATTTGCGGGAGTCGGCACCTAAAGTGAAAAAAATTAAGCCTTCAAATCAACATCAAACACTCACCACCAAAAATGTCGTGCTCTCATCAAATCAAAGCCAGCTCGGTTTAGCTGATTCAACGTCTCTCGAGCCGCATTGATTTCTCTCAACTCTTCATTTATTTCTAGAAGTGTTTAATTGACAACAGTTACATCAATTGATAGTCAATATTTAAAATGAACATACCAGAGCTTTGTTGTACGATTTCTTCAGCTTCTGCCCTCGATCTTCTATTGTTCATCACTCGGAATGCTCGCAAAACCGTCAAGCGATTCTGTCTCTTTTTCTGATGCACTAAAATTTTATATTAGTCGTAGATCATTGATATCACTTACTTTTGTAAGCAAATTCTGGAGCTCGACCGGGATTCCACGAGTTGATTCGTTCAAGGAGAAATTCACAGGCAGCCACTCGACCAGCCGTTGTGTGGTCACTAAAAAGTTTTTGTGTTGATACTCTCTAAATTTAAATTCTCTGAGCACCTTCAGGTATAAGCCTAGCTCTATCTCTTTTAACTTTCTCCCACCTCTCTTGCCAAAGATATCGTTGTAAATGTTCCTCGATTGAGCATTCATCTTTTGGATAAAAAGGCGGCATTCCAGTCCAATGAACGGGCCCTAAAAACAGAGTAAAAGCTTCAAAATTATAACTTACATTCCAGATCTGGGTCGACGTTTTGTATCCGCAACAAGAGAAGATTCAACATCTCGCCAAGGAGCTAAACTTGAATTTAGTAGTTAACAAATCGTAATACTAACCACAAAAGTTTGTAAGTCGAGTCCCGAGACTTTTGGCGGTAATCGTTGATCCAAATCGAGTCGTCTTCTACACCAAGATCGATCCTAAAAATAAGTAAATTCATGTAAAGTTGATGTTTTTTGATAAAATTCCATAATTGATCTATGTAAACATTGATTTTTCCATAAATATCGTATCATTTTCAAACTTTTACTTGTAAAATCTTCATCCAATTCATTCGTTTCACGACTTTTTCAGCCATCTCGCTGAGGGAGAGCATTTTCGCAAGAACTACATCATCCTGGATCAAGAGATGAGCCGAGTGACCCACTAAAAATTGAGGGCTTATTAAAGAAAAACAAACAAACAAACATAGTTCATGGCTGCAGCTACGACATGGAGTGCCGAATGGTGGATATAAGGCGTCAATCGAAAGCTAAAATGAATATTTTTTTCTTCGGAAATCTTAGATAACAAAAAGAAACAGAATCTACAATTACTGCAAGCATAATGGACCAAAAACAGCAACAAACCGTGATTCGTTTATGTCCGGATTCTCGCAGATAAAGCCGTTTCTCGTGATTTGAGCTAATTCTTTTCTCAGCGCCTCCAAGACGTGCAAACGGATTCCCGACTCGAGCCGCTTTCCAAGGATGAACAAAATGGGCACACGAACACGGATCTTCACCCTGAAGAGGTTTCAATTAGTTTTTTTATTCATAAGACATTGTTTTACTTGTAAATGGTGATACCTACTATTCAAATTCCTTGTTTTAAAAAAATCTAAACTTACTTCTTTGATTTGACACGGTGAGAAGAAAGCCAATCGTCGTAGGAGACGAGATCGCGGTAGGGCTTTTAGTCCGCCACTTTTTAGACTCAGCAAGTCGACCTCATCGGTTCGAACTAAAGAAAAGTTGTAAAACGATCTCTTTTTGATTATTTAGATACCGGCAGTACAATTTCACACGACAAAAGATGTTCAAAATGTAGATAACTAATTTAATATTTTATCTGCTAATGGCCTTGAAGCTATTTTGTCTACTCCAAGCAATAACAATAGAAAAAACCCACTCGGAAACTGTTTGTCGGCTCGTCGCACGTGAATTCCCTGACTGACACCGGGCAGTGGTACTAAATAAGACAAATTTTGAAATTTTACACACAAATCTACAAGTTTACAAGATAAAGTTTCATCTAGAAATCGAATTATTGCAAAAAAAAAAACTGACTATTTTCCTCTTCATCAGCCGTCAATTGATAGAGAATCGGCGGAGGGACGGGCAAATTTTGCGTCTCATCTCGAAGACGCATTCTTAATTGTTTCATTTTGACAAGAATAAAGTTATTCAGCCAATCAATTGAAGGATAATAAATTAGCACATGAAAACTGGTAAATAGAAAATGAAATGTCGTTTTTCACTGAATCTTTTTAGATTTCTAGATTAAACAATAAAATTTGCCTGTGAAAACGATTGAATTATCTTTTTTGAAGATATTCAGATCATAAGCAATAGTTACTAGGTGCTAGGCAGCACCATTTTGAACCCCACACTTGCCCCAGATATTTGTGTACAAAGTACAAAGTGTACTATAGTTGAAAGAGTTTGGATAAATGTTTATTATTCAGTTGTTTATGTGATAATGTTTATTATTATTATTATTTGTAAAATATATCAAAAATTAAAAGAAAAGTGGGTAATTTATACATGGGTTAAATGAATTTCGAAATTTTGGTGAGGATTGATTTTTACAGGGCTTTCGACTCATGCCAGGGCTTGTCACGGCGATTTCCTTGTTGTTGCTGTTGGCGGACGTGAGCCTCGAATCTGGAAAAGAGCAATTGGCTAAAAATTATTCAATATACTGTATTCGCTTATCTGTAATGTGTTATAAAATTCTCCTCAAATCATTCGTTTCGAAAACCTTTCCCTTTTTTCGTATTCTTTGTGAATCCTCCCAAAATCAGACAAAAAGTAGATAGATTGGATAAAAATAGAGACAAGATTACAGTAGTCGAGAAAGTTGACACATTTTAGAAAACAGTGGGCCAACCTAGCAATCCCGGCTGCTACCGTAAGCCGTCGAGCGCCAACCGGGGATGTTTCTGGCGTTGCATGGGAGACTTGTCTGAAATTTTGGAAGCTTCATCAATGATATAGACCTAATTAGGTATTACTTTATTATCAAATTATTAAATTTATTACAAAATCCAACCTGCTGAGCACTTTAGCCGGTTGAGCCGAGAAAATTGTCGAAATAGGCTCACAATCAGTTGCACAATCCGTCTCAAACATGCTCTTTGGACGAGGACGAGCCGGGTCCTCAAAATAAATGATATTTAGTTGGCCAGCTGTGATTCTTTTTGGATAAGTAATCTAAGAAATTATCCCAATTACAGCAATCCTTCTCATAACATAATCTTCAAAATACCTGTGATGAGAATCGTCTTTTCTGCATTTTCGGCGAGCGTTCCAGGAATTGACGTGCAGCCTGAACGAGCGGATCCTAAAAATGTTTGTTTTCATATTAAAGTCTTGGCTCACCAACCACGGTAACCCAGCATATCTAAGCTTTGGTTACAGTAACTCAGTAAAGCGTTATAGCAACCTTTTGTTATAAGCTTTCTTGCTACAGATCAAAGGCTACGGTAACTCACCCTATTCCCTTCATCGGGCTTGATTTGTTGTCGTCGAACAGCTTGAATGGGCAACACTTCTTGGGTGGGCACATGTTTTCGTGGAGCGGCTTTGGGGGAAATCTGGAAGTTAGACTTGTTCTCGAAATCTGCCCATTAATTAATCTGTTTATGTGCCAATAATTACCGTAATCTGTTCATTTGGGTCAATATTCTGAGCAACACCGAATTTCCGATGAATCGGCGGCGGGGTGAGCGCTGAGAAAGAGCGCGAGTCCAGCATTGGCGGCGATCGGGAGCGATTTTGACTGAAAAATACAACTGGCATCATTCAAGAGAGCTTTGCAATGGTTTTAAAGATTGCAAAATTGGCTGCCTATCCGTTTATAAGCAATTTTTAATAGGGATTTGTCTTCGCTCACTAACCGTTTCGTTTCTCCTCTTTCCAAACTTCTGGCCGCTTCATATGTCGCATACATGCTTCTCGGTCTCGTCCCACCATTTGCATTCCTCCGTAGCGATGTGGTCGATTCAATAGTCGTTGTCAATAAATGAATATCCTCTGGTCGACCATCAAGAATTTGATCAGCAGTTCGCCTTTCTAAAAATTAAACACATTAATTTCAAGCTACAATAAAAATCCGAATTACCATAATCCATTGCTTTTCGAGCTCTTGGGGTAACACGAGGTGGTGAGGGATTTCTCGGTTTTATCGCTGGCATTTTCGATATAATGATCGGTGTCTCTTCAAGTGATTGTTTACGAAAAGCCGTGTAGGTCAAAAATGGTTGAAGGGGAAGAGCGCTAAAGTTGGAATAGATTGTAATCATTTCAAAGCCTTACCCAACAAGTGTGTCCACCGATGAATCCCTGACACTCGAACAACCCGAATCCATGCTTAGCGAGGATCGATGCGAGATACAATCGGCAAGTGGGGAATGCGCTCGAGACACATCAACGCAGTCACGAATCTAAAAATCATTAGGATCATTGGGTTCAGTTAACAGTAAAAACTAAAAGACGCCAAACCCTCTAATAGAAACCCCTGACCTCGAAATCTTGACTTTTGGCGGATCATGTGACCTGTCTATAGAAAAATCAGAGTATAAAAATAAATAATCTAAAGTCGGCAGGAAAATTTATAAGACTATTTTCAATAAATTTGAAAAATGATTTGTCAAAAAAAAATTTGATGTGAATTTTTTCGGAAAATTTTCTATGGGAAACGGGTAAGAAAATTATTTCATTTTTTTTTTGATCTGTCTTCGCACTTAGGGGTTCCTATTTGCGCAGCTCACAATCTGCTTCCACATTTCTCTATCCCTTGCTATTGTCATCCAGTGTTTCCTATCTTGGTCGTTCCTGGTTCGAAGTCTTCGACTTGCTTGTGCTGGTGGTGGTTGCACTTTAGCCATCCTTCTGACCTCTGCCATCTGACCGTCTCTGCCACTCTTGTGCTCCACCTCGTTGCTGGTCTTTCGATGGGCCTCTTCTCGTCTCGTGGTAGCCACTCTGTGATCCGTATCGTCCATCTGTCGTCTTTCCTTCTGGCTTCTGAGTCTTTTCCTCTCAATCACTTTCACTGGATCTCTGAGTCCCGAGAGCTGGCACCTATCCATACTTCTTAGGTCTTGGTCGAGCTGCGTCTTCCTATTGTACCCGAGAAGATTCCTTTCAAGGGCTCGATGCGTCGTTCTCAGGGCTCGTTCAGTGGTCTGTGTCGTGGCCCAGGTCTCTGTCCCGTAGCAGAGTGCCGGGAGTACGGTGCTGTCGAAGAGGTGTGCCCGAGTTCTCTGGTGATTCTTGAGTATCCTTGTGACTTCTTTGATGCTTCCTAGTGCTGTCCAGGCCGCTCGTCTTCTTCTGGCTCAGGCTTAGGCTTGCGACCGCAATTTTTTTTGCGCAACAGGGTCATTTGCGCAACTGGAACTTGCCATAACTTTCTTCTAAGTGAACCATCTTTATGATTTTGGTTTCATTTTGTAGATCTCAATAAGTGCAACAAAATGAAACCAGAATCATAAAGATTGACCGACTTAGAAGAAAGTTATGGCGAGTTGCGCAAATGACCCCGACCGTAAAAAAAATTGCGGAAATTAGCCTACCCCCGAATATTAGAAGGATTACGTAAGATTGTTTTTATGAAAAAATCTATTCTGTCTCACTTACAATATGCTAAATCTTGAGACAAAACACAGAGACTTTGCCTTTTTCTAAAACCGACCGACGCTCTCCCACTGTCCTCACTCCGAATCGACTCTCTCTGTTGTGTGACGGCTTCGAATCGTTTCTCTCGACTGCGCACATCACCACAACTCGGTATCAATGGGAGTCTTCCACGCATATCCTGCAAAATTAGAGTTATCAGCAGAATCATCAGCAGAAAACAAAGTTTTAAAAGTTTAAAAAAATCCAAAATTTTCCCCAACCTCCATCATTCTCAAGTGTTTCGTTCGAAGAATGCCCAATTGTATCATCCCTTGTCGACAGGCTTCCAGCCGTTCCCGTATGCAAGACTCATCATGAGTGACCACTGATTCGATTTGAGTGTCTAAAATAGAGTGTGTTCCTCAAAAACTTGGGAAATGAGATAAATACGACCTTTTTTTTACGCACCCCAGCCCATTAGCGCACCATTTTTCGCGTTTTGAAAAAGCGAATATTAACCAATTTCTATTCCAAAAGAGTTGCTTTTTTGGGTAATTTTAGGGAATAGAATCGAAATAGAATCGAAATAGAATCAAAATAGAATCGAAATCAGAAGCTTGTGAAAGCAATTTGAAAGATAGAATGGGTAGATCAAATTGCAGAAAATCGTCGATTTTTCCCTATGTATAACTCCATTCATTTGCTTTCACAAGCGCTAATGTGTAATGATCAAAATTTCATATTTGGATTGAAAAAATCTCGAATCTACGTCCTAAAATTACCTAGAAAAACGGGGTGCTAGCAAAAGCGCTAAAGTATTTGCGCCACGTATCATTTACGCCAAATTTACGCTTTTCAAAACACTTTCCTACCAACTCTGATTGATTATATATATTTTTTTTCTCAGTTTTTTGCGGCTCGCTATTTTGCCGCCTTCACCGGATCTGAAATTGGCAAAAGATCGATATAGAAAGTAAAAAGCCTAATCGGGAACACAAAAATGGCTGCTTTTGGGGACTCTATAGGTATTTAAAACTTGTTTTTTTAATTGAAAACAGTGGGAATGAAAATTGTGAAGCAGAAAAATGAAAAAAGTTGGTTAGAAGTTGAGGAAAAGTGATTTGTTACAGTGATTTTCATAAGAGTAAATTTGACGCAAATGATTTGACGCAAATACGTGGCGCAAATGAAATTGATGCAAAGGATTTTGGCGAAAAAAAAAACGCGGCACTTTTGCTAGCATCTCAGGAAAACAACTTTTGGAATAGAAATTGATTAATGTTAGCTTTGTGTTTAAAGATATTCAGCCTTTTAACTGATTTGCTGGCAAATTCCCGTCAAATGTGAAAAAATCTTCAATTTACTCGACGTGTAAAGAGGATTACTCGTAGTTACTCGACGAGTAACTACTCGACAAAAAACGACGATTAATCGACTCATGCAGATTTTACTCGAGTAATCACTGACTCACTTATTTTACTCGAGTAATCACAAGGAACACATCCTAGTCTATTGCATGACTGACTATTGTTCAGATTAGCCGTAAATTGTCCAGATTAACCGTCATATAAGACCCAAGAAGGTTTTGAGCCTTCTATGCAAATTGCTCACCTGGAGGTCTGGCGGCAGGACCCGTCGTCGCACAAAGCGACATCCCGGGTGCCACCGCAGCCAGTCCGAGATTCCCTTTGTGAATCTATAAAGGAAATTAAGCGTTTCTATTGATTTCAAACAATCTTCAACGAAAAAAAACAAATTAGACAACATTGAAGTTTGCGAAATTGGTCCCAATAAGGCACTCGAAGACGAATTTGTATACGAAATTTTAATCCCACGCTATGGTATGGCAAAACAAATTGTCTTATTCTTATTCAGCCTAACTCGAGAGCCTTCTACAGTTCAGAAAGAAGATAACGTTATCAGATTTGCAATCTTAAGTTCCATCAAGATAACTGGTAAATGATAGTCCTAATCGTCTCCGAAAAAAAAGCAAACAAGTATCAATTATCATTTGTAACGTTAAAGGATGGTTGTGTGATTAGAGTGTGAGGGTGAAGATAAGGCAGAAGGGAGTACAAGAAGAGAGAAAAGAGATCAAGACACACAGCAGGGGGCTACCCCAATCCACAACCTGTGCACCATTCTCCTCTATCCGCAAATTTATCACCAAAAGCGATCAACAGAAAAGGAAAAAGAGATCAAAAAGAATTTGATAGAGAGCACACACACCAATCGACATTCCACATTTCCTGAAAGCGACCGGCTGCTGTTAGGGGCTGGAAAATTTCTCATTCAAATTTTTCATTTTTAAATCCTGATTCTCGTATGGAGGCTTGCACATATTTTCTCGATTATTTCGACGCCTTTCCACCAAAAAGGGAACTTGTTTCCCAAGTCTTTAATCACATGATTTGGAGATGAGAAAAATATTTGGGGAAAAATAAAGTTGCAAGTGCGGAGGAGCTTGCTTGAGATAGCTCAATGACTTTTCTTAATGTAAATTTTTGAAAGCTTTCATGATGCACATAATTTATCTCTCTAGAATACCTGTGTAAATGATTGCAACGTGAAGTATGTAACAAATCACAAAGTATGTACAAACTAGAATCGTTATTAGACAAAAACAAACAAACTAAAAACCGGCTACCGTCATTTCTCGTCGCTTTTCTTTTTATATTGCTTCAAATAGTCCTCTAATCGTTGCGTAAGTTCACTGCCTGATGGAAGTTTTGGGACCTGAAAATAGGAAATAAAAAATGAATTATCACCATGATATGTTTTATAGGTTGACATTAAAATTGAGGCAAGCACACAAATGTAGACTATGTTAATCGACTAAACTCAATAGATTAAATGAAAACAGAAAAGATCAGAACAATTAAGCCACACCATTTTCACCTATTGTTTGTTCTGCTCGATTACAGGGGTTGGTGCTGGTAAAGCGGGGTGGTGTCGATGTCGAAAACAGTGACAATTTTGTTCCTGGCATGAACATCGGCAACAGTGACCCCTCCGGCGATGTGCCCAGTCAACCTGGATTACAGGACTGTTTTTGAAAGTTTGATTTAAGCAGTAAAGCTTGAGATCGGTATTTTAATTTAGAGTACTAGTACTAATTTAGAGTTTGATAGTACTACATAAAATAGCAGTAAAACGTGGGAAATTGAGACAATTGTATGTTTTTTCTCAAAACAGCCCTGTAAGCCACGTTTTACTTGACTGCAAACATGCACAATAAGACGAAAGGTAAAATAAGCCAACCAGCACCATTCCCGGCATCAAAGCATGCAACAATATGCTAGTTATAATAACATTTCTTCTTTTCTTAGAATTTAAATTTTAAATAGTTGAACAAACCTGGTAATTTTGTACCGCGTATGCTCCTCCATAGACGCCGACAGCAAGTGCTATCAAATGCGAAAATAGACCCATCCTCTAAAAATAAACCCAATGATCCTATAAAACAAGTAAAACCAACTCTATGACAGCGAATATGTCGATAATAGTGGTAGTTGTATGGATTCATAGAACACTTAGCTCAAGTAAACGGCAAAGCACACAAATATTTATACACGGAGCAACCAAAATTTAATGATGTAATCACAGGGCCGATTAGATAGACAAAAGAAAATTGCGAAATAGTCGTGAAAATTTCATGATGAAATCAAAACAAAAAATACCCGAGTTATGCTTTACGTACAATTATGTATCTACCCAAATCGTCGAAATCTACAGTCAATTCGTTACTCTAAAACTGATAAGCTGTGCACGTGCCTCACAAAATGTTCAACTTCTTGCCGTCCTTCTTTTTCTCGTACGGTTTTAGCACTTCCTCGACTCGTTCGGAGATTTCTTTTGGTGACGGGATCCTCGGAACCTGAACCTAGAAATTAAATAAATTTGAAATAAGGCAAATTGAAATTTGTAAAAACAACTTTCTAGATTATCCGATCCAATTCGATCTATTTAACTGCTCTTATTAGCGATTTGTGCACCATTTCATTATAATGTTAGTTTGAATACTTTCAAACACATCTGTTAAATGATTCGAAGACGAATTCATCCTTTACTTATAATAAATGATGTTACTATTACTTACTTATAATAAATTAATAAAATTGCGTTCTTGTTTTCAACGGGAAGCAATCAAAAATGATCAACAGTCTTCTAAACAGAACGCACGCCACGTAAATTGTCCATTTTCTATTTGATAAGCTTTCGAGACATTTTAATCAGTCTTAACTTTAAAAAATAATAAACTTACATCGTAAACTTGAATCGCGTAAGCTCCGACGTACATACCGATGACAAAAGCGATAAGATGAGAGAACATACTCATCCTTCTTTCTAAAAATAAAATTGTAAAGCTGAAATATAGAAACGAACAAAAATAAGAACTCAAAGGAAAGTAACACTCAAGTTGTAGGGGTTTCCTTAGCCAAGAGAAAAATCAGGCGGACAAAGGAGATAAAGTCATGGAAAGCGATCGTAAATGGGACATTTTTGTTCAAAACTCGGTCACAATGGCCAGATTTTTTGTGAAATATTTATAATTAACACCTTCTATATGGGAAACTGCTCTTTTTTTTCTCTTTTACAATCAATTTTCTAGATGAAATCGGTCGTGGTGACAGGTTTCGGCCCATTTGGCCCTTATGCATCGAATCCATCGACCGAGGTGGTGAAAAACTTGGGCAAAGTGAGTATTTCTACGTTATCAGGAATAATATTGTGCACGTTAAACAGAAGATAACTAAGTTAACAAGGACACTTTCGGTCGGAAACCTTTAACACTATGAATTACTTTAGAGTAACGTTGAGAAACCCGATTTTCAGGTTGGACTCTCGGGTGTTGACGACGTGAATTTGATCACCGATTTGATGGCTGTCGATTATGACGAGGTCGACAAAAAGGTGCACGCCTATTGGAACGATCATTGCCCTGATGTAAGTGACTCGGGGGAAATCTCTGGAAAAAGTTTCAGCTAATCGTTCACGTTGGTGTGCACGGAGTGCTGAAAACAATCAAACTCGAGCAACAATCCACCGGTGATGGCTATTGTCGAGCGGATGTCTGCGGTTTGTTCTTCAAAAAAAATGTTCAAAAATCGTTTAGGCAAAGTTCCCACAGAGAACAAGGCGCCGAATCTTGAAAAGAACGATACAACGATGATTTCAAGCATCGATTGCGTTGAAATCGCGAATCGCGTAGCCAAAGAAATGGCACAAAAATGCTCGACTTTAAAAGTTGAACCAAGCTATGATCCAGGGCAGTAAGTGACCGTAGACTTAATGAAAAACAAAACTTACAGATACCTCTGCGCTTTCTCGTTTTACATCTCACTTTGCCACGACAAGTCAAAAGCGCTGTTCGTTCACATTCCGGAATTCGATGATGAGGTGGGGGAACGTTAAAAACTGATAAAATAGGGAAATGATCACGAATAAATTCAACGAAAAGACGCAAAGGGAATGAAATTTTGAGGGCATGGGACAAATGCTACCTTTTTTGCGCACCTGGATATTTGTGCACCTTTTTTCACTGGAAAAGGCCTTAGGAAAGGCCGTAGAGCTTCAAAAGTGTTTTCATGTACGGGAATCGCAGGCGTAGATTCCGAATTTCGATAAATCAGACCTCGCTGACACGTCAAATTTGGGCTAAAAGGCAAATGGGAAATGCGTAGTTTTTGCCTTTTAGCCCAAATTTGACGTGTCAGCGTGGTTTAATTTGTCGAAATTCGGAATCTATGCATACGATTCCCTTGTATGGAGGCATTTTTGAAGCTCTACGGCCTCTTCCAGTGAAAAAAAAGGTAGCATTTGTTCCTCCCCCAATTTTGGACGCTAGGCAGAGCTAAATACTAATTTTGAGCAACAAATAAAAAGAGACAAAGTCCAGGGTACGGTATAGTTTTCTTTAGAATTGCCGCTTTCTTTAGAATGATTCTTTAAACGCAATAGCATTATTGTTTAAATTTTTTAGATTTTAAAAACTTTCAGATAACTCTGGAGATCATAACCGAGGCTCTTCAACTAATCATCAAAGAGATTATCGTCGAAAAAGAACAAAAAACTGTAGTCTAACAAATTTAGTCAACTTTAGTATAAAAAGTGTCCAGAAAAGGTTGTGATTCCCCAAGAATAATGTGATACTTTGTTTTCTTTAATTTGTTCTTTGATTTTTGAAAGTTTACACGTAAAATTTCAGGTAAAATGGCCGAATTCCCGGAGCTTGGCAAGCGCTGCGCGGTGCTGATTTGCTCACAACTTGGTTCGTTTTTAAATTCTTGCTTTTTCTAGAGAAAAATCATAAATTTCTGTGAAAGTCTAGGTAAACTATCAAATTAAATATCTAGATTATTTTAGGTAATGACTGTTATGTTAAGCTGTTGCTATGTTAAGCTATGTTCTTTTTTAGATTTCACTCCTCATCTCTGCAAGCACTGCAAGCAATATTACTGGTGAGTTTTTCATAAGTTTATTTATATGTTTTTTTCTTAAGTTTAAGCTTTCTTATTGATTTGAATGAAGCTTATTGAGTCTAGCAATTTTAAGTTGAAATAACCGTTTTTTGTCAAGCTTTATGTAGTTTATGGTCATGGTTTGTGTGAATTTTTAAACTTTAGTGGCGATCACCGACTCTCCCACGAATGTTCTTCATCTGCCTCGGCTCAATGGGATGGAATTAGCAAGTTGAAGGTAAAGCTCGGTAATTTTGGATAAAATGTTATCGAAACAAAGCTGTAAAGTTGAACTCGAGAAGTTGAAGACAATCCTCCAAAACAAATACTATGTTTAGGATGCGATCCCGGTGAAGCCCTTCCTGTGTTCACAAGACGGATGTTTTCAAGGAGAAACGGTGAAGATTGTCTGCGAACATTGCTGCCTCAACTATTGCTTAAAGTAAGTATGGTTTTGATGGTTTTTGAGACTGTTCTTGTAGATTAAGATAGTCGTAAGAAATAAAATATTGAAAATGAGATAGTTTTTGCATTTTAAGTAGCTTGGCATTAAATATAAGATGTTAATGCTTGTGCCTAAAAGTTAATACTTTAGAGGATTGACGCTCTAAAGATTTTATTAGCTCTAAATTTAATATTCCTTTTAGACATCGACATCCAGATGAGCACTCATGCATTACTCAGCCAAATCGTCAAGAAATTGTTGCAGAGAAAATGAGAGAAATTCGGGTTTGTTTTTGGGTTCAAAGTAGATCAAACTTCAATTGAAGACCGAATAAATCAAACTTCAACTTTAAATCTTTTTTGATTTTCCAGGAAAAGCTTGGCGTTTCTGAATCATTACCCAGCACGTCCAATACAACAACAACTACGGCAAGAAAGGTAGATTTTAACGCTATCGTCTTTTTTCTTTCATTGGTTACTTTTAATTATTCAGTTTAAAATATTACATTGTTTTTACAGGTCTATTCTGATGCCGAAAAGAAGAAAATGGAGAAAATTGGTCTCATGAAGTGCAAAGCTGCGTGTAAAGGTTGGTATTAAACTAGGTTATAAAATTGCAATCATTTTGGAAATTTCTATGTTGCACTAAACCTGATCTAGTCAAAATTATACTATAGGAATTTTATTTCTGCAAATTCAGGCGTTGATATTCCGGCGAGTGAGCAACGCTTTCTACATGTAGCTGCAGAAGAAATTCCAGCAAAAGATGGCGAATTTGTGCTTGTCGGAGAAGTGTGTTTTTCACATGAGCTATAGAATCTAACCTAGTTTTTTAAAATTTTATAACCTAGTTCATTTTATTTAATTTTAGCAACTAAACAAGATAAAAGCACAAATTTCTTATTATTCTTTCATTTAGAAATGGTCAGTGAGTCGTTGTGTTGACTCAGCGATCGCTCGTCTCGGTTTACAAAATGCGAACTCGGATATTTGGGGGAAGGTTCGTTTTGTACTCTATAGTTACTCTTAATATTCATATTTATTCAATTTAATTTTGTAACACAAATTTTGATACTCGTGGTTAACTTTAGAAAAGGCGCTTATACCAGTCGAACAATCCAGATGCACTGCCATTCGACGCGGAAATCGGAGAAAAAGTCACGTTCAACGAGAATAAAGTCACTTATTTGGAGTTAAGGTTAGATTCTTGATCATTTTATTTATTTTTAAATGTACGGGTTTTTTTTGAGATAAAGTTTTATTGATCTTGATTTGATATTTGCACAGCTGAGCATCGTGAGCGTTTGGCGCTGAAAAGTTTCAGGAAAGAAATTGGTTGCGCTATTTGGAGCTATTTGGAGGAGAGATTCATTTAATTTTAATTTATTCAAATGCTCTAGCAATGTTTTTATGGTAAGTGCTCTTAATAATACAAATATTTCATAGTTGCTTGGGTTAATCATTCTCGAAAATGGGTTTTAGAGGAAATTTTGGAACGTGTTCCATCAAATTTAAGTTGCAAATTAAAAAAACATTGTTTTAGGTTAACAATAGCGGGAACGGGGTGGCCTTATTCCTAAAAAGCAATAAAAATTTGTTTTTTCTCTTAGCAAGTCAGAGAAAAAGACAAAAGTTATTGTGAGTGAGGGCAGCTCACAGCTCACTCACCTTTCCCCCTCCACCCACTTTCCCTGCAAGACACACCGCTGATATGGTTATCGGCCCCCTTTCTCCTATAGAGAGAAACTATGAGAGAAGTGCAGAAAAAGAAATTTTTTTTCGGGAAAATACTGTCTCGACCATTTGAAATTCTCTTCTCTTCGTTTTTCCTCAAACTACCAATTGATTCCGACACAATAGGCAACGCTTTTCGGCGAGGAATCGATTAAGGAACGATTTTTTGGCTTTCTTGGTGCATCTGCAGATTTCCCGGATTCGACAATGTTTCGGTGAGTTGATTGAAGTGGTGTAAAGTTTAGTGGTTGGGTAATTGAACCGACTTTAGCTTTCGTTTTGCCAACTTTAGCTTTCGTATGCCAGAATGCTGGCGTTTACTTGTCTTTCTTTGGTCTTGGTTTGTACTTTGCTCAAGCTTGTAAACGCATCCTTTCTGGCGCATTCTTCGCATTCATTCTTCGCAAATTCTTCATTTTTCTCGCGCCACTAAACCATTAATGCAAGAAAACTAAAAATTCAGTGCACTAGTAATGAGGTGGTTACGAGTGAGCACAAAGTACGCCGTCAAAAGAACAAGTCAAAATCTCTCCCTCTCAAAAATTGATATCTCCAAAAAATTTTATCTGTTTCTCTTTCATAATCTTAGAAAAGATCGAAGAATTTCTAGAGGATTATCCCTCAAAAATCCAACGTTATTTTGATAGTTTTTCCATTTTCAAAACCACTTATCGACTTATAAAAATTTTTAAAAGAAAAAGAGAAAAAAAAGACAAATTTTAAATGTTTAAAAAGATTTTTGTTCCTATTTGTTCAAAGGAAAAGCGTCACAATAAAAAAAATGATACGAGAAGAGAAATTTGTGGAGAGAAATTTTTCGCGGACAAAATTTTCTCAACTCAAAATTGATTAGCGGTTTGTTTATAATTAAAAGATTTTAGGTGTTAAATTTTGCACATTAAGCTGTTCATTAAGCTGCCCATTAAGCTGCCCATTAAGCTGTCTATTAAGCTGCCCATTAAGATGCCCATTAAGCACTTTGGGCTTAATGGACAAAGGTTTTTTTGTTTGTGGTCCGTTGGACAGTTGAAAGCCTTTCTTTTTCAACTTGACAACTTTTGCGGTCAATTGGGTGTGTGTTCAGTTGCAGTAAGCACAATTTGTTGTGAACCCAATAATCTAATAGTATTGCTTTCCCTTTGTTGACTTTTTCTCCAAATCTTCGTCAGGCGAAAGACAGAGCTGACCTGTCTAACCTGGTCTGTCTTAGTATTAAAGTCTGGGTTGCAAGTCCTGGCTTTCAGGCTCTAGCTCTAGCTTTAGCTCTAGCTTTAGCTCTAGCTTTAGCTCTAGCTTTAGCTCTAGCTTTAGCTCTAGCTTTAGCTCTAGCTTTAGCTCTAGCTTTAGCTCTAGCTTTAGCTCTAGCTTTAGCTCTAGCTTTAGCTCTAGCTCTATTCAGTGTTCTTTGTAAACGCACTCCTACTGGCGCACTGAATCCTCCCATATAAGCTCATATGACTGTTACAGGAAAATCTCAAGCTTGAGAAGACTCGATTTTGCATAAAAGTACCATCTTGTACTCGTTTTTGCATAAAACTATACCATTTTGTACTTGTTTTTTCCATTTTTTACTTGTTTTTTCCATTTTTCTCGTAAAACTACCATTTTCTAGAGTATTTTGTACTCCTTTTGTAGTATTTTATTGAAATTGATCCATAGATCCATTTAGATAATGAGAGATAGAAAAGTATACAAACAATCAGCTGGTCTCCTCTTTTCTCAAACTCTGCTCACACTTCTCTCGTTCAATCGTCCCTCTTTCAATCGGTCGATCGTCTCTTTTCACTCTTGCTTGTCAAAGAATGATTCATCGACCATTCTCTTCCCTTCTTTCCTTCTTTCCTTCTTCCCTTTTCCATTCTTTTCCATTCGACCAGTTTGCCAAAAACCCTCCATCTTTTCGTCTCATTTCGTTCTTCTTTTCACAAAATTTTCTCGTGTTTTCTGTCTGTTATTCTTCAATTAAAAAATATTATTATCATCATTATCAACATTATCAACACTCTCAACACTCTCAACATTATCAACATTATCAATTATCAATTATCAACAACAACAATCAAACAAACAAACTATACCTTAAGATATTCAACCAAAATCACCATACAACCTTTTAAAACCTATTTCTTTTCTATTATATCAGCTAAGATCAATGTGGCGAATAGCCACTAATATTTTTGAATGTTCTTTTTCAATGCTCTTTTTCAATGCTCTTTTTCAATGCTCTTTTTTGAATGCTCTTTTTACAGTAGAAGTAAAACTAGCGCAAAAACTGGCTCAAAAATGGCTACCAACGCTCAAGGCTTAGGCTTAGGCTTCTGCTTAGGCTTAGGCTTAGGCTTCTGCTTAGGCTTCTGCTTAGGCTTCTGCTTAGGCTTAGGCTTAGGCTTCAGGCTTAGGCTTCTGCTTAGGCTTAGGCTTAGGCTTAGGCGTACTTACAAGCCTACTTATAAGATTTTACAAGATCTAATAGATCTAATAGGTCTTGTGGCGAATAGCCACTAAAAAGTTACCAAACTCTGACAGCCTAAAAATTGGAAAAGTATTGAGAAAATCGGTGCACCTTCATTCTATCTCGCGCCTCAAATCATTTATTGTTTTGTAGCTTGTTAGCTGAATATCTTGTGTTAGCCTATATAAAGCCTATATAACGCAACTGTTGTTCATTTGATTTTTATTTCTTTTTACTTTTTCCTGCCCTCCGACCTGACCTTTTTTCGGACCTTTTTTCGGGACCTAGTCGGGACGCGATTTTTGTATGGGCGCTGTTTTGAACGGCGCTGTTTTCGCGGCGCTATTTTGACTAGGTCCCTTTTTTCTGACCATCGTGTGAAATTTGTGTCCTAATTAGGACGAAATTGTTTCTGTTTTTATTGTCGCTTTTAATTCAATTGTCGATTTTGTGTCGAAAATTGAAGAGTACCAAGCACGCAATCAGTATCAGTAAAGAATCAGTAAAGAAATCACCAATCAGTAAAGAATATTTCTTTACAATCAATAAATTTAAAGATATTCAGTCATATTTGTTTTCCTTTCTCTTCTTTTTTTCCATTTTTAGATAAATAATCGAACTTCTCCTACAAAAATCACAAAGTTCGATCGGTCTTTGTTTACCTCAAAAATTCTCTTCTCAAATCAGCTCAAAAATGTTGTTTACTAAGCAATTTGTCGAGAAATCATAAAAACTGATCATAAAACTGATTGAATTTGTTGAAAATTTGGGAAAATAAAGCTTTGGCTAAGTAGCCGATTTGCTAATTCAGCCGATTTGCTTTGAACAATTTTTGGTAAACGCTAAACGATTTGCTAAGTTTTCCGATCGACTTCACTTATTTCTCTTCTTTTCCCCCATTAAAATAAAATCTACATTTCGATAAACTCCTTTAAAATTCCGTGAATTCCTCGAAGTGCTTTCCAAATAATTTCTCGCGTTTCCATATTGTAGCCGGCCTTGATGTGCCTAGTGTCCTGACCTTGATGTGCCTAGTGACCTGGCATTGATGTACCTAGTGTCCTGGCCTTGATATGCCTAGTGTCCTGGCCTTGATATGCCTAGTGTTCTGGCCTTGATGCTTGCCTCTAAAATTTCTCCCGAAATCTCAGCGATCATGGACTTTAAAGAGCTTATTTACAGAGAATAGCAAGAGGTTTTCCAATCGCACATAGCACATAGCCAACTGTTCAAAAAGGGCACGAGGGGAGTGATCAGAAGGGAAAGAGCGAACTGAGTGCTCCCATGTCTACAATAACAACTCTTGTAAACAAACCAAAAGAGATCCCTACCCCCAGCTTTTATTCATTCATTGCCCGAAACTTTCAGACTAATATCTAAATCTGTATTTGATCTATAGCTGTATTTGATCTATAGCTGTATTCGATCTAAATTCAACTTCATGTCTGATACAAAGGTTTCGAGATTTCTTTTTCAACCCGATCACTCGTACGACTACGCGCAGCTACTGGCTAGGTAAATGTTAAGAGTTTGAAGAGTTTGACAAGAGTTTGACAAGAGTTTGTCAAGAGTTTAAACTGTCATCTATCAATCTAAGTATCATTTCTGAAATGATACTTAGATTGATAGGCGTTGAAAGCGCAGAGTCGGAGGCTTGGGCTTTGTCGTTGAGTTCCGTTCCTTGGTCCGTTGTCCATATGGCATCCTGATGTCCCGTGATTAGATCGCCTCTCGGCCTTTGCTTATCAATCAATCAATCAATCAATCAATCCTTGGCCCCAAAGATTTGGGCATACTCCCGGCTCAAATGCTCATCCTTTTAAATTAATCAATCGAAATGGGAACACCTATCAATAGACACCGTGTGCCAGATGGAGAGCGATTACGTGGCCACACAAAGAACACCTCGGCAGTCATTTATACATTTCTTTTTTTCTTCTGTAAATGATTCCCAAATGAGATTTAGTGTTAAAAATTTGTTTCCCGGGGTTTTCATAGTCATAAAATCTATTGATGAAGTTTATTTTAACTCGTTTTCTCAAGAAATCTCCTAAAAAAGCTAAAAAAACCTTAAAAAAACCTAAAAAAACCTAAGAAAACCTAAGAAAACCTAAAAAAACCTTTTATATAGATTTTTCTTGTATATTGTATAAAAAGAAGCTATTCAGTTATGAATTTGTATCAAAATTCTTTTACTAAATCTTCCAGCTGATAGTTTGGCTTAGTTAGATTGAACTTTTAAACACTCCTAAGCCTTTAGAAGTACTGATTTCTATTTAGCAAACTTCTATCGAATTTTCATGAAAAAGAATATTCCCAAATATTCATTTAATCTCCATTGTGGATTTGGCGAGAGGGGAATCAAGAGAAAAAAGAAAAGAAAAGAAACGAAAAGAAAAGAAAAGAAAAGGCAAAAATCTCAAATAGCCGAAAACGAAACGTAAAAAGTCTGAAAAAGTGCCTCCCTCGAGAAATTTTTTCTCTAAATCTCTTCAATTTCATTTATTTAAAGACGGACTTGAAGAAAATTGACTTTAAAAATAACTTTGAATTAAAAATAACAACAAATTCTAGTAATAGCAAGAACTTAAAAGAATAAATAACAAGATTTTATATAGATGTTACGTCCGAATCTGAGGAGACGTCCATCTCCGATCCGGACGTCCGAATCTGAGGAGATTCATTCTCCTCTGAAACGGACGTCCGACTCAGAGTTGGACGTCCGACCCTGAGTCGGACGCTAAGTGCGGACGTCCGACTCAGATCCGGACGTCCGCACTTAGCTCATTAGCGCACCTTTTTTTTCGCACTTAGCTCTAAGCTCTAAAAAAGCTCTAAAAGCTAATATTAACCAATTTCTATTCCAAAAGTTGTTTTTCTAGGTAATTTGAGGGCGTAGAATCGAAATTTTGACATAACAGAGCTTGTGGAAGCGAACGGACGGAGTGTGGAACCAATTCGAAAGACAAAACGGCTAGGTCAAATTACAGAAAATTGTACAGAAAGAAAATTGTGTTTTCTCTTTGTATAACTCCGTCCATTCGCTTTCACAAGCTCTGTTATGCCAAAATTTCGATTCTACGCCCTCAAATTACCTAGAAAAACAACTTTTGGAATAGAAATTGGTTAATATAAGCTTTTAGAGGTTTTTTAGAGCTTAGAGCTAAGTGCGGAAAAAAGGTGCGCTAATGGGCTAAGTGCGGAAAAAAAAGGTGCACAAATGTCCGGGTGCGCAAAAAAAAAGGTCGCATTTGTTCCACTCCCCCCTTTTTAATTTGAAACACAGCAGAAATCCCTTTTTTTCTCTAAATCTCTTCTCTTTTTTACATTTTCACATTGCATGGCCGGTTTCGTAGAGCAAAAAAAAGGGGGCCTTCACCTCTACTCCACCTCTTTTTCCCCTTTCACATATTCTCTTTTTATCCCTTTCCCCCTTCTCTTCTTCTTCTTCTTCTCCTCCTTCTTCTTCCTCTTCTTCTTCTTCTTCTTCCTCTTCTCCTTCTCCTCCTTCTCCTTCTGCCGACAGCTTGGCCCTTCCCTCCCCCTCTCCTTCAAACAAATATTACTATTCTCGAAAACTGACTGTTAAAAGTTTGTCTTTTATTATTGTTCATTCAATTATTCAATCGAACCTCTGCTTTTCTCTTTGCTGTACTTTGTTCATTCTGTTGTTTGCTGTTTTCCACGTAAATGTACCCCTTCTAGTTAACTAAATTCTTCATTTTCTTCAGAAAAAACGTGACAACTTTCTCTAAAGTCTTTATTATTATCCAAGCAGACTTTTGCATGATTGATAGGCTCTTAAATCGTGGCCTGTTCGCCTGTTTTTGCCCTTTAAGCCTTGCTTAAAGTGGCCTGTTCGCCTGTTTTTTTGAAAAATGTTCGAAATTACATTGTTGATTGATTAAATTTCAATAATTTTACTTTTATTTCTTTAAAAAATGAAGAAACAAGTGGACAAAGAAGCAAATGTTTGCAAAATTTAAGCACAGCGCTAAATTTTGACCAGATTTTCATCACATTTCATTTCGTAAAGCTTTTCAATCAACAAATCACTTTGTTATAGTCATTCTAGGGTTTAAAATTTCAAAAAGAAAACAAAGTTCTTTGAAATCTTAAAGATTTTGCCAAATTTTGTCAAATTTCGTTAAATTTCGCCAAATTTTGCCAAATTTTAATCATTTTAATCATTTTTTTTCTTATTAAAGTAAATTTCTTTGTGATTTCTATAATAATAAAAAGATCCCCACGAGAAATCACTAATCTCCCATCTCTTTTGCCTTTTTTTCCACTCAAAACCACTCATTTGAGGCTCATTTCTGAAGAAAATGATCAAAAATTACTTTTTTAGCTTACTTTTGGCTTACTTTTCATTTAAATGTATCAGATTTGATAGATAAAAGATTACTTTAGCGATAAAAGATAAAAGATAGTGATTATTTCTTGTTTTCTTCAATTTTCATTTATTCTCTGTGATTTACTTTATGTTTACCCCAAAACGCGTACTTTTTTTGGTTCATCAATTGATATTAAAGGATTTTATGCTTAATATTTGTTATTTTATTTACTAAAGTTTTATTTTAGCTTTGGCACGGGCAGCGATCGACCGACTCCATCAAATGCCGATAGAAGGAACGCAGTGAGGTTCGAGATTTTAGCTTTAATAAATATTGAATATTGATCAAGGAAAATATTGATCATTCAATGAAATGAATATCACCAATCGAGTCGCGATCCCGAGAACTCCCGGGTACAAATTTGCAGCTAAATTTCTTGCCTACAAAGCAAGAGAAATCGCTCTGTAAATGGTGGCCTTTGTGCGCTTGTTGAGCGTGTTGGGCCGGTGTTGGGCTGTCCAATTTCGATATTTTTGATATCATTAGATGCGTCAAGGCCTTCTCTATCGATTGGTATAAATCGCTCGCCATCTGTCGAACCACCCCAGCATAAAGTGCTTCCCTTTTCCAAATTTTTTTGCGTCAATCTGTCATCATCAATCCTCGAGCTTCATTCAAATCAGATCCAAATTTATACAGAATTTAAAATCAAAGAGTTATATGACTTGATGGCCCCAAGTTGGCCCGTATTGGCCGACAAGTTGGCCCCTATTGGCCCCAAGTTTTTAGGATCAATTGACTTTTGGCTGTATTTTTATAAAAATCCTATTATTTTTGTTGTTTTACTTAAACAATAGCCAAATTGAGGCAAGAATTCGATTTAAGTTGAGAGTTTTATCTCTAGATTTTCTCAGGATTCATTAGAACAATTAATTCTTATTTGATATCATTTAAAAGGTTGACTTAAAAGTTTTCTTTAATAAACTAAAGTCAAATAAGAATAGAATTTCTCAAATAGTACATAAGAAATTTGTATTTGTTTTTAGAAAGCCAGGGAACAGCATGGATTTGCCGGACGAGGAACGCGTCGATATGAGCAATTTTGCACTTCTTCGAGTCCTCGGGAAAGGGGGTTGGTTTGAAAATTTGAAATTCTCATTTATAAATTTGCCTACGTAAAATTTGCCTATGTAAATTGTATTATATTTGTATGCTATTTGTATGCTATTTGTATGCTATTATATGCTATTTGTATGCTATTTGTATGCTATTTGATTTGTAACAATTATTTCTGCAAATTTCAGCCTACGGAAAGGTGTACTTGGTGCGGAAAGTCGGCGGGAAAGATCACGGAACGGTTTACGCGATGAAGGTTCGCAAATTTATGAGTTTTAAATGCGAATTAAGCTTTAAATATAGTAGAAGATTAAAAATTAGAAGAATGCTATGCTAAACTTATGCAAATCTTTTAGGTTTTACGAAAAACCCGGGTGATCAGCAAGCCAAAAACTCTCGAGCACACGCTAGCTGAGAGACAGGTGAGGGAAAATTCTTTTTCTTATGTTTCACCTTGAAAAATTAAAGCTATACTTAGATTTTAGATATTAGATATTTCTAAAGTATAGGTATTTTTATATTTAGGTGCTAGAGAAATTGCGAGGCGTCCCGTTTTTGGTCAATCTACAGTACGCTTTTCAGACGGACACCAAGCTGCACATTGTGATGGGTGGGTTTAGATAAAATAAAATATAGATAAGATAAAATACTAAGCGCAAGTTAAGATCAGATTAGAGCTAGGTTAGGGTCAAGGCTTAAGGCCAAAACCAGGGTTAAAGTCAAGGCTAAGGCCAAAGCCGGGGTTAGAGTCAAGGCTAAGGCCAAAACCAGGGCCAGATCAAGACCAAAACCAGGACCAAGATCTGGACAAGGGCCGGAGCCAAGCCATACCAAAACCAGGCCCCGAACCAAGGCCAAATTTCAGGTCCTGAGCTGGTCAAGCTCAAGCTAGAGCTAGAGCTAGCTCAAAACCAATCCCAGAAACATGCAGTTCCTAACTTTGGTTGAAAGTCTAGACTTTCAAAGAAAGCTTTTCAGAATATGTCCGAGGTGGCGAGCTGTTCACCCATTTGTGCGGTCGTGGGCACTTTGATGTGAACTCGACGAGGGTGATTGTGGCCGAGTTGATCATCGCCATCGATAACCTTCATCAGAGAAACATTATCTATCGGGATCTCAAATTGGAGAACATTCTGCTGGACGAAGAGGGACACATAAAGCTTACCGATTTCGGCCTCTCGAAATTGTTGATTCCAGAAGAGGTTCGGTTTTGGCTTATTTTTTAAAACATACACGACGATACGGCCCACCGATGGGTTATCGGAGATTTGATACGCCCCTTTTGCCATTGCCATAACTTTGAGCCCAAATTTCTTGGTGTTGGGCTGTCCAATTTCGATATTTTTGATATCATTAGATGCGCCAAGGCCTTCTCTATCGATTGGTATAAAAATTATTTAAATTGAACAGCATAACACCAAGAAATTTGAGCTTAAAGTTATGGCAATGGGAAAAGGAGCGGGGCGACCTTTTATACGCGCCCCGCCTCTTTTGCCATTGGTAATCTAAACAATCTTTTGCCATTGGCGCGTATGAAATGTCTCACAATCTTTTTGTTTAAGATATTTACTATTATTTACAGCTATTTATTTCTTTAGCTGATGAGAGCGAATTCTTATTGTGGCACAATCGAGTATATGTCCCCAGAAGTGATCAATCGGCCAGAAGGTGGCTACACGAATGTGGTTGACTGGTGGAGTCTTGGGGTTAGTTTATTTTTATATTTTTTTAATAGTTTTATATTCATTGACAATGCTTTAACGGGTACTTTGTGCTCTAACCTCTCTAACAAAACTACCCTCACTCGTATACGGTTATTTGTTAGCAAATGACAAAACAATTTCACTGTGTCAAAAAGTGTGCATTTGTTAGAGCACAAAGTACACAAACTAAGCAATAAATAAATAAATAACTGAATAACTGAATAACTGAATAACTTACAAATTTCTAGGTGATCACTTTTGAGCTGCTCACCGGTTGCTCTCCGTTCACCGTCGATCAGGGCGCCAACTCGAGCAAGGACATTGCAAAGTAAGGTTTTAAATTTATCTAGATCGTTTATTTAAAGATTTAAATATTTAAACATCTAAAAATCTATCTTTTAGAAGAATCCTCTCGAAAAAGGTACCATTCCCGAAAAATATGGATGTGGAAGCGAAAAATTTCATCGCTGCTTTACTAGAGAAACAATTAGAGAAGCGATTGGGATATAAGGTTAGCAAAATTTGCGATAATTTTAAAATTAGACTAATTTTTAGGGTGTACACGAGTTAAAATCTCATCCTTTCCTCCGGGAGATCAACTGGGAGAAAGCGTCGAGACGAGAGCTCGCCCCGCCAATTGTTCCGAATATTGTTGATGAGGTGAGAGTTTTGTAGAGGAAAAACATTTATCCTAGGAAACAGATTCTAGGCAGTCTAGTACTAAATCCAGAACTAAATTTTTCTTTTTCTTTTGCAGCTAATTGCATTATGGCTAGTGAGCTAGCATTGATAGGTTTGATTTGATAAGGGATCTAAAATCAAATCACTGCCAAGACATCTGAGGTAAAAGATCTGTAGCTGGTTCTATGTGTAAAAAGTCTCTTGGAGTTGATCAGTCATACATTTCATCAAATTGTGCTTTCAGATGGACACCACCTACTTCGCTCAAGAGTTCACAAATCAACCGCCTCTTTACTCACCGGCCGACGCACCGATCAACTCAAATCAGCTATTCAGGGTATTTAAATAGCTTTTGATTTATAAATTAATTAGTTTTTAACTTCCGATAAATTGGCGGTGTTTTAAATTCCAAATTCTAGGGCTATTCTTATATCTCCCCGTCGGTAATGTTCGCGAACAATAACGTGATTGGGGAAGAGTTGATGGAGGAAGATGTTCAAGTAAAGCGTTTTGCTGAGTATCTTTATCAAATGAAATTCTAGACAATGTTGGCCACTTCACCATTCTTTGCCAAGTACAAGTTGGACACAAGTGATCAAGGATTTCTTGGGAAAGGATCGTTTTCTGTGTGCAGGTGGATGAATTTTTGGATAGAAATAGAGATTTTTGTCATTTCAGAAGGTGTACCCGAAATGCGGACGGTTTGCTCTTTGCTGTGAAGATCGTCTCACAGAAATTTGCTGTTCAAGCCCAGCGAGAAGCTGCTATTTTGAATTTGGTTAAAGGTTTGTATTGAATTTAAATCAAAACCAGCTTTGATCAAATCTAAACCTTCATTTAAAACATTAAAATCAGAGGCTGGGTTTTGAAAAGTACAGTAATAGTACTTTTCTAGGTCACCTCAACATTGTTCGAATGGAAGAGGTAATGTCCGATGCGCTTCACGTTTACATCATCATGGAGCTGCTCAGTGGACAGGAGCTCTTAATGAGGTAGATTCGGAATATTCTGTCTAAGAACCAGGCTTTATATAATGCTTTTGATTTCTAATCATTTCCAGAATCCGACGACTTGAGAAATTCACAGAAAGCGAGGCGGCGATTATCATGAAACAACTCGTCGCTGCCGTCTCATTTTTGCACTCGAAACGGATTGTGCACAGGGATTTGAAGCCAGAGGTGAGTCTGACGATGAGAAATTCTTTGCGTTATCCGGATCTTTACATTCTTTGCATTATCTTTACAGTCCGGAGCAAGCACCAGACTTGGCTAAGATAAGTCATCCTAAAAGAGCACACTGGTCTCATCTTGGCACTGGCCTAGCTTGATTATGGTCCTGACACTGACACTGATCCAATCTTGACTTTGACCTGGCCTAGTCTACTCTAGGCTAGTCCCGTTCCTTCGCCTGGTTCCAGTTTCGACACTGGTTTGGTCCTGGCTTGACCATGATCTATGCTGGCTCCGGCACTGGCCTTGCCTAGAGCTGGCCCAAATCTGATAGATGACCTGATACTGGTTCTGCCACTAGCCTGGTCTTTTCTTTAGTCTTGACCCTGACTAAGTCCTGAAAAATCTTGTACTACAATACTAGCTAATGATATTAGTACAGTGTCAGTATTGGTATGGGTGGCTAAATACTATTCATGTAAGTGGATTGAGTTATTCTTAGTAATGTAAAAATTTTCTTTCTACAAGAACTTTCTACAAAATAAAGTCTTTAAAAAATTGAGTTGAAATCGAGAATAATCGTTATTAATAAAGCCAATTGTGGGTCAAAAGGTAAACATATTTAGTTTATAGATTGTGTTTTTTTTTATTTTAAAATATTTCTTTTTAGAATATCCTCTTCGAGAGTGAGGATAAAGACGCGAAGCTTCGTTTGGTCGATTTCGGTTTCGCTCGTCTCCTTCCGAATTCTGTCGAACAACAGCTGAAGTTGGTTTTTTTTTTGTTTATATGTCGTAGCCGATTATGAATGAAATTTTTTGGCAAATATTTCTAGTAGAGCAACCCTTTAATGTATGAGGACAATATTATATCATCTTGTAGCGAATTGAATTCTGCGTCGATTGGTACCAAATTTGTGAGTTTAGGTTAAAAATTACCGGCGCTACAACGTTTCATTCCAAATCGGCGGGACCCCCGTAGCCGATTATGAATGAGTGGGTTTAGGAGCGTCCAACCATCAAGTATTTAGTATCATTCAACGCAGAATCATTGATAATTATGTTAAATTTTTGAAAATAGAAAGATTGGATAAAAAGAACACAAATTATGGGGCTTCAAAGTTTTCTCTTGAACAAACAGTTTTTTGCTCTAATTTTTTTTCTTTCTATCAAATCTTGCTAATTTTAAAAATTTAACATAATTATCAATGATTCTGCGTTGAATGATACTAAATACTTGATAGTTGGACGCTCCTAGACCCACTCATTCATAATCGGCTACGACATATACAAGCGAAAATATACAACTTGAATTTCATATAATTTCTTCATTTTCTCTCATATTTTTCAATAATTTCTATCCGCTTTTCAGAGCGCAACCGCTTCGAAAATTGTATGTTCCTTATCGTTTTTTTACTGAAAAAAATAAGATTGATTTGTTTGTCTTTTTTTGAGTGATTTATAAAGTTAAAATTATTAAAATTATGTTAAAATTAAGTTAAAAATTCTCTAGAATTAAACAATTTGCATTTATAAATCACTTAGCTCACTAATCTCTTTGAATTTTTGAAAAAATATTTGTTTTTTTTCTTGACAGAAACTGGGGTTGGCTAATTTCCGCAATTTGTTTTTTTTTGCGCAACTCGTCATAACTTTCTTCTAAGTAGGTCAATCTTTATGATTTTGATGTCATTTTGTTGTACTAGTTGAGTAGTTGAGATCTACAAAATGAAACCAAAATCATAAGGATTGGTTCACTTAGAAGAAAGTTATGGCAAGTTGAGCAAATGACCCAGTTGCACAAAAAAAAAATTGCAGAAATTAGCCTATCCCAGAAACTGAGCATTTCTTGTTTTTTTGCATTCATTTCTGTGTGAAAATCTAGATTTTATGAGACAAGGAGGCAGATTTTTGTTGACGAATATCGAAATTTTAATGAGAATTCGATTTTTTTTGTTTACTTTGAGTCGATTTCTGGAAATGCACCTTTTTTGGCGCACTGAATTCCTCATTTTCTCGCGACATCAAAGCATTGATGCAAGAAAAGGAGGATTTCAGCGCGCCGGAAAGGAGGCGTTTACAGACTTGAACACAAAGTACACAAAAATTTGTCTCCTTATTCTCAAAAAAACCTTTCTCCAAGTATAGATGTTCTCTTCAAATAGTTAGCTACATCTCTAACTAGTTTTTGTTAGACTATGCTCATCTTGAACTCTTTTCTGTGCTCTCCAGAAAACCGTAATCCTTGGATTACGGTAACTTTTCCAGGAGAGCACCCTTTAGAAAAGCAAGAGCTTTCTAAAAGTTATCCCGTCAAAAAGCAAAAAGTGCAAGATATTTGGCAATATTTCGTTTAAAAGGCTTTTCTCGCGTGACAGCCAGTAGCACCTAGTGGCCTAGTGGATGAGGAGCTTGTGTTCAAAGCGAGGTATCTATTCTTTGCTCGGGCTCGAGTCCTCGCCTTGCAAATTTGTTTGCTTTTTTTTGATTTTAAGGAGGAAACTAATACGAATATATTGTGTTTCTTTTCATTTCCCCGACAATAAATAAAGAAAAGAGAGCTGTTAACTGAAAGAAAATAAGATTTTCAATTAACAGTTGTGGTTTCTGAAAGCGTGAGTATGAGCAGCTAATTTTTGCGGCATTTTGATCATCTTAGTCGTTTTTATAACTTCTCCTTGAGCGTCTGGCGAGCTGGGATACTGTAAAAGATTACGGTGGCTTTAGCATCTTTTAGAAAACTCTTTAATCAAGATGAACCCAGTCTAGTCCTTCTCACATTGTCCTCAATGTATAGATTGCTTTTTGCATGCACTGTCATGGCTCTTGAATGCTTTCTATTGATTATGATAATTGTACTTTGTATTCGCTCGTAAAATTACCCTATCTGGCGCATTGAATTCTTCGCTTTTCTTGCAATTCAGTGTGCAAGACAGGGTGCGTTTACGAGTGAGCACAAAATACGTACAAAGAACAAATTACTTGCAGCCACTCAAGAGACCAAGAGAAAAATTGAAAATCTTATTGGCTAGCTTGGATAAATGATTGTAAAATTTGCTTATTATTATTAAAAATAGCATTTAGAACCCCGTGCTACTCGTTACAATATGCTGCACCGGAAGTTTTGGATATTGGAGACACTCTGCCTGAGTACAATGAACAATGTGATTTGTGGTCATTGGGAGTCGTCTTGGTGAGTGTTTTTTTTTGAGTATAATCGAAAAGATACAGTAAATTCGTTGTTTAAAAGAAATCTATTTTTGAAAACTACCGTAACCACGCCAGTTTTCATTCGATCAGCTCAATTTTGGTATCATTTGATGAGGGAAACACAAGCCTCAATCAATGATACCAAATTGAAGCTGATCGAATTGATGGCATTGATTACGGTAATTTGTCTGAAATAATGGCATTGATTACGGTAGTTTGTCTGAAATAATGGCTTTGATTACGGTAGTTTGTCTGAAATGGGTCACTGAAACGGACTACGTGTTTTTCATTTCATTTTTCAGTTCACAATGTTATCTGGTCAAGTTCCATTCCATGCTCGCTCGAAAACCGAATCCGCGACGGATATAATGGAAAGAATTCGGAAAGCCGAATTCTCATTCGAATCCGATGCATGGAAACATGTGAGCTACGATGCGAAGGAGCTGATTACAGGTGAATTGCAATCTTTGAGCAATAGCAAAGGCTTAGGCCGCGACAGAAGATTATGGGACATTTGATACGGGCGCCCCGCTCCTTTTCCCATTGCCATAACTTTAAGCTCAAATTTCTCGGTGTTAGGCTGTCCAATTGCAATAGCTTTTGTACCAATCGACAGTGAAAGACTTGACACATCTAATGATACCAAGAATATTTAAATTGAACAGCCAAACACCAAGCTATTTTAGCTCAAAGTTATGGCAATGGCAAAAGGGATCGGGCGCGTATCAAATGTAAAAAAGAGCTGTTCATTTATCAGTTGAATTATCAATAGGTGTACAATGGAAAAACGAAATTTGACTACTTTAACGGATACTTTTTCAGTATTTCTTTCTACGTGAAAGTAGAGTTTTTCAAGCTCTATATTTTGGTCTAAAAAATTCCTGGAAAAGTAGACGTTGAAGTGTCGTTTTTTCGTTTTACATCTATTGACAATCAAAAAGATAAATGAAGAGCTTTATTGTAACATAAAATTGCTAAAAAAAGCTTGCTAAAATCTGAACTTTATAGGCCTGTTGACGGTTGACCCGAAAAAGCGCTTGACAATGGACAAACTGCAGCGGCATATGTGGTTGAATGCGAATTCTTTGGACACCCCCCTGCAGACTCCATCGATTTTACCATCATTTGCCGGTAAAATATCATTTGAAAACATTTGAATTTAGAAGAAAATACACCTTAAATATTCAATTTCAGACCAAAACTTCAACGAGACTTTGCAAGCGTTTTTGTCCGCGAATCGAGACGGTTTTCATTTGTTGGGTGAGTGTCTGTCTTACAAATTTTGTTAAACCTTCATAAAGTGTTGTTTAAAATTGAATATTACATAAAATTTTTAGAATTTACTATCAGAATCCTTTAGGTTTACTTCAGATTTATCTAGGGTTTAGTTGGCAGAATCAAATCTGAATTTATAACCCGGCCTGGCTTGATCAGCTGAAACTGGATTCGAAGCTGGACCTGAATATAAGGTTTACAGCTACAGGCATAATATTTCTTTCTTCCTTTCTTCCTTTCTTCCTTTCTTCCTTTCTTCCTTTCTTCCTTTCTTCCTTTCTTCCTTTCTTCCTTTCTTCCTTCCTTCCTTTCTTCTTCTTCTTCTTCTTCCTTCTTCCTTCTTCTTTTTCCTTGTTTTTCCTTTTTTTTCTCTCGGCAATTTAAGCTACCGGATAGCTCAGTGGTTAAAGCAATTGCCTGGAAAGCGAAAGGTTAAAAGCAAAAGTCGTAGGTTCAATCCCCTCTTTCGGAAATCTACCTTTTCTTGCCAATTCCTTCACTTCTTTATATCTAACTATAAGATATCAGTTAACGACAAGTCAGAGCCAGGGTTTGGTCTGGCTTAGCCCATAAAGCCTTGGAACAGGGTTGAACCTGGATCAGATCAGTTGACCCTGACTCTGACCGAGTTCTGGCTTGACTTTTGACCTATCCCGGTGTCACAAACGGACTCAGGACTTAGTTTACAAGGCCTAGAGCCAGTTGGAACGTCTTAAAATATATAAGTTTATAAGATTACGGTAGAATAAATCTAAAACACAAGCTTTAGATGTGGCTGCGGCTCCACTTTTGAAAAGACGAGGTCTCAAAAGACAAAGCGGTGACGGGCCAGGGGCTGGTGAGTTTAAATAACACAATTTCTTCAAAAATTTTTACTTACCATAGATCATAGAGCAAAAAGAGACTTGTCTTTGTAAAGTGTACTTTGTGTCCATGTAAACATTTCCGGTGCACTGAATTCCTCATTTTTGCCGCAAAAAAAATTCAATTCACTGTACCAGAAAGTGCGTTTAGAAATTTGAGCCCAAACTACACCATAAAAGACAAATCTCGTGTGCGGTGTCTTTTTTTTAAAAACCTTTTTAACACCTCACATAATGAATGAACAGTTAGCTATGAGATTTAAGTGATTCATTCAACTATTTACTATATAAAAGTCAGGTACCTGTCTGTCCGTCTGTATTGGGCTCATTTACATTATTTTTAGTTTGTTAGGCTTAGAATTCTATATAGTTATGAATTCTTGGAGACTCTGCAAGTTTTTGAAAAAAGCAAGAGTCGACACTCAGCAGGGACTCGCACCCGGATCTCGTCGGCTGCAGGCCGGCGCGCTATCGACTGCGCTACGACGACAACAAGCTGCTGGCGAAAAAAACCCGCTTTTAACCCGTGAACCGGGTTTTTCGGCTAGACGGCTCGCCAAAAAACCCGCTTTTAAGCTGTTAAGCGGGTTTTTCGGCTAAGCAAGTTTCGTTGCCGTGGCGTAGCCGGGAACGCGCTTGTCTACAGCTCACACGATCCGGGTTTGACTTCCGGCTTAGAGATTCGAGTTTATAGATTAGAGAGGGTTTAGGCGTAGCCTCTAGGAAAACCCTGGAGTCAAAAAAAGGCTATCCTACCCTGGCTCTGGCCTGAGTACGGTAATTTTGTTGTTGGTCTTTTGGTGCTCTATTGGTGGTGTTTTGGCTCTGGATTTAGCCAAGAAACATAGCCAACTGTTCATTAGATGTTCAATATTAGTCCATTTTAATATTACTTCACAAATTTCCGTGTAGATAGTCAGCATACAACGCTTTCCTCAGTGAGCGAAGCGGCAGAGTAGGCGCACAACAATTGCCATAAAATTCACTGCACTTTTCGATATACTTTGTGCACTTGTAAACGCACGCTTTCTAGTGCACTGAATTCCTGATTCTCTTGAAAGCATTGCCTTGTGAAAAATGAAGAATTCAGTGCAGTAGAAAGCGTGCGTTTACAGAGAACGGCTATTTTAGCCATTTTAGCTTTCTTTCACAATCGCTCACCTTAAAATAATTTAATTTGCATTTGCATTCAAATTTGCATTCAAGCTTCACTTTTTGTTTTTCTTCTCTAACTCTTAACTTAAAATTTACATATTAAATAAAATATATAGAAAGATTTAGGCTCAGCCAAGCGTCAAGTCGTTTTTGAGCCAGTGCCTGAGGGAGAAGAGGCACAAATTGGACGACCAACTACACTTGGTTTATCGTCACCCGATGCGCTCCTCGCTTATCGGTGAGTGGATTATTTCTTTGTAAGACTTTTGAAAACCCTATGTAATATCCGTTTTGTAAAGCTAGACTATGGTAACGATGTCGGTAGGGCGTCGGAAATCGATGCCTTTGAATGAAATTCGCGCATTTTTAAATGAGTAGTAGCCAAGCCTCTTTCAAAGCTCATAACTTTGTACAGTGAGAAGATTATTATTAGCTTTTGATATCGTTTGAAAGAGGATATTTCAGGCTTTCGAATCATATCAAATAGAGCTTTATTGGATTATTTGTTCCCGTGCAAAATCAAAGTCAACTAGACCAAAAGAGCTCGACTCATTGCATCTTTTTTTTCATGAATTTAAATGCATTTTTAGGAATCAATTAAACTTTATTTTATATCATTCAAAAGTCCGAAATATTCTCTTTCAAATGATATAAAAAGCTAGCAATAATAGAGTCTCTAAATAAAGTTATGGACAGTTTAAAGTTTGACTGTTCATTCAAGCTTTGAAGAATTTTTGTTATTTGTTCTAGATAAATTTATATTCATTTTTACGGGGGAAATTCAGGTCTATTGAATGAATATAATAGTTTATCTTTGACTTCTTTTAGACCAAATTACTAAAACAGTTAACGACTACGCGATTGTACGCAAAAAAAAATAAGCCGCGTGTTGTGTTAAAAGAGCCAAAATTTGATTACTATACGATGTATCAAAAAATAGAAAAAGCTACCGTAAACGACTACAAAAACATTTTAAAAATATAATATAGTAATGAAATTGCATAGTACCGCATGGTAATGCAATTTCGAAATTTTCAGCGATCCAATGCCGGGAACAATTCGCGAAACGCGAGACTCAGCCGATTCCTAGATGAGCTCTTTATTAGATCTGAGAATTTTCGGTGTAAACGTCAATAGGTGTTTAATGGAAAAGTTGGCCATATCTTGGTCATTCATTGGCCGTCTCTTGGTCAAATCTTGGCCGTCTCTTGGCCTTCTTCTGGCCATATCTTGGTCATATCTTGACCGTCTCCTGCCTCTCTCTTGGCCGTCTCTTGGCCATCTCTTGGCCTTCTCCTGGCCCTCTCTTGGCCCTCTCTTGGCCTTCTCTTGACCAATTTCACTCTTATCTTTTTGTCTTTCATTTCAATCGATAGAAATTAAGATTCCGCGTTAATTGAGATCAAAATCAACAAAGATTAGAGTGAAATCGGCTGCCAAATCCCATTTTTCCGTTGCATGCCTTTTTAGCGTTCACACTGAAAACTTCGTCTACTCTATATGCAAATTTTCCGTGTACCTCGAAAAAGATATTCAATTTGCACATTTTTAAATGAGTCAGGTCAAAAAAAAACCGAAACTTTTTATTTTTATTGCATAAACTGCCGTTGATTTTTCATTTTATTAAAAAAAAATTGATTTTTAGGGCATTTTCACATATCTTTTCTTTGTTTTTTTTTCTTGTTTTGTTGATGTTTTTTAAAATCTTTTAAAAAATTTGAATTGAATTTGAATTTGAACCTTTTACTTTGCCCAAGTTGTTATTATGTAGAAAAACGGAGATTTAGGGATTAAGATGTTTTCTAACAAAATGCTTCTGGCTACTCTAATCCTTTGAAAGGCTAATTGTAAGCCTACGCCTGAGCCTGAGCTTGAGCCTGAGCCTAAGGCTAAGCCTGAGTCTGAACCTGAGCCCTAAGCCTAAGCCTAAGCCTAAGCCTAAGCTTAAGATCTAAGCCTAGGCCTAGGCTTAGCCGGAAACCCATCAAGCCAAAGCCAGTCTTAAATTCGTAGACTTGACTTAGCTTGGTCTTGGCTTTACCCTAGAAATCTAGAGCCTAAGACCTAGGCTCTAGATTTCTAGGGTTTCTAGGGTTAGCTCAGTCTTAACTGGCACTTTCCACATTTCTTGGTATTCATCTGCTAAGCCTAAGCCTAACCGAGAAATCCCAGACCCAAATAGACTCAGTCTTAGCCGAGAGTCAAGCCTAAAAGGCTACCATCTCTTGGCCAATCAAATGATTTCTAAACCTAGGCTTACTGTAACTTGTAGCTCTTAGTGTACTTTTTACTAAAATAAAGAAAAAAAGAAAATTCAGTGCGCTAGAAAGGTACGTTTACGAGTGAGCACAAAGCACGCACAAAAAAAATGCAATCTGTGTGTCTTTTGTGCTCAAAAACGTAAAAGCCGGCCTTCTAATGCACTGCTTGGAAAGCCATTTGTGCGCAGAAGACATTTTCGTTTACAGATTTGAGCAAAAAGTACATTAAGATGGTTTAGCGTAACCCGAAAGCTTCATTTCCCTAAACGTTGCCGAATTTTTTGATTTTTTTCGACATTTCCGACCAAAATGCGGGACAAAAATTGACTTTATTTTTAATTTAAAAAAAAAAATCGTTTTTAGTCTGTTTGTTCGTTTAGTTCATAATTTTGTGATCATTTTACATGTGTTTTTCTTTTTTTTTCTAATTTTTATTCTTTAGATATAAAAAACTATGAATTCAAAACGAAAAAATAACAATTTGGCTGAAAAAAAATGATAAATTGCATAGAAAATTAGGATAAATATTCGATAAAAACCTTGAAATTGAGAAATTTTCTCGAAATTTTCGAAGTTTTAGAAATCCCAGAGTCGATGCCCACGCAAGTGGAGGCGGTGAGCGATCTGGAAATTCGATTCCAATAGATTTCCTTACGTGTACAGTACAGTACAATACAGTACTACAATACAGTACAGTACCACACCACAGTACAGTACTACACTACAGTACAGTACTACACTACAGTACAGTACTACACTACAGTACAGTACTACACTACAGTACAGTACTACACTACAGTACAGTACTACACTACAGTACTACACTACAGTACTACACTACAGTACTACACTACAGTAGTACAGTACAGTATAGTAATGATTGAATACTTTGATCAGTAATGTACTTTGTGCTGTAAACGCACCCTTTCTAGCGCTCTAGCGCATTGAGTTTTATCATTTTTCTCACAGCAGCCTCACGAGAAAGATGCAGAATTGCAGGGATGCGTTTCGTGCACCGAAAGGGATTCGTTTACAGACTAGAGCACAAAGTACTCTAGCACAAAGTACACCACTAGTACTAGTACAACACCAGTATAAGTGTTTCTTCTGTACAACGCCCCAATCTTTGTACTTTTCTAGGGCACTTTGTGCATAGATTTGTAAACACACAGCTTCTCGTGCACTAGAGAGCGATAAAAGGAAATCAGAGTTAGCTAGTTTTTCAGAGTTTTCGATAGGATATACGATACTTTTTCAGGATCAGTTTTTAAATGAAATTTTAGATTTTAGATTTTAGAGCTCTTTTATTGTTCTATCAATCAAATTACCTCATAAACCGGCAATCCGATCGCATTACTGTAGCATCCATCAACACTTTGCACGAAAATAGCTCCTCGTGTTTGCATCGCGTACGAGCCTGCACGATCCCTGAAGAAATTTCGACGTTTAGATACCTCTCAAAAGAAAGTAACCACTTTTACTTCACTACCGTAACTCTAGGCTATCGTAGAGTCTAATCTGTCAGCTACCGTAACCTCTAACCCCCTCGTACAATCGTAGTCGAATTTCTTTTTTGGAAAATTAGAAGCTGAGAAAAAATCGCTTTTTCTCAACTTCCACTTTTTTCTCAACTACACTTTTGATACTAAAAAATACTAGATTTCAAGAGCTATCGTTTGACATCCAAACGAACGTTGTAGCTTAAACCAGTGCGGAGAACGAAGCGTTCAAAGTTAGCCTACGTGACTGTACGCTGGTCAAGGTGGTTAGTGTCCCGTCTACGAAACGATTGCCCCAAGGAGGGTGCCGGGTGCGATTCCGTTAGTCTCAATGGAAAGTTAGACTGACTACGCAACAATACCCCGTCATTTAGGCGCTAGAATAGTTACCGTACTCTTGGCGAAACTTACATCACATCCTCTGCATTCACGTAGGCTTCAATGATCTCGTTGGAGAGTTGCGTAAAATGAATCTTTGTCTCGACGGTGAATGTCTGGAAATTGGGTACTGTATTAGGCTACTGTATACTGTATTGGTTTTACAGTAACCAAGCTTTCATTATAAGAATCAAGGCTGGGTTACGGTAGCTGGACACAGCTACCGTAACCCAGCTGTTTCCCCTAGAGCAGCTGTTTCCCTACTCGAGGTGAGGCGTGGCTACCGTATCCCCAACGTAATTAGTAATTCTAGCGGTTGATTTTTGAAATCTAGACCGGATTACGGTAGCAGTTGGATGTACAGTAATGACTCAAGATTCATTCTAGGATGGATTACGGTAGATCAAGTGTTGACTGAATGTTGACTGAATGGTTAAAGCGTGGCCCAACCTATTGTACCCCGTTAGCCAGTTACAGTAACCCTAGAGTTGTCTTGAGATCTAGAAAGGGTTACGGTAGCCGGGAAATGCTTTGGAGGACCTAGAGAAGCTTTGGACGACCTAGAGAAGCTTTGGACGACCTAGAGAAGCTTTAGAGAACCTAGAGAAGCTTTGGAGGACCTAGAGTAGCTCTAGAGGACCTAGAGAAGCTTTGGAGGACCTAGAGTAGCTTTAGAGGATCTAGAGTAGCTTTGGAGAACCTGGAGAAGCTAGAGAAAGCTTTAGGGAACCAAATCTTTTCCCCTCGCACTCACCTCATTTGTTCCATCGTTGAATTTCATTGACACTCCCGTCAAGCAACTATGTGATCCATCGCGAAGTCTAAAATTAAAAAAGAATAAAAAAATAGAACGAGAACAAGAACAAGAAGAAGAAAATTTTTGCAAAATCAACTTTTTCAATGTCTCGATTGCATCCGACTTGTCTTTTGGCTTTTCGACGATTTTTCCGTCAACAAGAAGAGTTGTTTCGGCGGCAATTATCACATCAAATTCTTCCTAAAAAGAACAATGTTAACAATGAGCAACAATGAAGAACAATGCTTTCTAAAAGGGATCGATCTCAGACAAACTAGTGACCTGTAACTAGTGATCTGTATCTGCACTGATCTGTATCTGTACTTAAAAAGATCAGCACCAAAATTGGAATGAAAACTGAACAGATTACGGTAGTTTTAAAAAGACACAAGCCAAGCCAAGCCAGGCCAGAGAAGCCAAGCCAGAGAAGCCAGAGAAGCCAAGCCAAGCCAGGCCAGAGAAGCCAAGCCAGGCCAAGCCAGAGCAAGCCAAGCCTTCTTCTACACAAACTAGACTGAACTTGGCTTTAGTTTTGCCTTAATTTGATCTGATCTTGGTTCATTTGATATTGATTTATCTTTCTGTTATGGAGAAAAGCAAAGTCAGGTTTAATCTGATCCAAAGTCAGGTTCTGCTGACTGGCTTTGCTGTGACTTTGCTGCGGAAAATGCTATGAACAGTCTTACAGCTCATAGTCTTACAGCTCATAGTCCAATGCAAGCATTCATTCATCCATTGTCCATAGTCCATAGTTTTTTACACGGTGAATTATAGTGACAACTTTTTGGAAGAGTAGGAAATGTTTAATTTCTTCCAAAAGTGTCAAGTGTTATATAGAGAATTGTAGCCCGTAATCTTGGCTACATTTCTCTATAAAAAACTTTCTGTTTGGACTTATACAACTCATTTAACAAGCGTTTGAATGGGCGCTAGTCTCCGCCGAGTCTTTTTGGAATAGTAGCTTTTCGCAGTTGTCGCACGCTTAATTTCTTCCAAAAGTGTCAAGTGTTATATAGAGAATTGTAGCCCGTAGTCTTGGCTATATTTCTCTACTAAAAGCTTCTTGATTAGACTTATAGAGCCCATTTAACAAGCTCTTGAATGCTCGCTAGTCGTCTCTCCAGTGAATCTATCATTTAGCTGCTTTTCTCTCTTAAAAGCTGTAAAACAAAGCTTTTAAATCTTTCTCTAATGCAAAAATATGATTTAAAATTACTTAATAACATTAAAAATCACAATTAAATGTTTTGGAATAAAGAAAATTTTAAAAAAAAGTAGCTATAATTCTCTGTGTCTTCCAAAAAACTTTCTAACTCACTTGCTAAACCCTGGACCATCCATCAATCTACCGTACCCCTGTTTTTCCGATCACAAGACAAAAAGTCTAGACATTTCTTTCTTTCAAGAGTCCTCGAGCAGCTTTTTCTTTCAAAATATCCAAAAAAATTTTCTTACCTTTTCTTCTTTCATTTGTTTTTCGACACTTTTCATCTTTTCTTGTGCCATTTTTTGAACGAATTTTTTCGGTTCTTCTTCTTTTGAAATATTTTCGATGAAAATTGGCGTTTTTATCACCGGTTCGATTCCCTAAAGCTTTCTTGAGATCTAAATTTCATACAGCTTTTCTAGAGGATCTAAAAGTTGTCTAAGCTTTGTCTAAGCTTTGTCTAAAAGCTCTCAAAGCTCTAAAAGTTGTTTAAAAGTTCTCAAAGCTCTAAAAGCTCTATAAGCTCTATAAGCTCTATTGCTCTATAAGCTCTAAAAGCTCTATAAGCTCTATAAGCTCTAAAAGCTCTAAAAGCTCTAAAAGCTCTATAAGCTCTCAAAGCTCTATTGCTCTATAAGCTCTATTGCTCTAAAAGCTCTAAAAGCTCTATAAGCTCTATTGCTCTATAAGCTCTAACCTTTACATAATTCGCCTATATCTTCCTTCGCTCACTTACAATTTTCCTCAATAACGTTAAACGATCAGCCGATTGATCAGCGAGAATGATCTTGCCGGCCCGGCTTGACGGATTCGAGATTTCACTGCTCGGAGTGATCACGTCATCAAGGCTAAAACAAGCCATTTAATACAGTTATCCTCTAGTACAGTCGCGTAGGCGCAAAAGTCACAAATATTTTTTCTTATTCAATTTTTGGAGGAAAAAGCAAAAGAATTGGCGCCGAGAGGAGTCGAACCCGCGACCTCTCTCTTCCGGTCGTTTGAGAAACGCGCGCGTTAACCACTCGGCCATGCTTGCTAACCGTTCGACCACGCCATGCGGGTGTTAAGTACCCGCATCAACCCCTCTGCCATGCCCTAGCAGATGGCACAGTACGAGCGCTCTTCTTTCTAGCCCACACGACCCGGGTTCGACTCCCGTCCACGTCAACAGTTTTGATTTTTTAAAATTTCAAAATATGTTGCATAACTAGACAGAATTCTAAGCCGAAATTAACTATAATTTATTTGAAACGGTCCTCTAGGGGCTGAGAATTGCACACAAACAGACACAGCTTATATGTTTTAGATATTGGGTTGATGGAAAAGTCCTTTCCGATTTTTTGGGAGAGTACCTTAAATTTGTCGAATTTTGACGTTTTATAGCTCATCCTAAAGCTGAATTCAAGACGAATCGATTGATAAAAACCGTTTTGAGATATCTCTTTTCTAAAAGTTTTTACAGCTATTTTAGTAAAGGGTGGCAGGGCGAAAAGCCAAAAATGGCTGTTTTCACGTTTCGTTAGTTTCGGAAAGGACTTTTCCACCAACCGAACATTTAGGAAAACTACCGTAGGCTTTCGTTCAGGTTTTGTCTATTCTTTTTAATTTTTATTCAGGTTGATTCCTTATCAAATAAAATCAAAAATGAAGTCAAACAACGGCCAAGATAAAGGCAATTTTCTCAAATTTTCTCAATTTTCTTAAATTTCCGCAAATTTTCTCAAATTTCGCAAATTTCTCAAATTAGTCACATTTTAGAAAGCTTAGTTGTCTTTAGATAAAGCCTAATTAAAGATTTCATTTCTACAACTCACCCAAACGGTCTAAATCCTCTTTTGGCTAAATGTAAAGCCAAATCACCAATGGGTAAGCCAGCGACATTGAAATGGCAACCCTCGATTTTCTCGATCAATGCACCGGCTCGATTCTGGATTCCATAAGATCCGGCTTTGTTCCTAAAAAAAGAAATTAGCATTGATCAAAGAAAGATCAAAGAAAAGCCAGAAAAGCCAACAAAAGCAACAAAAGTAACAAAAGCAACAAAAGCCAACAAAAGCCAACAAAATCTCATCCATACATCGGTTCTTTTGTTGCCACATAGTCGAGAATCGCCTGATCACTGTAGTTTCCCATCCAAACTTTTGTTTCCGTTGAGAAGCGCTAAATTTTATTTAAACTTTAAATTTGGTCTAAGGGGGCATTTGGCTCCCTATCTCAACAAGTTTGGTTCCCTATCTTTTCAAATTTGGTTCCCTATCTCCTTAAATTTCGTTCCCTATCTCTTTAAATTTTATCGCTAATTCGCTTATTCCCCAAAAACGTTTCAATTTTCCTTTTCTAATCTCTAGTTTATGCAAATTTCTCACTTGTTGTGGACCATTTTGATAAGCAATCACGACACCGCTGTAGATTGTATGCGCTTTGCCACGGAGTCTAAAAGTTTCACCTTTTTCAGCAATCTTTTCAACAATTTTCAACAATTCTTTCAAGAAAAATGAATAATCCTGTGCACCAGAAGGGTGTTTGTTAGAGAAGTACAATTCCACAAAGTACAAGTAAAATTCCAAAAAAGACACAAAATACGAGGTGGAATTTTGTATGTACTTTGTGCTCTAGTAAACGCACGCTTTCCGGCAAAACTCTGAGATTATCCTTGAGAATAGAAAGGAAATCAGTGTGCTAGAGAGCTCGCATTTGCTAGAGCACAAGAGCACAAAGTACAAAGCGGAAAGTACAAAGTACAAAGCACTACTGGACAATGAAATATCATATTTGAAAGATCATCATTCAAAAAAGATCGTCACTTTCGCGCGTCTGTAACTCCCTTGTCTTTACCGTATTTCTAAATATTAATATTACCATTGTGTAGCCCTTGAAAAGAGCTTTCAGAAAATGTATAACACTAATAGTTTAAACTCAAAGACAATGGAGTTACAGACGCGCGAAAGTGATGATCGTTTTTGAATGATGATCTTTCAAGTATGATATTTCATTGTCCAGTCCAGTACTGTTCAAGGCATTTTTTGGCCTTGGTTGAATATTTTGAGCTTTAGCTGAATATTTTAAACTTTAGCTGAATATTTCAAATTCACTTACAATTTCAACGTCTCAACGGCATCATTTTCGTCGATCGGTTTTCCGTAGATTTTTTCACCCGAACAAACCATTGTGTCAGCAGCAATTAGCACGTCGAAGTGCCGCTAAACTATGACTTTTCAAAACAGCATTAAACATTGCAATCATAAAGCAAAAGATATTCAGTCATGTCACTGAATATCTTTAAAGTCCTGGCTTTCCACGAAAATTCGAAAACGAAAAAAATAACCCTTACTGCATTAAAAAATTGGGGGTGGGACAAATGCGACCTTTTTTTGCGCACCTGAACATTTGCGCACCTTTTTTTTGCTGGAAAAGGCCTTAGGAAAGGTCGTAGAGCTTCGAAAATATTTCCATATAACGAAACGTATGCGTAGATTCCGAATTTCGACAAATCAGACCTCGCTGACACGTCAAATTTGGGCTAAAAGGCAAAAACTGCGGAAAAGTGTCAAGTTGCGTAGTTTTTGCCTTTTAGCCCAAATTTGACGTGTCAGCGAGGTCTGATTTGTCGAAATTCGAAATCTACGCATACGATTCCCCTGAAATGAACACAGTTTTGAAGCTCTACGACCTCTCCTAAGGCCTTTTTCAGCAAAAAAAGGTGCGCAAATGTCCGGGTGCGCAAATGTCCAGGTGCGCAAAAAAAAGGTCGCATTTGTCCCACTCCCAAAAATTGTGACGAAATTTTATAAAATCTTTGCCTATACCCGATTTTCATGGAAGGCCACAGATTTAAAGATATTCAGCGGCCGGACTGAATATCTTTTACTTCATAATTGAAGTAAAAGATTTTTCAAAAATTAACGCGAAGCTTTTTCAAAAATTCAAACCCACATTGGCTTTTTTGAAGTCCTCCAAGATTTCATCCATTTTCCCTTGTGCGGTCAATTCGACGTATTCCCTAACGGGCAAATCTTTTGGCAGATTTTCCTCGAAATTCGACACGTGAACGAGTGGGCGAAAACCCTGAAATTTCTTTCTGAAGTTGATTTCTCTTTTGTTTTCTCCGTTTTAAATGTTTCTTTTCAAAACCTACAATCATTTTCAGGATCGCCAAACGATTCGGTGATTGACTGGCGAGCACGATTGTAGGCGACAATTTCTGCAAAGAGAGGGATTTCAATATTTTGGTGGGGTTTGAAGTTTTTGGTGATTTTGGTGCTTAGAACTTTAGGAATTTGATGAATCTGAATCTATTTTATCAACACTTGATAAAATCCTTGAATTAGCGCATAAATTTGATGAAATAGCTTGTAAAAAACTGTTAAATTAGCTGTTTCATCAAATTTATGTAAGCTGTAAGCAACTGTTAAGCTTTAAGCTCAATATGCGATGGCCATAGAGTTTCAAATTGTTTTTAATTGTTGTTTTTAGCATTTGATCACTAAAATTTTGATCTATCTGGTTTAAGAAGTAAAAAAGAGTAAACTCTTGCGAAAAAGTAGACATAAGTAAACTAAAAAGTAAACATAAGTAAACTAAAAAGTAAACATAAAAGTTTTTCACAAGCTAAGCATTATATTTGAGTCATTTTATTGTTACTTTTAAAGACGAACATAAAACTACGATTTTCTAGCTTAAAGTGTTCTAAAGTTCTAGTTCTAGCTTTCTAGCACCCTGAATTCTACTTAATTATTGAACTAATCGTCATATTTCAAATCGAGAAATTTCTTAAAGTAAACGAGAAAAAAGTAAACATATTTGACATGTTCTTACATTAAAATTACTCAAATATGAGTGAAACAACATCAAATTACGCTTTTTTTTTGGCTTAAATTGCACTTTGAATTCTAGTTATATAAACTAACTATATATAAAGTAAAAATAAAAACCTAACATCCAATTGAACGTTAAATTTTAGATCACCGCTCAACAATGTCGTTCTTGGCGTTGCCCTCGTCATTTACCTCGAGTTTATCGCTGGACATGGCTTTTCGGCGAATACTCGTCTTCAGCAAATTGTACACGAAAAGTTGGGGGGATCCGATCGTCCTAAGAGAGTTTGTGATTTGTGGAATAATCATTAACGAAAAGCATAGAAATGAATGGGAGAAAATGAGTTGTACCTTGAGAATTGTTTGGATTGCCAGAAGTGAGACAATTATTTGATACGAAACACGATATTGTCTTTGAAACATTAATAGGTTGTTAAAGTTTTAAGTAATACATTTTAAATTAGCTTAACAATGCGTCAATTTTAGTCTACGAGAGTACTGGCACCAAGTGATGTCGCAGGGAAAAGTGATCGATATTTTGGATGCCTACGAGAAGAATCCAATGATCATCAGCAAGGTAAAGGTTTGATTAATCTTTCGAATATTGATTAGATCAATAGATTAAAGATTAATCAAAGAGAATAAAGATTAATAAAAGAGAATAAAGATGAATCCTTAACTTTATCAATTATCAATTATCAATTAGTAAATCAATGAAGAACAAACTATGGCAATATGTAAATATAATTAAGTGTTTTTAGACAGAAAGTGAGGCCAACGCGATCATTATGGAGGGTCACTTTCAAAGTCCACACGCGCTCGAGTTTCCAAAACATGTAAGTTGTTTTTGGTGTTAGATAGCTTTAATTTATGGGCAAACATTACTTATAAAGTTTCCAGTAAACAATATCTTTTTAGATGCCGGGTCCACTGCAAAAAGCGCACTGGCGAGGGGTTTTCCCGAAAAACGAACGAAAAGGATTGATTCTTCACCTAGCCGGCACTGGCGATCACACATATTTTAGGTAAAACACTTGCTAGCTTCAAAAAAACAGTCTCACTATCAGTTTTAAAGCATGATTTTTGATTTTGAACTAAAATTTTAACTTGCTTGCTTGCTTGCTGTAATTTTAAATCTTTCCACTTTAGACGAGAAAAGGGTTTCGTTGTCGATTTGCTGAAAGAAACGGGCACCGCCGGCATCATGCTTGACAATCCTTTCTACGCGAGAAGAAAGCCACCTAATCAATTTCGCTCGAGTTTATGGTTAGTTTCTTATCAAAATTCGAGAAAAGAGGAAAAATTTAAGCATAAAATAGAATAGAAATAGTTTTGGCCGAAAAAGTTCATGCTGCCTTTAAAGAAAAGCACTTTCGAAAATCGAGCGTTTTGATCAAAGAACCGTTTGTTTGTTATCAAGCAGACATGCTTGATGAATCATTGAGCTCGGAGAGTCGTGGAAAAAGAAAAAAAAGAGTGAAAATGTGAAAAACAAACTACGCACATTGTGCAAGAATTTGAAATGATGATGAGAAAAGCTGAAAAAGAAAAGCGTCATAAAGAGCAAAAGCAAAGTTCAATGTAGTTTGATGTGCAAATACATATTTGGAATATTGATATTGATATTAAAAATACCGACTGGGGCTACCAGTGGTGAATTTATCGCATACACGAAATATATCAATCACAATACAACGACACACACAATACTAGGCTATATCTTAACTTAACCCACGTCATGACAGACGGCTCCCTAACCCTAAGCTCAATGGGGAACTAAATAGCTTTTTTGGTGGTGAAGGGAAGATGACGATGAAGGAGTGGCTTGTCACTTTAAAGAACTGGGGCCACAACCACCAGACTGCCCTCCAGAAAACCTCTCAACCCGAAGGGAAAGGAAATCCGAAGGGGGTGACCATGTCGCATGTGGGGTTCGAACCCTCAACCTTCCGATTAAGATAAAAGACACTTAACCAGTCAGCCACACGTGCTTTATTGAAGAGGAAACTTAACTAGTTATTGAAGAGTAAACTTAACTAGTTTCAAGGCAAAAAAAACGATCTAACGAATTTCTGTCTAGTCAGGTCTAAAAACATTCCTGTTTAGGAATGTTTCCGATCTTTTCGTGATGGGAGCCGCGCTGATGGCCGAGAGCCTCTACCTACTTCGATGGGCTTACGCGGAAGGCTATTGGCCACTCGGAATCTCTGGGGTTTGTTTTTAAACCTTTTTTATAAGCTGAAGGTTTTTAGGTATCGATGGGTGGTCATATGGCTTGTTTAGCGGCGTCTAATGCTGTTTTTCCGGTTGGTTTGGTTTAGTTTAAAAGTAGGCGGTGGCATTTAGTTGTCTAAACTATAAGAAAGGAAAAATATTCCTTTATTTTAGGTTGTTGTTGCCCCCTGCCTTTCCTGGACTACCGCAGCACCTGTGTGAGTGTTTAAAAATAACTTTGATTTAAGATTTAAAGGTTTAATAACAATAACTAAGGCTTTTAAAGTTTTTCTATAGTGCGTATTTAGATTTACAAGCGGAGCCCTGAGCTGTGCGGTGCCCTTTGACGAGGTTCTACAAAAACAACTCAACGATCCGGTTTATCGAGAGAAATTGGAGGCGATACCAAACAGCAAGTGGCTGGATAGAGCGGTAAATTCTAACAGCAAGGAAAATTCTTGAATAGCCAACGGAATGTAAATAGCCTATGATTCACCATAAAGAAGCAAAAGATCGAACAAAAAGATTGCAATATTTTCATAGATTCACCAGATAAAAATGTGTTTTTTAGAAAGCTCGTCAAGAAGAAAATAAGCAATCGCTGGCGCGCAATGTAAGTGTTCTTTAAGTGGATAAATTTAAAATTTATATTTAGTTGATGTGGGTGTTGATGCACGATTTCACGGATCTTGGTGGGTGATTTAAAAAAAACTACTAAGATTCAATATAGTGTGTTATAACTTGTTATCTTTAGGGCAATACCCGGTGCCTTCCGATCCATCCCTTGTGCATTCTGTTGTTGCCGAGCGTGACTACTATGTGCTACGAGAAGGGACATCACATCTTACAGTAAGGATTTGGATAACAAGCTACTACTATACTTTCTACAGTACATATGCACAATAATTTTTCACTTTTAGGAGCTATGGCGTGGCGCAACGGTAGAGATGATCCCCGAGCGAGGCCATGTGAGCAGCTACTTCGCCTGCCACGCAAAATTCCGTTCCGCCATTGCCGGACGCGTTGAAGCTGCTCAATCCAAATACCCGAAACCGATACTGTTATCATAGTTCGTGCAAATAAGATGTAACTATTTATGGTTTAGCTTAATCTTTGTGTTTTTGATACTTTTTGTTGTTGACAAGTTCAGGGAGTCTTTGTACTTAGTAGTGCCTTTGCGCTGTGATCCTCTTTAAAAAAGAAGATTTTACTCTTTGCCAGTAATTTTATTTGGAATGTTGATCATTTTGTTCTTTCATTTAGGTTTTTATGGCATTCTTTGCGCAAATAAAGTTCTACGATTAGGAATTTGGGGGAAACGTTGGGCATAGAACTTTCCCGAGTTCGAATCTCGGGACCGCCCATAAAGTCGCAAAAGTTTTGTCACGTTTTTGAGGCTTAGCATCAAAATCAACCAAATCTAAACGAATTCTACATACATATCAGAATGATTTTTGTTTCCAATTAAAAAAGGCACAAAAATTTACGCAAACTTTATTCAGCCATAACATTTTACAAACCGACACAAACTAGTGCTACACTTCTGGAAGTATGGAAAATGAAAAGAGAAACATGGCCATTTATATAAAAGACTAAACTTATAAAAAAAAAGATATCACTCTAATATCAAGCCTAAACATTCGCCCTTTTTGTTGAAAAAAGAGAAAAATGTGTGCAAATAACAAAGGCTTTTTACGAGGGACATTTATCTAATGAAAAAATAATTTCATAAAATACAGAAACAAACTTGATGTTGAAAAAAGAAACGACCATCAGTAGGGGAAAACGGGGAGTTCAACAAAAGAAAGGCTAGAATTACCGGGGAAACTAGTGAAGCAAGAAAATCACGTATTCTCCATAAATGAGTACATGGTTGTGACGGTTGTTGATAAACGGGCTCTTCTAAAAACGATTTTAAATGACCTCTGATTGAATATCTTTGAAATCACGATTAAGGAAATCTTAAAAACGAACCTTGCTATTTAGTAACCTAAGATGATTTATTCCTTCTTTGTTGGCTTTCCACGTCCCTTGACAGAGCGGAAAAGAATCTTCTCATTCTCAACCATCGACCAGACACTCCTAAAATTTACAAGTGTAAATAAAGTTCTGCTGTTTTAAAACCAACCTCTTGGAGTAGATCAAGATGGCAGCGAACACGGGGAACAGAAGAAGCAGCTATAATAAGAAAATCATTATTACTTTGTTATTGTGCCAAAACATACCTCAAGAGCCCAACGTTTGCCAGTGTCATTGTAAGAGCGAATCGAGCACCAAGTCAAGAAGTTCGTCACATCCTTGGCCTAAATTCATTTGTTAGTAATTCCCATCCAACACAACACATAAGAGACTTTCACACAGACACAGACATCGACAAGAGAGATAGAATACAACAACTATATAACTATATAACAGGAGAAATCAAACCAACCTGTTGAGCTTGTGTGGCTGGAGTTCCATCCTAGAAAAGGGATAAGCATTAAATGATTCAGTGAAATGTCAACCTTGTACTCGATTCCTTCATCAAAGAGCTGTTGAGGCATAGAAATCAATCCACCAGGGAAGTATGGATTGTAGGCCTTGCCTTCATCAAGCTAAAATAAGTAAAAGTTTAAAACAATCTCTATGCTTAGTTTTATCTAAAGTTTATCCTTAAAACATGAGCCAACTCACCGTGATGCCAGCTGGTGGGTCGAAGTAACCATTAAGTAAACAGAAGATATAGTCGTCACCACGGCTAAAATTACTTATAAGCTGTATTCAAGTAAAAAGCTCACTGATGATGTGTCGTTCGTGCGCTCATCATCAAGCTGAGCTCTGGCGGCAGAGCACCTAAAGTCATGTTACTAGTTTTAGCCAACAACGAATCTTTACCATTGTTTGCGGCAGCCGCAGCCTTGTCATTGTTAACAGGAATGCTCCATTCGCCGAGCCATCGACCACCTGAAAAAAGATATCTTTAAAGATAGTTTAATGGTACTTGTAATTCTTTTCCCGGCCAGTTTTAAAAGCAAATTAGACAGTTTCATGTAACGTGGCCGAGAAAAAAAAAGGCAAATGTACCAAAGATATTTACAACACGACAATAAATCATTCAAAAGTTAATAAATAAATAAAAGATTAACAAACCGGGGAACTGATAGGGCGCAGGGACCGCATCGTTCAACTTGGCTAAAACGTGAAGTTAACATGTGCTTTAGTTTAAGTGCAGCCTTAATGTGCTAACATTAAGGCTGCACTTAAACTAAAGCCTGATAACTACTATCAAAAAGCTGACAAGGCAAAAACAATCCAAAAAAAGACGTTTCTATATCCAGTTTATAAGCTTCATTGACTTTTAAAACTACTTTTAGGAAACTAGGATCCATGTCCTATTCTACATCATAATAAATACCCGGCCGACGAATTGGTTGTCCCTTGTCATCGACATCATCAATCAAGAATTCCTCAGCTTCAGCCTAAATCAGCATATAACCACTTTGATCACCAAAGTTATAATTTACCTTGGCCTCCTCTTCACTCATGAATGGATATCGGTAATCACAGAAATGCCGGAAGTTGACAAAATATCTAAAGTTTATAGATTTAATATAGGAACAATGATACAAAATGTATCGGGTCTGCCGGCCTAGCGGGCCTATTTTCATGCAACACATGGGGGTCTTTAGGGGATGACACAAATCATACAAACAAACAACACCTAAGCCTAAGCCAAAGAAAATAACAATAACCCTAGTATATTTCGTAATACTTCATAAAAATTATATTACCTCAATTGATGGCACGCCTGGCAAACTTGTTTGTAGACTTCCCAACCACGACGGACGCTAAAAAGAAGATAAAGCTTGTTGTTGGAACGGCTTTTTGCTTGTTTGCTTCAAATATTATCACTATTAGCTACTTATTTCATACTTTAACACCTTTTGAGCTGTACTACAAAGTAAACTATGTATGTACTTGTTTACAAGCCATATTTGCTAGCATTTTACACAACAAAAAACCCACGATCCAATGTCAAGGGCTCCAAAAGTGCCTCGATGACTCCAGGGCAAGCCGGGCGGATGGATCCCGTTGTCCATAGCGTGCACTTGATTCTCGAGCGCATAGACGAGCCCACCGGTGGCCGTGGCCGCTACCAATCCAGCTCCAATAGCAAATTGCCGCTAGAAAGGAGATGTATACCCAGCTTTAATATAAAAGCTTACCCGAGTCACATTGATCGCGCGCTGCATTTCTCGGCAGGCTTTTTTACCTCAGGTCTAAAAAGAAAATATGTAAAAAGATTAAAAGTTGATAAAGAGAAAAGAAAGAGATCACTTTTCAATGATAAGCTCACAAATTTTGCGTAACTACCTAAATTTTAACAACTTTATCCAATATACCAAACTAATTGATGTCTAGGGTGGCTACTTTGCGCCAAATTCTTTCCGCAACTCGTCATAACTTTCTTCTAAGTAGGCCAATCTTTATGATTTTGATGTCATTTTGTTGTACTAGTTGAGATCTACAAAATGAAACCAAAATAATAAAGATTGATCAACTTAGAAGAAAGTTATGGGTTAAAGTTAAAGTTATGGCGAGTTGCGGAAAAAATTTCGCACGTCTATGGCTTTTACTGAAAAAGCTAAAGTTTAAACAAGCCAAAGTGACGAAAAATAAGCAAAGTGAAGCAATACTGATGTCGTTTCCATTAAAAAAGTAGCCACCACCCTGCGCACAAAGTAGCCACCGCCCTAACATCTAGCCGTTTAGATACCAATTGTTTACTATCAGAAAAGCTAAAAGGCAGAGTTTTGCTTGCTAAAACATGTTACATAAAATATAAAACAACAAAATGTTAAGAAAAACACAGCCTCCAAGGCATCTATGGCTTTTGCTGAAAAAGTTAAAGTTGTTTCAACTGTTTCAAGCTTGTTTCAAGCAAAAGTGGCAAAAAATAAGCAAAGTGAAGCAATACTGCAATACTGATGTCATTTCCATTAAAAAAACATTCAATAATTCGATAAGAGCTTTAAATTTGACAGTACGATTTAGATTTTCAGTTAAAATTCGATAAATCATTAGTTTATTCATCAAAAAGTTGCATGCAGAAAAATCTCGTCAATCAAAAATTCGCAAATTCCATCTCAGCGCTGAAAAATAATGCTGATTCGAGACTTTTAAAAAAAATATTTTTAACGCACTAGTTTTTAAAAAGCGCTAGTTTTAAAAAGCGTTCAAGCAACAAAACGCATTGATTCTTAAAAGCTTAACTTTTGTTTTGTGCGACTAAGGAAGCTACAGAAAACCGTTCTTTTCCTATCGACAACTGAATACTTTTAACGTCAAAGCCACCAGCCAAGGCTACGGTAGTTTGTCCACGTCTTTTTAGAAGCATTCATGCAATTGATTATTGATCAAAGAACGAGTGAAAACGTCAAAATGATTGAATTCTGTTTAGACAAAAGACGAGGATTACTTTTCACCAAATTTTTTTCCGCAACTCATCATAACTTTCTTCTAAGCAGGCCAATCTTTATGATTTTAGTGTCATTTTGTTGCACTAGTTGAGATCTACAAAATGACATCAAAATCATAAAAATTGGCTCACTTGGAAGGGAAGGTCAACTGGATTTGCTGGACTGCTGGACAACTGGATTTGCCAAAACACATGAACTATAGGTCATTCGACGCAGAATTTCCCGCTGATCATGATGCTGCTTTTCTTTTTTGCTACGGAGCACTCTGTGAAAAGATATACGCGTTTAAAGTTTTGTAAGGAATTTTCAAAAAATCAAACCGCGACATTAGAACTGTCTTCCGGCAAGCTGGTCGGTTGCACCGGTGACAGAATGGTAGTGAGTTTAGATGCAGGACGATGTCAGATTTATTCGGCTCTCTGGTTCGAGTTCGATTTTTTAGGTTTTAATACCTTGTATGTTCTCTATCGCCACACACAATCGTATAGCATTTAGCACACCACTAATACCGATAAGGATCGTTCCCAGAGACCATCAGACGATCAGATATTCAAAAAAATGATTGAAAATTTAGTTTGCTCAATTTCTTGTGTTATTTTTAGAAAATTTATTACAAGATCTAAAAAAATGTGAAAAATGAATAATATAAGATTTAGTCGGCTTCGACAAGCTGTTGTGTGGCGCACAACTTCTTGTAGATGTCGTTTGATCGAAGCAGTTGCTCGTGGGTGCCTGAAAAAAGGGTTTGAATCTAGAAAAAAGCGATTGGCCTTGGTGTTTTTTGTGCTTACATGTAAACGCACCCTTTCTGGCACACTGAAAGCCTCATTTCTCTTGCGAAAGTTAGCTGATGAGAGAAAAGTGAACGATTCAGTGCACCAGAAAGGGTGCGTTTAGAGATTTGAGCACAAAGGATGCTCAAAGTGTATCTTAGGGTTCGAAAATCGGATTGAAATTGTTGATACTGTGGTGATAGGACTACCCAGTGTAACTGGGATTACCCAGTGTCACTCACCAGTCTCCACAATTCTTCCCTCGTGCACGACAGCGATTAGATCGGAGTTCTGAACGGTGGAGAGACGATGAGCGATGACGAGACACGTTCGACCATGACTCGCTGTCTCTAGGGCTTCTTGAACCACCTGAAAGTTAGATAATGGAGCCGTTAAAATCACTTATCAAGTGCACTTAATCAGGGCTGACTCCTAGGCCTGAACCAGGCCAGGTCCAGATCCGGGCCTGGCTTCTGACCTTTTCTATTAGGTTGGCAACTAAATAATGGCCCTCGCCCTTTTTTGATAAAATCTTTTAATCTTTGCGTTTAATCTACCCTCGCTTGTTGTTAATTGAATATTACTGAATTTCTGGTGCATTATTATACGTTTTTTACTTTCCTTGATTTGATACTTTTCAAATAATTTTGTTTAGAAATGGAAGTTCTCAAATATCGAATGCGTGTCTGTCTCTGGTACGGCTACAAACAAGACAAAACAGCTGCCGAATCCCACAGAGATTTATTGCGAGTTTTTGGTGATGAAGCTCTTTCCGAAACACAATGTAAGAGATGGTATCGACGGTTCAAGGAAGGGGATGAAAGTCTTGAAGATGAGCCTCGCCAAGGACGACCCGAACTTCTGCAGAACGATATTTTGGAAGCAGCTTTAAAGGAGGATCCAAGTCAAACACACGCGAGCTAGGGGATCGATTGGGCTTTTCGCATACTGCAATCGAAAAGCGACTTCATGCATGGGGAAAAGTAACCGCAGTGGAAAGTGGATCCGCATGAATTGAGCGAAGAAAATAAGGCTACTCGTGTTATCACAGCTGGAATACTACTAAAACTTGCGAAAAGGGAAGCTTCTTGGATTCCATTGTCACTTCTGATGAAAAATGGATCTTTTATGATAATCGAACGCAAAAACGACAGTGGCTTAGCACAAACGAAGACCCAAAACCAACTCCGAAGCCGGATATTCACCAAAGAAAACTCTCCTCTGTGTGTGGTGGAGTCCGTGGGTTGGTGCATTTCGAGGTTCTCAAAAGCCGGCAAACGGTTAATTCAGAACTCTATTCGTCTCAATACATCGTGTAGATCAAGCAATCGCCTCAAGGACTCGAACCCTCTTCAATTCATTTTCTCCATGATAACGCAAAACCACACACTGCAAAACTTACAATGGAGAAAATCGAGGAGTTGGGCTGGAATGTTCTTCCTCATGCGCCATACAGCCCGGATATGGGGCCTAGTGATTACCATCTTTTTCGATCGATGCAACACTTTCTAGCCGAGAAAAAGTTCAATGACCTTGACGAAGTCCGAATTTCAGTGCAGAAGTTCTTTGACGATCAACCAGAAGAATTTTTCAAGAGAGGAATCCAGTTGCTCCGTCAAAAGTGGAAAGAAGTAATAAAGAATGACGGAGAATACCTTTTGGATTGATGTTGATATTTGTTCATCTTGTTAATAAATTTTTTGTTTTTACTGAAAAGGGCCATTATTTAGTTGCCAACCTGATAGCTTGGCATGACGTAAGACGGTAAGACCTGAGTAAGACATGAGGCCTACCCTAGCGGCAATGGGATACATGTCGGTGTAGCTCACTGATAGAGCGTTCGCCCAATAAGTGGGAGGTCGCGGGTTCGAATCCCGGCGCCGACCGTATCCTTAGCCATAAATTCTTCGTAATTCTCAGCCGTGTGTCCAACTAGCTGGTTTACAGGTCCAGAGCTTGAAGATCCCCAGTCCTGTAGCCCAGTCCAGAAGCCAGACCCAGTCTGACTTCTGGCTTGCTCAGACCCGCAATAAAGCTAGCGTTAGTTCAAAACTGTGTTCCCCCAACTGAACTCTAGATTTTGCAATTTCTGTAGCGTTTGAGTACTTAATTGGTCATTACAAGCTTTCACTGACCCTTTCCGATTGTGTATCAAGTGCCGAAGTGGCCTCGTCGAGCAGTAAAATTGCCGGATTTCTGACAAGTGCTCTCGCAATCGCTATTCGCTGCTTTTGCCCTAGAAATCGGCGTTTTTCTGAGAAACACACCCTTTCTAGTGCACTGAATTCCCTTTTCATGAGAAAATGAAGAATTCAGTGCTCCAGGAAGGATGCATTTACAGAATTGAGCTCAAAATCGTTTTTACCTCCAGATAGCTGTGTTCCTCGTTCGCCAACTCTCGTATCATAGCCCTAAACCGATTTAATTATCCAATTTCATCATTTCATCAAATGACCGCCATGGCCGACTGGCTAAGAGCCTTGTATCCTAGTCGGGAGCCTTAGTCGAGAGGTCAAGAGTTGATTAATAGTTCTTTTTTTTTTTTTGATCTGTCTTCGCATTCAGGTGTTCCTATTTGCGCAGATCACAACCTGCTTCCACATTTCTCTATCTCTTGCTATTGTCATCCAGTGTTTCCTATCTTGATTGTTCCTGGTTCGAAGTCTTCGACTTGCTGATGCTGGTGGCGGTTGCACTCTAGCCATCCTTTCTCTGACCGTCTCTGCCACTCTTGTGCTCCACCTCGCTGCTGGTCTTCCGATGGGCCTCTTCTGGTCTCGTGGTAGCCACTCTGTGATCCGTATCGTCCATCTGTCGTCTGTTCTTCTTACGTGGCCGGCCCATCTGAGTCTTTTTCTCTCAATCACTTTCACTGGATCTCTGAGTCCCGAGAGCTGGCACCTATCCATACTTCTTAGGTCTTGGTCGAGCTGCGTCTTCCTATTGTACCCGAGAAGATTCCTTTCAAGGGCTCGATGCGTCGTTCTCAGGGCTCGTTCAGTGGTCTGTGTCGTGGCCCAGGTCTCTGTCCCGTAGCAGAGTGCCGGGAGTACGGTGCTGTCGAAGAGGTGTGCCCGAGTTCTCTGGTGATTCTTGAGCATCTTTGTGACTTCTTTGATGCTTCCCAGTATAGTTCTTTTTGCAATATATATATATAAATATGGATTTTTCTCTATTTATGACTTTGCTTGTGTGTATTTTTGTATCAAATTATTTGTGTGAATAAATATATTTCTATAAAAAATAGTTACCTGTGGTAAACCAAGAATAAAACTGTGAATGTTCGCCATTTTTGCCGCTTCAACAATGTTATCATAGGTGACTTGTCTATTGAGAAATGCTTATAAAATCGATTTCACTATTTCAGTATTCACCGATCCAATCCATATGTGATATTTTCGGCAATCGAGCAATCGAAGAGGGTTGGCTCTTGAGAAACGATGCACACTTGTTCACGCAAAGAGCGAATGTGAACATTGCGGATATTCTCCCCGTCGACCATCTAGAAGTTGACTTTATATGATAATAATAATAGTAATATTTTATTCAGATGATAAAGTGAAACCCAATAAATTAAAGAAATGCACAACGAATTATCTTTATCGTATTATTCAAAAATCACTCTTGGACATCTTGGCTCAACACTCTAATCCCCCACTAGATCTCATTGCGAATTGAGTTCAGTTTAACATTTTTGAATGCTCTCTTTACAGTAAGAGTAAAACTATAATAGTTAAGCAAAAACTGGGCCTAGCACTAAATTCTAAGTCTAAAAAGAGCGCAAGCCATTTAGTACCGCCAGAATTAGGCCATACAGTATCCATACAGCCATTAACATGCAAATTTTGCTGACTTTTCGTCTAACCTACCCTAGCATTGATTGACCTAGCCTAGCTGAAACTGTGCTAATCAATAGCTGTTGTTTATTCTAATAACATCAAGAACTTACCGTATTCTCTCTAATATTAGTGCACCCCGCCGAGCCGAGTTGATGACTATTTTACAGTTTCTAAGTTTTCCCAGAAGCTCAACACTCAAATCTCCCACTAGATCTCCTCGTTAGCTACATTTTCCGACCCCACATCGATAGGTTCTCATAAGCGATTCTCGAGATTTTGAGGAATTTAGGCAACGCTCAGGGTGCACTATTTTTAGAGAATACGGTAATAGCAAATCTGAAATCAACGTCATTGAATTACTAAAAAAAGCTTTTAAAGTTTGTTAAGCTCTTGGAGAAGTTCATTTTTGAAAGTGAACTTAAAATTATACTTGTTTTAAAGCTTTTTTTTTTAATAAACGTTAATTTGCTTAAAATTCTTAAACTCGACTTCAAAGTCGACTCGATTTACATGCATTTACATGCTAATTTGGACTTTAAATAATACATTTTAGACGATTTCACACGACTAGCTGCCGGTTACGGTAATCAAGTCACGCTTTAAAGCGCCAATTCAACCCACCACAATCCCCTTGGACGTATTGTAGAATCGCTCGAGTATCGCCATCACCGTACTCTTCCCGCAACCCGAGTGCCCAACTAGGGCCACCGTTTGACCCTACATTTGAATATTATTGGATAATTTACATAGTCTTTTGTAGCCTTACCCTTTTCACTTCGATATTCAATCCATTGAGCACTCGAATGTTTCGTCGAGTCGGATAGTTGAAATGCAAATTTCGCAGCGAGATATTTCCCTCAAGCACCTGAAATTTGCATATAAGAATGATTGTAGACAATTAGTAAATAAGAAAAGATTTCTAAGGTTTACCGTACCTTTTTGATTCCATTTTCCGAGAGATTGTCGATCTCGGTGGGATGTTCGATGAGATAGAAAAGGAGAGAGGCGGCCAGACGAGCCTAAACAGCTTTAAGCTACATTAATCTATAGGAATCTAAAAGCTACAATAAACTATAGGAAAGCTACAGTAGCATTTAGAAGTCGAAATTTACATATTTTAATTGAATAGTTTACCTTGACAATATCAGGGATGAACGACGACACATTGCCAACCATTTGCCCGCAGAAAGCGAACGCGAAAAAGACTCTGAAAGTTCGAGAAAGTTGAAAGAAAAAGTCCTGTAGAACTTGCTATATGCATTAGATAATGTAGATGTCTAGGTACAGTAACCAGTTCTGCCTGGCTTACTGCTGGCCTACAAATGTTTGATCAATCAGACTAACACCATGCTTGACCTGTTCCAAGCCCTGGTATAGCCATAGTAATTTTTAAGTAATTTTTCGTCTGTTTGCCGTTGACAATCTACAAATTTTGTTCGTATCTTTGAAAAACGTTTAATTTGCTTCCATTCGACTCGACATCAAATTTTCCATCGAATAAAAGCAAATTCAACGCTTTTCAAACAAATCCGGTCAAGGTACAAGCAAAATTCGTAGGTTTCTAACGGCAAACGGATTGAAAAAGGAGCGGAGTTAACATGACTGCCCTAGTAGGAACAGCTGTCCGTGCACTAGAATCATTGTGATTCCATTTGGACAAGCCATAGTTAGCGCACTGTGTTTTGCTCATGTATTGTTATGTACAAGTACAGTACAATAGGGTCGATATCTACCAGTACAAGGTATCAGATTATTAGATTTGTCCATGGATTTACGCCAAAAGCTGGTTTTGATATCTGATCTGGTTCTAGGTACAGAATATACCGTAAATATTCTAATAGAAGAGCCTCCTATATGAACGTCGCGTAGTCTAAGTTTACACTCAAAGAACCGTTCATATCTCGACGTCCAGATATATGCTTCTGCGCATTTAGGTATCAAATTAAAGTAGAAAGCTCGAGGAATTTTTTGACCTATAACACATATTTTTAGCATTAACCAGCCTTTAGAAAAAAGTGATTGAAAAATGATGAAAAATCGCTTTTTTTGCTACTTTTCAATCATTTTGTTCTAAGCGCTGGTTAATGCTAAAAATATGTGTAATAGCTGACAAAATTCCCCTATCTTTCTACTTTAATTTGATACCTAAATACGCAGAAATAAATGTCTGGACGCCGAGATATGAGCGGTTCTTTGATTGATTGAAAAATGAAAAATCGTTTTTTTTTTGCTAACTTTCAATCATTTTTTCTAAGCGCTGGTTAATGCTAAAAATATGTGTTATATCTCAAAAAATAGCCCATCCTCTCTACTTTAATTTGATACCTAAGCGTGCAGAAACAAACCTACTGGTGTCGAGATATGAGCGTTTGTTTGAGAGTAAACTATAGGGAGTAAAAATTTGCGAGTAAACTAATATTCTATTAGAATATTTACGGTAACAAAATCAATTAAATGCTTGGGGTGATCGTAGTGATCTTGTCGATTATAATAACAGCACTACCTACCGATAAACATCCGTCGGTTGCATTGATCCATCATCGACAAAGCGTGCGCCTAACCAGAAAGCGAGCGCGTACATGAAGAAAATGATTGATTGAGAGAAGGCAAAGACTCCGCCATATGTATGCGCTTGACACATGTTTTCTCTAAAGTTTAGAAAATGAGATTTTCATTTTAACAAAAAGCTTACTTGTATGGCTCTCTCAAGTATTCACAGTAAAGGAAATGGAATTTCTCTTGGCGATTGAGTGCTTGAACGGTGCGAATGTGTTCCACTGCCTGAAAATAAGTCATATTTTGCAAATTTTGATTTTCAATTGTTATTTTGAACTCGTTTATCTAAAAACCCACCTCTCCAGCCACTTTTCCAGCCTCTTCCAACAATTCGGTGTCTCTCATTTTCTTGCCAAACTAAAATAAAGATCAAATCAGCTTTTCAACCTTTTCAAGAAGCCAATTTTGCTTTAACAGGCTGTCGAAAGAAATACAGCAAAATTTAAGGCAAAAATTAAGACTCACCTGCATCTTCATCTCAAAATATCCAGACAAAATGATGAGTGGAACGATGAAGATGAGAACGATCGCCAGCTTCCATCCAAACATCAATCCCACAACGATCGCTCCGCCAATCGTTACCACTGACGAGATGACAACGGGAAGACGAGTGAATACCTAGACAAGATCTTAAATTAATTATCTAATAAAGTTATCTAATAAAATTATCTATTAAAGATGATTATCGAATAAAAAAGAAAAATCTGGACCTAGATCTGCCCGAGATTCGGATCCAGGTCCAGATCCGGACCAGGCCCAGCTCTGGCTAGCTTTATCTGGAGCTTTATCCAGCTCTGGATATCTGGGTCAGGCTAAGGCCAACCCTAATGCCATTAGTTACTGCAAAATTTGTTTTCCACTCACATATCGAACATTCGGCGCATCCGTAGCGAAACGTGTGCATAACTTGCCAGTGCCATGCTTTAAGTCATCATAGAATCTCAAACTAGAATCAAACTAATGATTCAAAAATTGTACAACTACGAAATACAAATGCAATTAAGTGCATTTTATGCATCAGATCACTTTAAAAAGGTTATCGCACAATTGCTCCGCTCCTTTTGCCATTGCCATAACTTTGAGCTCAATTTTCTTGGTGTTGAGCTGTCCAATTTAAATAATTTTTATACCAATCGATAGAGAAAGCCTTGGCACATCTAATGATATCAAAATATTTAAATTGGACAGCTCAACACCAAGAAATTTGAGCTCAAAGTTTCCAATGGCAAAAGAACCAGAACGCGCATCAAATGCCCCATGATTCTTTCAAAAACCCACCCAACATCTTGTCGCATTAAATTTGTGAACGCCATCATACGCAGCTTTTTCGTTAAACCCTCTCCACAGCGGCCGAGAGTGTTCGCCTAAATTCTTTCATTTAAAATATGTTCAACTTATCTAAGTAGATCAACAAATATCATCCAATTAATTTTAAAGTAAAAGAATTAATTTTATTAGATACCGAAAGGAAGAATCCGCTTGCGTGCACAAAGCCGAGAATCAAGAACATTACACACCAGAATAAAGCATCTTTTTCCATTTGCTCAGGTGGTTCGGAGAAAACCTAAAAACATTGAATGAATTTTAAAGTAAAAGAAGAAATTCTATCAGATAAGCACGACAAAAGGACGTTTTTTTTCGGATTTGAGCAAACTTTAACGAAAAACCAATGAAAATAAGTAAACGCCAGCGTTTTGGCACTAAAGCTAAAGCTAGTTGGCTATAGCTATAGCCACTAGTTGGCCTATAGCTAGTTGGCATAGGCTATAGCTATACGCTTAGGCTATAGCCATCGGCTTAGGCTATAGAGCTATAGGTTTAGGCCTAAGCCCACAGCTATAGCCTAAGCCTAAGCCTAAGCCTAAGCCTAAGCCTAAGCCTAAGCCTAAACCTATAGCTTAAGCCTATAGCTATAGCCTAAGCCTACAGCTATAGCCTAAGCCTATAGCTATAGCCTAAGCCTATATCTATAGCCTAAACCTACATTTAGACATAAAGTACCAAAAGTTTGACTCACGTTAAAGATTTGCGCGTAGACAAGAGCGAATACTGGTGTCACACATCCGGACGCCGTGCTGCCCAAGAGACCCAACGCGAAATAGCCCCAATTCTCGCGATTCGTCACGAAGATTTTGGAGACTGGCGTGGGCTTGACACGAGCCTCCTGAAATCGCCACCATAATCCCCATTTCTGTCTCATTTCTCACTCTCCGTCCTTCATTCTATTTCGTGCCCTATCTACCGTACACCCGACAAATTTATGACGGAAACATCTGTCGGTCAAAAGCATCTGTCGCTTTTTTTTTTTGCCATTGACAATTTAAGGGTTTTCGTGTTTTTCTCAGCACTAGTCCTTCGATTTTGGCTATCATTCGATTCAAAATCAAATTGCGCGTCGAATGATACCAAAACTAACTCAAAATATCACATCTATGTAAATTGTAAGCTAAAAACCTAAACCCTGCCCGGGATGTGACTTTTTGCCTCATAACTTTGCATAGATATTATATTTTGAGTTAGTTTTGGTATCATTCGACGCGCAATTTTATTCTGAATCGAATGATAGTCAAAATAGACAAAATAGAAGAGTTTGTGCTGAGAAAAACCACGAAAAACCTTTGCCAACAGCAAAAAAAGAACCTATAAATGTTTTTGCTACAAGTTTACACCAAACATTTTCAAAAAGAACTTAAAAATTGTTTTTTTAAATGTATTTTTATCCGTTTTCAAGTCATTAGGCGTTTATATTTATTATTTAAAGAATTCTATTCTTAAAAAGTCTTTGAAATGTTTTTGATAGGCAAGAGTTGATAGTTGGGTAAAACCGGGGAAATGAGAAAGGCTAATGGAAGCGTAGCCTTATGAAAGAATTCCTCTACACAGATAATCTAAGGTTTAAATCCTTAAAAATAACTTTTTAACTAAAATAACTTTTTTCCCCGTTTAAAACCCACTTCCGCATCATCTTGCATCTCCTTGATTGTGCTGATCGATCGACTCACCATACTTGCCGTGCCTTGATAGGTCATCTTGCGAACTGCCTAAAGTTATTTGATTATTTGGTATTATTATACTTTTTGATTATTTGGTATTAATATTTTTGATTGGTTGTTCAACATTTTCAGATAGGTTATCAGAAAGTGACTCTTTCAGTTCAGATCCTTGACTTAACCCCTAATAAAACAGGAGGAAATGTGGAAATGGTTAACGATCATTAAATTCAAATTTCGCTGTTTTTCTCACCGATGATTTTCGCGATCTTACTGATCCAACCGCTGACATCACATCAACTGTCTCGCGATCTTCCAAATCTAAAAAGAGGTTTTGATGAGAAGAAAGAAGAGCAGAAAGAAGAGAAGAAAGAAGAGGAAGAAGAGCAGAAAGAAGGGAAGAAAGAAGAAGAGAAAGAAGAGAAGGAGAAGAGAAGAAAGAAGAAGAAGAGAAGAGCCACCTCTTCCACAACGAATGCCTGGGATCCCCTCCGAGATCACATCCCATTACCTGCAGTTCTCCAAAAGCAACAAAGGAAGAAGAGGAAGAGAAGAAGAGGAAGAAGAGAAGAAACAAGAGAAAGAAGAGAAGAAAGAAGTCGTCTAGAAGGAAGAAGAGAAAGAAGAAGTCGTCTAGAAGAAAGAAGAGAAGAAAGAAGTCTTCTAGAAGGAAGAAGAGTTCAAAGATTTTGCTGAAAGAAGTTCAAAGAATCGAAAGTCATTTCTCCCACCAGCTGTCATTTGCATTGCTTCTTGTGCTTTCAATTTCTGTTGTTGTGTCATTTCATGGAAGATCCCATGTGCCTCGATGAGTTCTTCGTGAGTACCGTGCTCAGCAATCTTTCCTTCCTAATACAAAAGTAAAGATAAAGTCCAGTAAAGGTTTTCTTTTGGCATAAAATGAAATATCTTTCATTTCAGCAATATCAGCAATTCACTATTCCCAACTAAACATTTCTTTTTAAGCTTACTAAGCTCATTTCTCAGCTCGTTTCTTAGCTCATTTCTCAACATTTCTCAACTCATTTCAAGTTCTCAACTCGATAGATAGTGCAACAGGATTATTGCAACAGCTTCAAGGCATTAAAGTCATTTCCAACTATCTCAACATACTAAAGAAAGATCCAAGATAAAGATCTTCACAGAAAGAAAGATCCAAAAATCACTTTAGCAATAGAATTTAGTGTTTTATGTAGATAATACTCATGCTCAAAAGGCTCAAATGATCGAAGCAGTCATCGATCATTTAGTCCTCGATCATTTAGTCCTAGATCATCGATCATGAAAATGATCCCTACCTCAGTAGGTAGGGATCATTTTTATCCTTTGGGCACCTTTAGTGGCTAGTTTCGTTCTTAGTCCGATCGATTTCCGATGGATTTCGATGGATTGAAGTATTTGGAATATTCTTGAAGCAAAAAACGTGTTTAAAACCCTATCCTAGTATCAATTCGCTTAAGAAATCTCTTTACTCGTTCGACAATGTTCGACAAACTCGATTGGCGCTGTTTCACGGTGCCTCAAAAGCTCTCAAAAGCTTTCTTTTGCTTTAGCAGCTTTCAAGAAAAAAATACCGTATTCGCAAGCTTTTACATTATAACTTTTAACATTAGTAGAGTTTTAATGCATCCAATCTACCGTATCTAGCTGAAATTGTGCTAATCATTAGCTGCTATTGATTCTAATAACATCAAGAACTTACCGGATTCTCTCTAATAGTAATGGACCCCGCCGAGCCGAGTTGATGACTATTTACGGCTTCCAAAGTTTCCCCAGAAGCTCAACACTCTAATCCCCCACTAGATCTCCTCGTTAGCTACATTTTCCGACCCCACATCAATAGGTTATGATAAGCGGTTCTCGAGATTTCGAGGAATTTAAGCGAAGCTTAGGGTGCACTATTAGAGATCGTCACTATTAGAGAGAATATTAGTTGCAATAATTAGATATTAATTGCAATAACCCTGTAAACAGCCTTTATAATCTTTAACTCTTTCTTGCAAATCAAACCTTAAAGACAAAAATTCGATCGCAGTTTCGAATGGTCGACAAGCGATGAGCGACAATGATCGTCGTTCGACCGTGCATCGCCTAGTTTTGAAACTGTTTTAAAGGATTCAATGGATTCTAACAATGACACAATGTAACAATGTAACAATGTAACAATATAACAATGTAACAAAGTAACAAAGTAGCAATGTAACAAAATAACAAAGTAACAATGTCACAATGCCACAATGCCTAACAATGCCACAATGCCACAATGTAACAATGCCACAATGACACAATGCCACAATGCCACAATGACACAATGCCACAATGCCACAATGTAACAATGCCACAATGTAACAATGCCACAATGACACAATGCCACAATGTAACAATGCCACAATGCCAAAATGCCACAATGCCACAATGTAACAATGCCACAATGCCACAATGCCACAATGCCACAATGTAACAATGCCACAATGCCACAATGCCACAATGTCACAATGTCACAATATTCTTAATCATTTTCTTACCTTATCAAGTGCATGTTGTACTTCTTGTTCACTTTCCGTGTCCAATGCCGATGTCGCCTCGTCAAGCAGCAAGAGTTTTGGGTTTTTTACGAGCGCTCTTGCGATTGCGATTCGTTGCTTTTGACCTTAAAAAGCAGAATTTCAATTAATCATCTTTAACTTTGTGCTTTGTGCTTAAATCTGCTTAAATCGCTCAAATTTCTAGTGCACTGAGCTCTCCATTTCTCATCAAACGATACAAACCGAGAATTCAATGGACACGCCAAGAGGACATGTTTAAGCTCAAAGTTCAAGAAGAAATGTAAACGCCAACATTCTGGCACACTGCCTAACACTGCCTAACACTTTCTATTACTTCCTAACACTTCCTAACACTGCCTAACACTGCCTAACACTGCCTAACACTGCCTAACACTGCCTAACACTTCCTAACACTTCCTAGCACTTCCTAACACTTCCTAAGACTGCCTAACATTGCCTAACACTTCCTAGCACTTCCTAACACTTCCTAATAACTCAAAACTTTTACCTCCACTTAATTGCACTCCTCTCTCACCAACTCGAGTCGCCAAACCATCAGGTAAACGTTTAATAAACTCTGTGGCATTTGCCTGAAAAGAAAAAAATTCTATTTTTTCAATTTCACAGATTTTTACTATATTTTCTTTTATATTTTAAAGATTTCCGCAAATTTTTCGAAATTCATCTAGAAGAATCAAAAAATGAATCATAGGAGAAAGGATGGGAGAATTTTCGATCAGATAACCGTGTCAAGAAGAAATGCTCACGCTTACTAATAGCAATTCGATACAGAAATTTCGATACAGCAATTGGATACAGAAATCGACAACAACAATTCTAGTTTATGTAAAGAAAACGCTAAAAAGGTTGAGTCTAAAAGCTAGAGGTGCGATCAAGCAAGATTTGGCTTAAATCTTTTGAATAGTCATCGAATTCTTGAATCCAATAAATCTTGAATTCTTGAATTCTTGAATCAATAATCCAATACTTTAGAGTTGGATTACTGTTTGGAGCTTTAGAAGCTTTGGAGCTTTGGAGCTTTGGGCTGGGCTACGGAGCTTGGGCTTTAGGCTTGGGCTATGGGCTATGGGCTTTGGGCTATGGGCTATGGGCTTTGGGCTATGGGCTTGGGCTTTGGGCTGGGCTTTGGCTTGGGTTTGGAGCTTTGGAGCTTTGGAGCTTTGGAGCTTTGGAGCTTTGGAGCTATGTTTTTAGAATAACTGGAATTACTGACAATTGAGTTATTGTAGCTGATAGAATTACTGTAGTCTTGTAGAGCTACTGGATGACGATAGCTAATGGGATTACTGTCACCTTTCGAGCTATTGGATTACTGTAGATCTGGCTTTGCTGAAAGCTTGGTTCAGACAAAAATTCGTGTTTAGAAAGCAAGCTTTAACTTCTGGATACCCTAAAATAGATCTAAGGGATTTAAAGGAGCACACTCTTCACGAAAATCGCTGATTTCAAAGAAGAATCTTAAAGCTCGTCTCGAATTTGCGAGGAAACGTTAGAACTGATCTTTGTTAATTTGGAATAAATTGTCCATTTTCTAAAGTGTGTCCAAAGTTATGACCCTTACTTTATCCACTGCTCAATGCAGGCTTTTGGTTGAGTGGATACAAGACTAGAATAGAAGACTAGAATAGAAGACTAGAATAGAATACTAGAATAGAATACTAGAATAGAAGACTAGAATACAAGACTACGTATCTTTTGCCGTAGACTCTCCTTAACGATTTCTTTGTTTTTTTAAGCCACCATAAACCATTCGCTAGTAAGATTTGATAAATTTAATCTCATCAAACTTTTTCTGCACCTGTTTACACGCATTCATCACTTCCTCCTGTGTCGCATTCTCATTTCCCATACGAATATTCTCGTAAAGTGTTCCATCAAAAAGAATTGGTTCCTAAATTTGCACTAAACATTCTATTAAACATATCAATGAATAAGAAAGATAAAGTTAAAGATAAAGTTCAAAAAAAAACCTGTGAAACAATGCCAATCTGTTCTCGAAGTGCTTTCACGTTTAAATCTTTCAAATCAACTCCATCTAATGTTATCTAAAACTAGAACTATATAGGAACCAAATGGGAACCAAATGGGAACTAAATAGGAACTATACAGTAACCAAATAGGAACTATATAGCAACCAAATGGGAACTAAAGGAGTGGAATTTCCATGATTTCGAAAATTCGATACATTCTTACTATTTTACTTACTATACTTGCTATAACTCACCTTTCCTCGATTCGGATCATAATAACGAAGCAAGAGATTGATAATCGTTGATTTCCCACATCCAGAAGCGCCTACCTGAAATTTATTTGCTATTTGCTTTATAATAAAGTCGAGTTCTCTCTATAATGGAAAGGAATCGATGGACGCATTCGAAAGAAGCAGTGCAGCAGTTCTTACCGCTAACGGCAGTAGTCCTTACCGCTAACGGCAGCAGTCCTTACCGCTAACAGCAGCAGTCCTTACCGCTAACAGCAGCAGTCCTTACCGCTAACGGCAGCAGTCCTTACCGCTAACGGCAGCAGTCCTTACCGCTAACGGCAGCAGTCCTTACCGCTAACGGCAGTAGTCCTTACCGCTAACGGCAGCAGTCCTTACCGCTAACGGCAGCAGTCCTTACCGCTAACGGCAGTAGTCCTTACCGCTAACGGCAGCAGTCCTTACCGCTAACGGCAGCAGTCCTTACCACTAACGGCTAGACGCATTCGAAAGAATGGAAAGGATCAAAAAAATGTTTCTGTTTATCGAGTGCCGTTTATAGAGTACCATTTTATATAGCTTAGCATGGGCTTGGATCAAAATAGTTGTTATAAATTTACGTTTGTTTGTTAATTAGTTATAGTTTCGTTATAGTTTCGTTATAGTTTCGTTATAGAGTTTCCTTATAGAGTTTCCTTATATAGTTTCGTTATAAAGTTCCGCTATAGAATTCCGTTATAGAATTCCGTTATAGAGTTCCGTTATAGAGTCTCCTTACAGAGTTCCGTTATATAGTTCCGTTATAGAGAGTTGACTGTATTGTAATTGATACAAATGGACAAAATGTAATTGATAGCTATTGATAGAAGCTAATCTTAATTAACAACATGTGCACTCAGAGAAATCCTAGACTAGAGCAAGCTTTGTGTAAATGAAAAAAAAAACGATCACATGACTTTTTAGATTTAAATTTAAACTTGTTTCTTCTCGACCTTTTATCAATTGTTTTAAATATTGCTTCGTTATAGTTTCGTTAGTTTTTTTTTGTATTATATAAGATTTAGCTCCAAGATCTCACCAAAGCAATTTGCTGTCCCGGTTCGACCAATAGAGAAACACCACGAAGAATCTAAATTGAATCTTGTTGAATCTTGTTGAATTGGTTTTATTTTAAGTATCAGATCTTATCTAATCATATCCAAAAAACCAAAAACCAAGAGCGGGACCGAACCCTGCTCTTAAGAAGAAGTCCTAAGAACCAGAAGTCGTCCCACTATCCACTACCCCACCGCTATGTATGTCTCGTTGATTGAAAAGCGCTCTTTAAAGCTTCAATTCAATTTTCCTCGATCCTTTAAAGTCCTTTAAAGCTTCGAAATAGCTTTAAAGCTTCGAAGGGTAGAAAGAGCAGCCGTGGCCTAGAGGTGGTGGGCCTAGAGGTGGTGGGCCTAGAGGTGGTGGGCCTAGAGATGGTGGCCTAGAGGTGGTGGGCCTAGAGGTGGTGGCCTAGAGGTCGTGGCCTAGAGGTGGTGGCCTAGAGGTGGTGGGCCTAGAGGTGGTGGCCTAGAGGTGGTGGCCTAGAGGTGGTGGCCTAGTTCGCTAGTCGACCTAGTCGCCTAGGTCGTGGCCTAGTTCGCTATTCTTCAAAACCTATGCAATCGCTGCGCTCGGGTTCGATTCTGCTTGGCACCAAAACTTTTCCTTTTTTTCAATTCATTTTGGCAGCTTATGAAGCTTATTTAGCTTATTTAGCTTATTTGGCAGCTTATGAATCTCTATACTCGATTTATTTAGATGTATGTGGTCGGGAAATAAAAGCTGACGAAAAATTTCGTGTCTTTCCCCTAGTTAGCCTATTGTAATCAGTTTTCGACTTGAATTCTAGAGTTTAAGCAAAATTTTAACGCAAATAACATTTACAGGGATTCATTTCGATGTGATTGTGAAAAGTGATTCATTTTTGGCACCTTGAAACTGAAAAAAAAGAGGGATGAGTGGAGCTCCAAAGGCCCCGCCCCAAATCACAAAAACATATAAAAATCCTGATTGGCTAAATGGATCATTTGAATCATTTGCATCATTTGAAATCTTGAGCTGAATATCTTATTCCTTCTAATATCCCCCTCAAATACTGTGTTTTCTAAAGCTTGTCCCTTAAACAACGGCAATTTCCTTAAACTACGGTAATTTTCTCTATTTTTATCCGATCTATTCAAATTTTCTATATCTTTGTGATATCATTCAAAAAAATCAAAAAACAAGTGAATAGATTGGATAAAAATCGAGACAAGCTTACGGCAGAAATCACGGCAAAAATAAAGACAAGATTACTGTAGAAATCACGACAAAAATAGAGACAAGATTACGGTAGAAAGAGAAAGCGGGAAAACGGATCATTTCATTTAGAAAATAATATTATCATCATTTAATTTAATACTAAAATCATTTAATACTTTGCTTAATTGCCTATTCAATGTCCAAATTTGACTCTTGCGTAGTTTCCGTTTATTTTGAAAGAATCCTGGTCTTTTGAAAGAATCCTGGTCTTTCAACGGATCGTCACACTTTTGTTTGTCCAGAGTTGGCTTGAATTTCTCGACTGGAGTATCCAATTAAACTCTATTTGGTATTATTTAAAAGCCTAAATCGTCCTCTATCCAATGATAGAAAAAGTTAACCATAATATTATTTCCGAACAAAGTTATAGATGATCAAAGCCTTCAAAGCTTGGCCACTTATTCCAAATTTCTTCGATGGCTTTGATCAATCTATAACTTTGTCCAGAGATCATATATTTTTGTTAACTTTTTGTATCATTGTATAGAGGAGATTTCAGGCTTTCAAATGATACCAAAGAATCTTCTCTATTTTGATCCAATCTATTCAAATTTTCTATATCTTTGTGATATCATTCAAAAAATCAAAAAAAAATTGAATAGATTGGATAAAAATAGAGAAGATTACCGTGGTTTAAGGGAAAAGTTTTAGAAAACCGACAACTATTTCCTTTTTCCCTATTCCGCATTCTATTTTGTAGTCTATTCTATTCTGTAGTCTATTCTATTTTGCCGTCTATTCTACCGTAATCCATATGCCTATCGATTACAGTATTCTGTTCACTTTTTAGAAATCACTTCCCGACGGGCTCTTTGAAAATCTCGGGAGTCTTTTCGTTTCACCTAGATTTAACTGGAGCTTGTCGGGAAGCCGATTTCGATTAAAAATTGAAATGTATATGTTGTGTCCGATTTAGATTTCCGTTCGATTTAGATTCAATCTAAATCTTATATAGATTGAACAATAATATAAACATGCTTAATATATTTTCTTAAGCGTTTTCTGTAGTTTTTAACTTTAATAGGATAATAGTAAGCATTTAATAGGAAAACAAGAAAACAAAAAATTCTCAAAAAAAGACAATAAAATTTCTTTGAAAAGCGTAGAAAACGCTTCAGAACATATATTAAGCATGTTTATATTATTGTTCAATCTATATAAGATTTAGATTGAATCTAAATCGGACACAACATATATATATATGTCGTAGCCGATGAAGACTCAAATTCTTTCGCTAACCTTCTTCGGCTAGCCGATTAAGTCTCAAAAATTAAATCTGGACAAACCCAAGCTCTCTAAAAGGCCCTTAAAAGCTAAAAAAGCATTCTAAAGAGATTCTTTCTCTATTCCTAAAAAACAAAAATTAGTGTAGCTTAAGCAAAAAATGCACAGTAACAAAAATAAAAAATAGGAATGAAATAAGATGAGATTATCGATGATCCAACAAAGGAGGCAACTTGACTTACAAAAACAAACAATTCTATTTCAAATAAATGATGAATCATATAGAAAATGACGAAAAGGCCCTTTTATAGCCTTTGGTTAAAGTATGAAAAAAAGCGCACTCTTTAGAATGCGTTTTTAGCTTTTAAGCGCCTTTTAGAGAGCTGGAGTTTGTGGTATTGACTTGAGTCAATACATAATTCAAGATTTCATTTTTGAGACCTAATCGGCTAGCCGAAGAAGTCTGAGACTTCTTCGGCTGAAATCCTTCATCGGCCACGACATATATATCTCTGGCTTTATTTATGCAAATTTTAGATACAAATTTATGCCTTGAAATCTTGAAATTTTTAAATTCTTGTTTTATTGTTTGTTTTATTTGTTGTTTTGTTTTTTTTTTTTGCAAAATCTCACTCTGATGACGAGTTTGGCAATTTCTAAGGCAAATTGTGAAGCTTAGATATTGGCCAAATTGGTCATTATGGTGAATGAATAGTCATTCATTTCGATATTTAGTAATTACCGTAGCCCCGTAAACCCCCGTTTTTCGAAGCCATTTCTGGGTTTCTGCACTTCTAAGTCTTGCTTTGGGTGCTTAGATTTCGCAATAACCCAGGAATGACAAATCGAATTCAACGATTAACCCAATTCGTTCAAAGTAACCCGTTTTCTAAAGTGTATCAGAAAACTACAGTAATTGAATTAACTACAGTTATTGAATTTTGGTTAGGAAAGTTTGATAAAAAAGTTTGGATTTTATTTTTATTGTTATTTTATTAAATGATAATATATGTTACATTTTAATAAAATAAAGAACAATTTACAATTTTAAATAATTGTTTATAAAGAAAATCGGGACCTAGTCAAAATAGCGCCGCCAAAACAGCGCCGTTCAAAACAGCGCCCATACAAAAATAGCGCCGTTCAAAACAGCGCCCGTACAAAAATAGCGCCGTTCAAAACAGCGCCCGTACAAAAATAGCGCCGTTCAAAACAGCGCCATTCAAAACAGCGCCAATACAAAAATAGCGCCAAATTGAAAGAGACTTCGATTAGATTTTTCAACCCCAATTTTTTTATACTTCTCATCAGAACTTGTAACTTTTGTTATTTTTTAAACATTGCTAGGCACCTTGCGCGTTTATAAAGAAAAACATCAAAAATTGCAGTATGCCGGAAAGACACAGAGTAGCGCTCACTCAAAAACTTGTCACATGAGTTGTGTGACTCCAATTCGAAAGCTTTTGGTATATAAATGTAGCCAAGATTCTGGGCTTTAAATCTCTAAATAGCATTTAACCCTTTTGAAATAGGCTTTTGGACATTTGGTAGCTGCTGCTTTTAGAGCAGTAGCTGGTAGCTGCTTTTACAAAAAGTTATGCCATCGGATCAGCGAATCGTTTGGAGCTATTCATTTTTTTGAGTCTACCAAGTGAAACTTGGATTTAATTGATCTAAACTTTTAGATATTATTCAAAAACTTGTATTACTCAAGCCGCTTTTAAGTTAAAGTCGTAGAGATAGCTTCGTAGAGAGTCATAGATAGATTAGACAAGATTGTTCGAGGAATGGTCTGTTTTAGAAAGAAATAGTTTGAAAGGTAGACACTATAGTACCCCAGTGCCTATCCTAATACCGTATTTTCTGTAATAGTAGTGCGCACTACTATTTTTTCAACCCTCCTCCTGCCTGCACTACTATTACAGACTGCACCACTGTGATAGACTGCACTACTATTACAGAAAATACGGTAATCATTTCTAAATCGTGATCAAATTACCGTAATTACCGTAAGATTAGTCTTTCACTCACCGGGATATCCTTGCGACTGGGGTAGCGAAAATGCACGTTTTGCACCTGGATCGATCCTTTCAAATCGTTGAGCACGACACCTTCCGTTGAGTACGGATCAATGTACGGAGTCTAGGAAATCATATAGTTAGAGAATATCATCGTATCGCTAGAGAATTACAATCGATCCTTTCAAATCGACTTCTTTATCTAATGAAGTTCTTTATCTAATTGATTTCACCTACCGTATTGAGTACTTTGAGTACACTCCTCGCCGCTCCGACAGCCGTTGCGATCGATCCAAGATGGGGCAAAGCTCCGCCCAAAGCCGTCGATCCGGACATCACCGAGAAAAACACCTGAAATTTGAATTGCAAATCACATTTTGCATTCAATTTACCGTGAAAATCGTTCCCCGATCAAACGTCGGATCGCCAATGATGATTCGACTACCATACCTAAAAAAAGGTTAAAGATTATGCAATAAAACACACTAAGGTCATGTACTCATGTATCTTTTACTCATGTACTCATGTATCTTTTACTCATGTATCTTAGAGTTTAAAAACCTTAGTACAGTTCTGTTGTATGAGATTCTACATTTATATAGAAAAATCGCAACTAGAGTTCGTTTTTTCGCATGCAATGGAAGACGAATAGCAAGCTAACATCAACTTTTCTCAGATCTTATCCGTTCTACATAGTTTTGAGTTCTTTCTTTTGAATCTAATAGTAAGCACATCCTACTAGTGTCTTAGAATTACTATACATTGAAAAAAAACTAACCAAAACGCGAGCGCATACGATCCGTACATGCAAATGTTGGAGAAACCGACGCAAAGACCCATGTAGAAGTACTTGACAAGACCAGTTTTACGGCCCACCTCCAACGCGTCTTCGAAGCTAAATGGTAAATGATGAATGGTAAATGGTAAATGATGAATGGTAAATACATCTTCTTCTGGGAATCAAAGCTTCAAAAAAAAAATGATTATAAAAACCGTCTATCAATAGTTATCATCAGCCTTTAATCAATAGTTAAGACCCACGTATTAAGAAAGACCCACGTATCAAGAAAACCCATGTTCCCTAACTAAAATCCCACTTCATCTCCCAACAAACCGTTTCATTTGTCTTTTGTGTCCGTTGAGTGAGTGCACAGTTCGAATTGATGAGAAAGTCTCCTCGGCGATTCCACCAGCCACCGCATAGGTCTCTTGCTCCATTTGGGTTCTGAAAAGTGGAAAGATAAGTGAAAAAATTCTCATCTTAAACGTTAAGGAAGAAAGAGACGGATAAGCTACAAATACAAAAACTCGTTTACCTGCTCGCTGCCACTTTGCTCATCCAGGCGCCAGAAGCGACAACAAACGGCGCAAACGCCAACATCACGAGCGTCATCTGCCACGAGTACATAAAACCTAGAGTTTGACTTGAATTTGAATTTCATTGCTTCTCATACCGACGATGAAACCAGATGCAAAAGCAGCGGCCATTTGAATGAAAAGAGAAAGCTTGTCACCGAGACCCTCCCGCACTCGCTCGAGATCACTAGAAATTCATCATCAGTATCACTAAATCACTAGAAAATTCATCAATCAGTATCACTAGATCACTAGAAACCGATCATTATGGGGATGGCGTTCTATTATTTGTACATACTTCGTGATTTTCTCAACAGAATAGATGCCTATTTGGATGAATCCGTGCCAGATCGAGTACTATCTTTTAGTTTTCATTGCTCGATTCTGATCAATTATCGTTCTGATCAATTCCATTTACCGTAAATACTCTAATAGAACGCCACCTCCTCGTACAGTCAAACTTCTTTCTAGAAAAGTCATTTTTTCCCAGCCCCTAGATTTTTCTCAATTATGCTTTTGATACCAAAAAATACTAGATTTCAAGAGCTATCATTTGACACCCAAGTCCACACTATAGCATCAAGCAGTGCGAAGAACGGCACGCTCAAAGTTAGCCTACGTGACTGTACGCCGATCATTATGGGAGTGGTGTTCTATTAGAGTATTTACAGCACTTACTCCGTCAATCTTGCCGTGAGATTTCCCGTCGACTGCTCGTCAAACCACGCAATTTGTTGTCTAAACAAACCAATGGATACATTTTGTTTTTTAATTAAACCTGAGAATCGCTTTCAAATAGTGCTGTCTCAGCTGGTGAACTAGACGCTCCGAGAACGACTCCATGCAGGCAATCTAGGCATTTGTAAATACATTTAAAAGAGATCTTGCCTGTATATAGGAGGTGACGAACATCAGAAAGCCGAGCGCAAGGTAGTAGTAACAGTAAACGATCACTTGCGCGTCGAACGCTTCCCTAAAATTTCAAGTCCACGGGTTAGGGTTTGTGTGTGCCTTACTGTGTAATCCCGGGCACTCCATTCGGATCCGTTTTCCCGACACCGGTCACAAATTCAGAGTTTTGTGCTTGCAAGAACACAGTCGTCATACCACCTAAAAATTTAGTAAATTATTACGACTTTAAATCTTGAAATTCTGGTTAAAATTAAAACCTAAACTGCTAAACCTTTTAACTCAAAAATACTAATTCCAAATGGTTTACTAAAACGACAAGACTAATTTGCTAAAACAACAAGACGATTCGCAGCTGGGTTGGATTGACTGGCATCTCTACTGTATATAAAAAATAGTCTGTCTGTCTGTGTGCGCACTACGCGCGTTCCCATTGAGTATTTTAAAAAAACCCTGAAACATGTGTCTAATGAAACTTCATGTAGTTGTTATAACTTTTTGTAGAGTTGAGCAAATTTGATGATTTTTGCATCAAAATGTTCGTAAGAGTCTCTAGAATAAAACGTATCCCTTCGTTTTTGGTTCTAGACCCTCGTTGTCGAGTTACGAGCCCCAAACTGCAGGATACCACAAAATTTCCCATACAAAATGTCCCATATGTCAAAATTTCGATTCTACGCCCTCAAATTACCTAGAAAAACAACATTTGGAATAGAAATTGGTTAATATTAGCTTTTTAGAGCCTTTTTAAGACGCGAAAAAAGGTGCACTAATGGGCAAGGTGCGGAAAAAAAGGTGTGCTAATGGGCAAGGTGCGGAAAAAAGGGTGCGCTAATGGGCAAGGTGCGGAAAAAAGGTGCGCAAATGTCCGGGTGCGCAAAAAAAAGGTATCATTTGTCCCACTCCCAGATCCGGTGGGGTAAAATTTGATATGCCTTATATACGACCCCTTTTAAAGATATTCAGCCGCTCAAGTGAATAGATGAGACGAAGAAACGCCGGAGTGGGAAACGATTCTTTAAAAAAATGAATTTTTGACTGGATGGAGCTTTATTTTATAGGTGAAAAGGGAGACATTGTCTCGGGTACGGTAGCTTAGGTGTATTTTAGAATTGAAAATTTGCCAACTCGTGCTCAAACTGTGGGAATTGGGGGTTTTCCTTTCGAATTGCATCCTAAGAAACCCGTGTAACTTTTTGGCGTAGATTTACTGTAGATTTAGCATTAGTGCAAGAAAATAAATCAACTTTAAGCCGCATAAAGCAATATTGGCAAATTATTAGATGGGTAGCTGCTGGATTTTCTGGATTTTCAAAGTTTACCACTTTGTTGTACCACTTCCAACGTTTAGAAAAACTGAATTATTGGGCTTTACGGTTCAGAAGATGACTGAATCTGCTAGCTTTCAAAATTCAAAGATTTAATTCTTGAACTATTCTTGAACGGACAAATTTCAGCTTCAACCTCACCAAGCACAATCGACAGTAACGGGAATCCAGCTCCATGAATGAACGCCGAGGCGGCGCCGACGCCAAACAACAAATAGTCGAAACCCGTCGCGAAATGAAACTGAAAACTTTTCGGTTTAAGATTGGAAACATTTCAAGTATTACGATTCCATATGTGGAGTGCTTTGAAGTGAGATGTTCTCGGAATGAGCCAAGGCTGAAAGTGTTGGTTTTGCTACCATAAATACTGTAATAGTACCCCAGCCCGAAAATGACGGTGCGGAGCGTTGCGTAGTCTAGCTTTGAACGCGTTTTTCTCGATACTGGTTTATGCTACAATGCTCGTTTAGATATCAAAAAATAGCTGAAATTCAGGGCTATTTTTTGATACCAAAGACGCATTTTTTGAAAGTACGGGCGTTTTGGAAAACAATTAAATACAAAAAAACGACTACGCGTTTACGACTACGCGACTGTACGAGGCGGCTGGGGTACTATTACAGTATTTACGGTAAGTTACGGTATTGCTAAAAACAATAGATTTTTGCCTGGGTTAGATCTACAGTACCGGACAAGCAGATTTATAAGCAGATTTTGGCTATTTTCAAGAGCCAGTAGCTAGTGGTAGCTGAGTGGTAGTCGATTAGAATGCAAGGATCCAAGGCAGAGGAGTAGCTGGTTCAAGTCCGTCATCTCTGTCTCTCTTTTGCTCCTACAGCACTGGACAATGAAATATCATCATTGAAAAACGATCGTCACTTTCGCGCGTCTGTAACTCCCTTGTCTTTGAGTTTAAACTATTAGTGTTATACATTTTCTGAAAGCTCTTTTCAAGGGCTACACAATGGTAATATTAGGATTTAGAAATACGATAAAGACAAGGGAGTTATAGAGGCGCGAAAGTGACGATCGTTTTTTCAAATATGATATTTCATTGTCCAGTAGTGTAAATCCACCATATTTATGGTAATCAGATCACTGTTAAATTTAGTGCAGAATAGAAAACGGACTACTCTAAAAATGAAAAAAGAAAGAAATTTACTTTCTTGTGCATTTCTTTACAGAAAGAGGGAATCGTCACGTAAATGACGTCATTTATAAGGATGCTTGTGCCCTATTTGCATCGGTTTTGAATGAATTAAGTTTGTTCAGCTTTGCAATCAAAATCTTTCAACTTATTCAGCTCCAAAAAATTTCGAAACTTTTACCTATTTTCACTCCCATAGAAGCTTCCCTTCCGGGCGCCAAGAAGCGGCGCGCCCTCTTCGTCTGATTTTTTGCCACCCATGCAAAAATCTCAATATCAGAGTTGAAATGCTATCGGAAAGCTGAAAATTTGTTGAAATAGATAATTTAAGAAACACAAAAAAAGCATTCAGATTTTCAAAAATCCGTTTACTACCAAAACGCTCTCGGAAAAGAGCTGATTTGTAGAAAAAGAGTGGCAAATTTCCCCGTGAAGCCAATCATATCAAAAATGGGGTAAATGCTGATAAGGACGATCAGGCCTGAACAAAATACGAGCGTTCTTTTAAAGAGAACCCCCCTCCCCCCACAACATTTGAGTAACTTGTTGTTTGAGAAAAATTTGTTAACCTGAGGGCCCACCTGCACAGTGGAAAGAAGCCAATATCTAATCGCATTGATAGCACCACCACAAACTAGACGAATCGATAGTTGTGCATTCTATTCTTCGCTGAAGACCCCATTAAAAGGATTTCCGATAAAATGGAGAAGATTAAAAACTACCGAATATTTGTTTTAGGAACCCAATGTCGAAAGGGGATTTATTTCATTGTGCTTTAAATTTAAAGAACACGCCCAGGTTTTTCAATCGATGCTCCGAAAAAATTTCAAACTAGGCAAATCTAACACATCCTTTACGTTTTCAATGATTTGTATGCTACTTTGTTTCTTTTCAAAAATTGTTTGTCTGAATGCATAAGTTTTGCTGAACATGTAAATGTGAGATACATTGGAAACAGGTGTATAACAAACAATTTATAACAAAAAATTAAATTTATTTCTTCGACAAAGAGGACCTGCTTCCCGACTTTCTGCGTTCCTTTTGCTCGGCGCGGAACTTGGCAAGAACCACGGAGTAAGCGGTACGTGCTTCCTTAAATAACAAAAGGTTATGGAATCTGTTTATTCTATCGTTTACCTTCTCACGTTGTTGGGTCTTCACTCTGCGAGCCTTGATTTGGCGGCGATGTTGAAGGACACGTGGAGTAACGAGGCGTTGAATCTTGGGAGCAATTGAGCGAGTCTTTCCTAAAAGAAAACTGATTAGTCGGAAGTTTTACTTCATTTCAAACACAAATTCCACATTATAAAAATTCCTTTAAACTAAATAACAAACCCACCATTTTTAAGAACTTTGTCGTGGCGAATAACATATTTGCGAACATCGTCTTCTTTGTCAAGGTTGAAGAGCTTTCTGATCTTGGTGGCCCTCTTTGGTCCTTTCACACGTGGAATGACGGTGTCGGTGAGTCCCTCGATATCTTGCTCACCTAAATGTACAAATTCATTGATGAAAGGATGGAAAAGATTCAAGAATTTATAAAAATATTAGTACAAGTAGCAAGGAAGAAGTGCTGGTCGATTACCTTTCCATTCGTAAGGACTTAGAGAAAGAGCGACAACTATTCACCTTTCTTGACGACGACAAGGTTGAGGATGGAGAGGTTCTGGTCAACGATGCATCCACGGACCGATTTTCTCTTGCGCTCTCCAGTCCGGCGTTGGCGGTAGCACTTCTGGCCCTTCTTGAGGAGAAGTCGAACACGCCCGTTGGTGAGAACTCCTTGCATCATTGGGAATCCTTGTTTGTCATTTCCTCCCGAGATGCGGACAACGTAGCCCTAAATTCAAATGCTATCCAAAAGCAGTTTCATCAAGTGTTCAACATGATTATAACATAATTTATCCGCGTACTTTCCTTTCTTAAAGCTATCAATGCCATACCGATACCAATTTTTACTTAAACGCTCCTTAGCTTGTTGCTCTTTTAAAAAAGGGCAATCTTTTATATTTGCTGGAATAAATTTTCCTTCATTCTATGCTCAATACAAAATTAAAAAAATAATGCCTCAAATTAAATAAATAAAAGTTGCACGCCTTGCACGAAATTGTGCAATCCTGGTTCAAATTTTAATCAACACTTTTAAACCTAAGTATGCCATAGTTTACAAAACATTTTTAAAAATACCTTCCACTCGTCTCCCAAAGCGTCAGCCTCAACTTCTTGCGCCATGCGCTTCTCGTAGAATGGCCGGATTTTCTTCTCATCCTCGATGTCGATCACTTTATTTTGGCCGGTGGCCGGATATGAAACCAATAGCTTCATCTTCGCAGATGTAGCTTAGAGAACCCTGGAAAACAAAAGTAAAATTATCAACCTCTTGAAATGACCAAAACATAAGAAAGAAAAAAGAAGACTGGTGAAATTCTCTCGCAAATTTTTAAACGTGTTGAGGCGAAAAGTACTGTTTTCGCCGCAGGATCTTTATCGGTCGTCAACTTTTGGCTGTTTGCCAACTAAATACTCTAAGCACCCTTAAAAGGACGGATGCTCTTTTTAGCCAATACAAAGCAACAAAAGTATCCGCAAAGTTTTTGTCTATTGAAGTTTGACCAGCGTACGTTACTCTAGTGCTCCATCTGATCACAATTTTCTATTTCTGATAAACAATTTCATTTTTGAAAGCATTGCAAAACTTGTTTCAAGAAAAAACGCGTTCAGATATATGGCATGTGCCCATCTACACAATGTCAGTATAGCTCAAGTGAATCTTGAGCAGCTTAAAATAAGCATTGATGATTCGAGGAGAAATCGCACGACAACACGGCGCCTAACCAATAATAGGAGTCGCGATGAAGATCACGGGTCAGTGAAAAAGAAATGAATAAAAAATGGCCTTCGGCCTTTACTTTGCGCCAAATTTTCTGAGCAACTAGCCATAAATTTCTAAGTAGGCCAATCTTTATGATTTTGATGTTATTTTCTTGCACCTATTGAGATCTATACAACGACACCAAAGCTATAAAGATTGATCCACTTAGAAGAAAGTTATGGGTTAAAGCTAAAGTTATGGCGAGTTGCGGAAAAAATTTGGCACAAAGTAGCCACCGCCCTAACATCTAGCCGTTTAGATACCAATTGTTTATTATCAGAAAAGCTAAAAACCAGAGTTTTGCTTGCTAAAACATGTTACATAAAATATAAAACAACAAAATGTTAAGAAAAACACAGCCTCTAAGGCATCTATGGCTTTTGCTGAAAAAGTAGTAGATCAAGTAGATCTGAACTAGTACAAGAAAATGACATCAAAATCATAAAGATTGGCCTACTTAGAAGAAAGTTATGGCGAGTTGTACAAAAAATTTGGCGCAAAGTAGCCCGGCGCGAAAAAAGGGAACTGGTCAAAACAAAAAAATAATGCGTTTGCGGTTAAGTTTATTTGTGTTTCTTATTTTTATTGGATGTAGAAAATAAATTAGCTATCTGCTCAATTTTTGGAGCTGTTTAGAACAAATCTGTGATGAGAAAATGCCAAAAGATTTCAAAAAGAGGTTAACTGAGCTTTTCTCGACACCAATTCTGTTTTAAGTGATCCCAAAGTATACAGAATGTAGATAATTTTATCCTGGATCTAATAAGAATAAGAAACACGTAGAAACTTAAGCGCAGAGAGGCTATTTTTGGCATGACGTTTTGATTAGCCGTTTTGATTAGCTCCCCGAAAAAATGATTGTTTGCGCAATTTCGCCGATTTTCCACGGTTTAGAAAATGGCGCAGATTTGAGCTACGGTATAAATGTGAATGAGTGCAAAATCGAAAACGAAAATACAGTCAATAATTACTTTTTGTGTTTTTTGCGCTCGTTTTTGTTAAGTTATGTTACTTTTTTTGTTAGAATGATGATTATTTGTTAAATTTTAGTGATCACCGATGGAATTGCGTTGCTTGTGGAGCGGGTGCGCATCCGTGGATGTGCCTCTCGTGTGGTCTCATCCATTGCAGTCGATCGGAGAACCGCGACGCGCTTCGTCACTACGAACTGTATCGAAATCACTCCGTAAGAAATTGATGGCAACTTTGTTGACAACATTGTTGACGACATTGTTGACAACTTTGTTGACAACATTGTTGACAACTATAAAGCACAAATTACAATTACAATTTCTTTAGTTGATCAATGGACAGGTGAAGACGATGGACAGAGTGAACCATTGCATTGCGATGAGCTGCAATGATACCAGCGTGTTTTGGTGAGAGATTTCAAGAGCAAAAGTAAATTTGCATATCAGCCAAGTTATTGTCAGATGAAAATCCCCGACAAATGAATATCATAGTAGTTTTTTTCACCCTAATCCATTTTCTATACACTAACGTTGATTTTATTGCGATTCTAGTGCTTTTCAAACAGCCGAGGTTAATTCTAAGCTTCTCATACAAGTAGAATTTTTATTTATTCAGCTAAATTTTTAAATTTTGCTGCAAAAAAATTGGTACCAAAATTTTTTTGAGCAATTTTGCTTTTGTGAGTTTGATCTTCATCTTTCACAAAAATCTTTTGCACTAAACTTTTAAAAAAAACGAGCAGCTGGCTCTTTTGAAAAGCACAAGCATCGCAATAAAATCTTTCACAGTGATTGTCTCAAAAATTCATGCATATATTTAGATTCCCTAGACTCTTAGCAACATTTTGGTACGTTACTCATGAGATTTGGGACTAATGTCGAGGAGTAACACGCGTTTAAGCACGCGACAATACTTATTAGCCCTGTAAATGCCGTACTCCAAGCTTTGATATCTAAATACCGTATCTAAATATCTAAATCTAGGCTTTATTATCTAAATACTGTACTCAAAGCTTTGTATCTATAAATCTAAAGCCTTCAGTGCTGTCTTTTGACATACAACATCTTATAAAATATCTTAAAACGGTACAAAGACGTTTAAAGACGTTTTATAGGTACAAAATACGTTTAAAGAGTGTTTAAAGACGTTTAAAGAGCGTTTAAAGACGTTTAAAGAGCGTTTAAAGACGTTTAAAGACGTTTAAAGACATGATATTACGATAAATAAGCTAAAGCAAAAGATATTCACCTAACAAAGCTTCAACTTTTAAAGAGCCAACTTTTAAAACAATAATTTTCAAACGAGTAACTTTAAGTTATGAATGCGATGATTTCATTGGCGATGACACAGATGACAACAAGATCCATTCAGTCCGCAAATCGCTGCAACTCTTCAACAAGGCTCGGTTGGAAACAAAAGATAAACAAACATAAACAACATAAACAAAAAGTTCAGATCAGCTGATCATTTGTATTCGTCGATTGCCTATGAATCGTATCTCGAGGATGATTCGGATTCACCTGCAGATGAAGGAACTGAAGAAGAGGATATCAGTCAATCAATCGTCATCCCACCGCAACCATCGTACGTATAGATAGCTTGAACTTGTGCTTTGGTGCTAACTCGTCAATTCAAACTTTCTATCGTACTGAATTCTTCATTTTCTTGCAACAACGATAGAAAATGAGAAATTGTGAGTGCACTAGGTGCATGAAATGTGAGCAATTTCAATCAAATCAAAGCGCAATTTCAATCAAATCGCTTAGAATATTTGTGGTCGATGAGGAGAGTGGTTCAGTGCCCGAAGATGAGGTATCGATCGGGAGTCTATCGTTGAAAAATAGTGCTCAGACTGTAAGTGTTTAATGTCAAATTTCAGCTTTGATCAATTACCATTCAGCTTCCAATTCTCCACGTTTCTGCATCGGCTCCGACACTCGGAAAAGAAAGTGTTGTGAAGGGTGGACACCTATTGAGGGCAAGGAAACGAAAGGTTGGGTTTATAATGGAAAGGCGGTGTACTGTACGTTGTAAGGAAGGGTACTGTAGGCTCTAAGGGTACTGTAGGCTCTATGGGTACTGTAGGCTCTATGGGTACTGTAGGCTCTATGGGTACTGTAGGCTCTATGGGTACTGTAGGCTCTAAGGGTACTGTAGGCTCTAAGGGTACTGTAGGCTCTATGGGTACTGTAGGCTCTATGGGTACTGTAGGCTCTATGGGTACTGTAGGCTCTAAGGGTACTGTAGGCTCTAAGGGTACTGTAGGCTCTATGGGTACTGTAGGCTCTATGGGTACTGTAGGCTCTATGGGTACTGTAGGCTCTAAGGGTACTGTAGGCTCTAAGGGTACTGTAGGCTCTAAGGGTACTGTAGGCTCTAAGGGTACTGTAGGCTCTAAGGGTACTGTAGGCTCTAAGGGTACTGTAGGCTCTAAGGGTACTGTAGGCTCTAAGGGTACTGTAGGCTCTAAGGGTACTGTAGGCTCTAAGGGTACTGTAGGCTCTAAGGGTACTGTAGGCTCTAAGGGTACTGTAGGCTCTAAGGGTACTGTAGGCTCTAAGGGTACTGTAGGCTCTATGGGTACTGTAGGCTCTATGGGTACTGTAGGCTCTATGGGTACTGTAGGCTCTAAGGGTACTGTAGGCTCTAAGGGTACTGTAGGCTCTAAGGGTACTGTAGGCTCTATGGGTACTGTAGGCTCTAAGGGTACTGTAGGCTCTAAGGGTACTGTAGGCTCTAAGGGTACTGTAGGCTCTAAGGGTACTGTAGGCTCTAAGGGTACTGTAGGCTCTAAGGGTACTGTAGGCTCTAAGGGTACTGTAGGCTCTAAGGGTACTGTAGGCTCTAAGGGTACTGTAGGCTCTAAGGGTACTGTAGGCTCTAAGGGTACTGTAGGCTCTAAGGGTACTGTAGGCTCTAAGGGTACTGTAGGCTCTAAGGGTACTGTAGGCTCTATGGGTACTGTAGGCTCTATGGGTACTGTAGGCTCTATGGGTACTGTAGGCTCTAAGGGTACTGTAGGCTCTATGGGTATTGTAGGGTCTATGGGTACTGTAAGCTACTGTGAGGGTACTGCGTCTAAGGGTACCGCAAGCTCTAAGGGTCTATGTGTATTGTAAGCTTTGGGTACTGTAAGCTGTAAGGGCTGTGGAAGGGTACTGTGTCTAAGGGTCTAAGGGTACTGTAAGCTTTGGAGTACTGTAAGCGTGACTCGACTACCATACCCCTCTCCCAATTAGCCGATTTTACAATAACCCTAACAGTTGGTACCTTGATTACTTTAGATTAGGTAACCAAAGATCTATGGAGATCAAGATCAAGATCAATGGAGATCTATGGAGATCAAGCATAGACACGCCTGGGTACAGTAGCTGAGGCATGTTTTAAAGCAATTCGGAGTTCGAAAAAGTTCCCAAGCCCTATGCTTTGTGTACAACAGTATACCTTAGTGTACAACAGTATACCTTTGTGTACAACAGTATTCAGATGAAATTTTCAACTATAACAATATAATTTGCAGATATCTCCCGAGAAAAAAGAGCTCCCAACGCCGGTAGCCTTCGATCTTGAACAAGAGCCGGTAGTGGTCGATCGTCGACGGGGTTTGGCAAATCTAGGCAACACTTGCTTTATGAACTCCGTGCTACAAGCATTAACGTAAGTAAAATAGATATTTATTGACACAAAGAATGTAAATGAACGAATAATCTAGCGGGATTGAACCCTTGACCATGACTAATGCTTCCGATTAAGATACAGAGCTCTTAGCCAGTCGACTATGGCAGCTGGTCGTCTCTTAGCCAGTCGGCCATGGCTTCGATTAAAATATTGTTTTAAGATCGGTGGACTGGTTTCGCGAGTTCATGGTGGCATTGCCTTTATTGGAAGCGGATAGTGTTGAGACACCGGATTCACGAGCGAAGAGGCCATTCTATTGCACACGGCGAGCATCAGCTCAATTATTGAATGATGACGATAATAAGAAAAGCTTGACACCGTTAGTGATTCTCTTTTCTATATGAAAAATATATTAAATGTGGTCACTTGGTGACTGCGCGACTCGCGCCGAAGACAGCTTGAGGCGGGGAGTTTGGCTGGGGCGGTACATCTGTCAAATCGTAACGCAGATGTCCTAAGGCTGGCTCAGAGAGGACAGGAAACCTCTCGTAGAGTAAAAGGGCAAAAGCCAACTTGATCTTGATTTTCAGTACGAATACAGACCGCGAAAGGGTGGCCTATCGATCCTTTTGAAAAAGAAAGTTTCTTGCAAGAGGTGTCAGAAAAGTTACCACAGGGATAACTGGCTTGTGGCAGCCAAGCGTCTGTATATCCGCGCCAAGTGTCTGTATATCCGCGCCAAGTGTCTGTATGTCCGCGCGTTTGTGCCTTTTAAGCACAAAGTACTATCTAGAAAGTCATTCTTTGGACTTCTTTGTTCTAGAAAGTCGTTCTTTGGACTCAATTCTGTAAACCATACTGTAATACTTATTGCTTTTAGAATCTTAGAATTTAGGATCATTTTAGAATCTTTTAGAATCTTTGCTGAAGTTCTCCGCCAAACGATTCACGAGATTTTCACCAATAAAAGCTCATCCGTGCAACCGGCCGCTTTTTTTCAAGAAGTCTGGAGATTAAATCCGAGATTTAGGTACAAAAATTTTAGCTGAATATCATTTAACTAAATAGCTAAATAAGTGAATATCCTTTTCATCTAACTTCTCAATTTTAGAGGCTTTCAACAACAGGATTCGCATGAGTTTTTGCGAATGATGCTGGATCGAGTGCATAGCGATTTAAGGAAATGTCGTATACCGGAAGATGTGGAGAAAAGGTGGAAATGAAATTGAAGCTGAAAATGAAACTGAAATTGAAAATGAAACCAATACATTACCGTAATCTTGGCGAGCTTTTGAGACAATCGGCTTATGGTGGCAATCAGCAGAAAAACCCTAAAAAGCTGATGGTTTGAAGTGGTTTCTCACGTCGCCGTGGTGCAGTCGGGAACAGGCTTTTCTATAGGCCTGACAACGCGGGTTCGACCCCTCTTACTTCCACTCGATTTCAAATTTTGAAGTTTTTATTTTAAATGACACAACCACAAAATATTTTAAGGTTTTCTAAGAAGTTTTAGCTTTATTGGTCAAAACACGGCCGAGAAAAAGTCCGTACAGACAGATAGATAGATAGACAGATAGATAGATAGACAGATAGATAGACAAATAGATAGACAGATAGACGGACAGACAGACAGATAGGCAGACAGATAGACGGACAGACAGGCAGATAGACAGATAGATAGACAGACAAACACACACTGCTCTTTTATATCTTAAGTCAACTGGAGTACGGTAGCTTTCTGAATTGGTTACAGTTTTTGTTTAGACAATTCTTGGATTACGGTAGTTTTCTTGTTCTCAGACATCGTTTTCAAATGCCATTCAATTAGCTGAATATCTTTATTGACGTAATTTAGGGTATCGCTTTCGCTAAGTCATTTTTCATTGTTCTTTTCTTCTTTACAACTTTCGAGTTCAAACGTTTAATGCGAAATTTTTAAGCGCTTTAGTGATTTTTGCTATTTTGATCTTTATTTTTCCCTAATTAGACCTTTATTTTAAACCAAAACTGACTCTTTTATAGAATTTTTAAACTTTAGAATTACGATAGGTTTTCCTGAGAGCTTTACCTGAGAGCATTTCCTAAGAGCTTTTCCTTTTCATTGCTTTGATTTCCTTGAGATAACTGGATTGCTGTAGTCTTTCCCAGACAGCTGGATTATTTTAACTTTTCTAATCCAGACAGCTGGATTACTGTAAAGAGTTATAGCTAACTTTTTAGCGAACGAAATCAATATTAAATCAAATATTAAAACAAACGAATTTCAGATTCGCTCGTTCTTGTGGCAATTCAAGTATGGGAGCGACAGAGTCGGCGATCTCGCGTCTTTTTGAGGGAGCTTTGTTGAGTCAAGTGATCTGTTTGACGTGTCGATCAGCTAGCAATATTCAGGATCCATTTCTCGGTGAGATGAAAGGCTTGACTCTTCAAAAGTTTTATCTAGATCTATCCCTCGAAATGCCATCACCTTTAAATCGATCACAATTCGTTTCACTCGCCGATTGTATCAAGCAATTTTTCGCCAAAGAAGAATTGGATCATTGTGAACAGTACATGTGCGCAAAGTGAGTGCCAAGATAAAATCAAGCTTTAAATGAATCTAATTGAATAGCTGAATATCTTTAAATCTATTTGACTAACTGAATATCTTTAAATCTATTTGACTAACTTAGATGTGGCGAGCGACGACCGTCAACAAAGCAACTCTTCTTGAAGTCACTGCCAAACGTATGCACTAATATTTAAACTAAATATCATTAAATATTGAGTTAATTTTCAGGTCCTATGTCTACATCTAAAGCGTTTCCGTTGGGGAACTCATCGGGGAAAGCTCGACTATATGGTCGATTTTCCTCTTGATGGCCTTGATTTGACGCCTTATCTAGCACCCAGTGCTGTGAGTTGTAAATCGTAACTAACTATAATAAATAATAATCATAACCTATTTCCTACACTAATCTGATCCACAAAGAGTCCTTACAAGAACCTTACAAGTCCTTACAAAAGGTGGAAACTTAAGAATAGAATTTAAGACTTTCAAAATGAGTTCTATCCTCTTGTTCACTTTTTCACGGGCTTTTCCACTTTTAGTTTTAGAAAGTATAGAGAGTATTTTTTTTGTATAGAGAGAGTTTCTGATTTATATCATATTCTCTTTCCTTAAAGGATCTAGATCCTTTGAAGCTCTCAGATCTTTAAAGGATCTTGTTAAAGATTGTTAAAGATTGTTAAAGATCGTTAAAGATCGTTATGGATTGTTAAAGATCTTTAAATATCGTTAAAGCTTTCAAGAGCTCGTTTTGAAATTCCACCTTAAGTTGGCGACCTTTCCTAGTTAGGTTTGTCTGGTGATTGGGCTCCCATTGTCTGGACCAGTTCAAAACTGTTTCAGTTCCAACCAAATTTCAGGTCAAGCCTAGAACTTGGTGTCAGCTTGATCCTTGGCTTTTGGTTTTTAGAAATAACTAAGATTATTGGTCTTAAGATTTGTAAGAGTCTGACTTGACTTACGGTCCAGATCATTGGCTTACAAGACTCCTGGCTTGAGTACAAGACTCCTGGCTTGAGTACAAGACTCCTGGCTTGAGTACAAGACTCCTGGCTTGAGTACAAGACTCCTGGCTTGAGTACAAGGCTCTTGGCTTGAGGACAAGACTCCTTGCTTGAGCCTGGTACATTTAGATACAGTAATTTGTATTCAGATACAAATTGTATTCAGATCCAAATTGTATTCAGATACAAATTGTATTCAAATTGTAGTTATATATTTGTATTTAGATTCAGATAGCTTATATATTAATCAAATCTAAATAAACTTTCCTTAGGGTCGTGCCCAATCGCATCTCTACACTCTTTGCAGTATCATTGTGCACCAGGGTTCTGGGTAAGTTTTGAATCAAATAGAAAAATTTGACTCTTGTCGGGTTTCCGGGTATTTTGAATGAGTGGCCAGGCTTTGAAGGCCTATAACTTTATCCAGAGATAGTATTATGCCTAACTTTTTATATCATTATATAGAAGAGATTTCAAGCTTCCAAATGACACCAAATAAAGCTTGATTAGATTTTTTATTTCCATAAAAATCATGACGACACAGCACCCGAGTTGGATCGACCTCGTTTGCCTAGAGTTGGCTTTGATTTTCTTGGATTGAATTATCCAATCAAACTGTATTTGGTATTATTTGGAAGCTTGAAATCTCTTCTATACAATGATATAAAAAGTTAGGCATAATATTATTTCTAGACAAAGTTATGGGCTTTCAAAGTTGGACGGCTCATTCAAGCCTAGACTTGAAATCCAGAGCCTTTCTGGACTGGATTTTTCTGGACTGAATTATCTAATCAAGCTTTATTTGGTGTCATTTGGAAGCTTGAAATCTCTTCTATACAATGATATAAAAAGTTAGGCATAATATTATCTCTAGACAAAGTTATAGGCCTTCAAAGCAGTTATAGGCCTTCAAAGCACTCATTCAAAATACCTGGAAACTCGATAAGAGCCAAAAACTTCATAAGTCATTACTCTTTGAATTTGCATTTAAATTAGCATTAAATATAAAATAAATGTAAGACTGAAATAAAGTTTTCAACGAGTCATTGCCGAGCATTCCTTGCTCTTTCATCCTTTTACGTGAAACCCTAAACCAAGAGAGAGAAGTAGAGATCTCTCTACTTCCGGAAGAAGTAGAGAGATCTTAGAAAAAGCTAAACTTATAGCTAAAGCTTTATTATTTATTCTATTTTTTTACTTATTTAGTGTCTCGTCCGGTCATTATACGACTTATGGTCTATCAGGCGGTACTTGGTGGCATTTCAATGACGATCGCGTTAAACCCACCACTGATACGACTGTGCTCCGGCAAAAAGCCTATTTACTTTTCTATATGAAGCAGCAAAAATGAGACTGAATATCTATCTAACTGTCAAATTTCAGTATTATAATTTTTCATGCAAAGGTAGTGGAGGAATACGGCTTTAGAATAGAAGGCTTTAGGATCTTTAGAAAAGCGTTAGGATCTTTAGAAAGGCTTTAGAATCTTTAGAAAGGCTTTAGGATCTTTAGAAAGGCTTTAGAATCTTTAGAAAGGCTTTAGAGAATCAGCTGGATAACATTTTCTATTTATTTCTATATCTAGGCCTGGTCAAATCTATATCTAATAGTCTACAGTAAGCTCAAGTAGATCCTAATCTTTAAAAAACAATTTATGTTTACTGTATCTCTATATCTAGGCCTAGGTTACAGTAAAGGTATCTACCGTATTTCTTCGAATAGAAGACCGGGTAAAGAGTATCATTGCGTACTCCTGCGTAGCAACCCTTTTTAAAATTTCTTTTCTGCATAAAAGCTTTCAATGAAGTGCTATAGGGCTGGAAAATGACTCAAAAATACCACATGAGCGAACAGATTTTTGACAGAACAGAACAGCCATTTTCCAGCTCTATAGCACTTGATTGAAAGCTTTTATGCAGAAAAGAAATTTTAAAAAGGGTTGCTACGCAGGAGTACGCAATGATACTCTTTCCCGGTCTTCTATTCGAAGAAATACGGTATATCTAATACAGTAAGCTTAAATAGACCTTGTACAAGTTTTTAGCAGTCATTTCAGCACTATCTAGTACCTAAAAAGTATATGATACGTATTACAGTAATTACAGTACCCTTGTACAGTACTTGTAGTACCTACAAAGCCTAATAGTACAATAGATGGCCTAATCGGCTACAAGGCCTAATGGCTTGGACTGTACGACTGAATTATTGAAATGCTCTCAAGAAATGCGTTTTCTAAAACGTATCAGCTTTCGAAAACCACCGTAATCCGTGTTACAAAGGAAAAATTACGGTAGTCTTCGAAAGTTGACACGTTTTAGGAAACGGATCACTTGGCAAGAACCCTGCTACCTTTGTCAATCTTATTTTTTCTTTTCAACTATACACTAAGGGTTCATTCTGCTCTATTCTCTTCATTTTTTTTGTCCAATTTATAGCTGATCTCACCAATTAACGATTTTTTTTTTCAAAAATATCTTCTCTTCTTTACTACGTTGACGAGTCTTTGTGAATACTTTCCCCTTTTTTCTTTTTCTCTTTTGTTAAACTCTTGTGGGTGTCTCATTTCATGCGGCTAGATGAAGAGTCGTAGAATTTGTGTCGTAGAATTGTTTATTGATAAAGTTAGGGCTAAAGGATGACTTTAAAAGCTGCTCTTTCTACCAAGTCGCTTCTATTTTGCACTGAATCTTATAAGCTCTTATCTTCGTAAGCTGGTGTTATGTTGATTTCTAAAAACTGTCCCTTTCATGCACTAAACTTTATCAATCAGCAAGTCCTATCTAATCTTTATCCCATCCCTCCAATTTTCTGATGACTCATTGATTACGAGCTTCGAAACGCTCAACGTTCTTTCCCCATCTTTCTATTATTCTCGTGGTCAAATGTGCAACAATTTGCTGAAAATAAACATTTTTTTCAAATTATATAGCTTTCTGATGGATGGTCGTACCATTTTTAATCTCTCATGTTTTTTATTTGATCGAATTTCAATAGAATGACTAGTTTTTTTAAAAAAAAGGAGTACTTTCGCATTTTTTTGACTTTTGCTAATTTTAAACCAAAACCGAAGCTTCTACACAATTTTTACGGAAACTTTAGAAAAAATTGAACCTTGATTGGCTCAAATGCTTGATTTGAGTAAATTCAAGCAGATTTGAGCCAAATCAAGCAGATTGCGATACTTTTGCTGTCCCATTTTTCAAAGTTTATTTAAGTTTTGAATTTTTGTATCGATTCTTTTGTTTTCAGCCCACCTACGACTATTGTGTGATGGCCATTGCCGCATAGAATGTCGTTCCAGTTTAAATGGCCGTGGCAATATGATTTTCCACCTTTCTTTACGTAAGCTTTCTATTTTTTCGAGCAGCATACAGTTTTATTTTTTAGATTGCAACCCGTTTTGATCACTCGTGAGAAACAGCTTGAAGCTTGGGCTAGATTGGTAAACTTTCTTGAAATCTTTATGTAATGATTTTGCTTCAGGTGATTGATTACGCTCAGCACAACAAACTTTTCACTCTTGACATCAAGGAGGCTGAGCAGGGAGAACTCTTCCACAACACAAAGCTAAACAGTTGGTTTCGGTTTATTGTTTTAGAAAATGTGTTCTTTAGGAAGGCTATCACCAGAAGGAGTGAAAGCAGTCTTCGAATATCTCGAACAGAAGAGTAAGCCTTGTTTACATTCTACAATTTTCGTTGTTTAGAGCATTTGGAGTGGATCGATACTGACCACTCTCGTTGTCACATCTATTGGAGAACACCAGAAGAGTGGGGTGCATTGATCTTTGAGTGAGTTTTAAAGTTTCTAATCAATCGCAATATTTGTTCAGGTGGGCTCAAAGCAACGGACTTGCCAATCAAAGTTGTACTTTGTTTGAAATTGCACACGGTGACGATACTGTGGCTGAATGTAAGCTTTTGAAGTAGTGTGTTGTTAACTTTTTCATTTTAGCATTCCACGGTCTTGACAAAGAAGTGCTTCTAAAAGCTTTGCGTAGTTTGGAGGTTCAGCGGCGAGCTCAACTTTATAACATAGGCACCGATTACGAAGGAGTCAAATTCTTGTCTGCATAGTAAGCTATATTCACTTTCTAAGAAATCTTGAAATTTAGATGTTATCAAAGTCGCTTTCTCTGGCTCAGTGCAGCACAGACTCTGTTGATAGTGCTATTTTGGCCGAAATAAGTAAGCGGTTCACTGTTTTAGGTTTGATTGTTATGATTTTTAGACGGCCCTTCATTTTTTCGCTACGCTGATCGTATTGATGAGGGCGATACTGTAATTGTTTATGTTTCTTTTGGTAACACTTATCCTGTTGTTGTGAAGGTTTGTTTTGTTGTTTTTACTTTTAAAAAATGATGTTTAGAGGGGAATTACGCTAAATATGAAGTATGGTGCTTTGCGTCACGAATTTATCATTGGAAAGCCGTATGGTTCTGCTTGGCAACTTTTAAATATTGGATTTTAGTTGGGGCTCTCGTGTTTCGGCTACCGCTGGCTATGTTTGGCTTCTACGGCCATCGTCCGAATTGTGGACTCGCTCTCTTGCAAAGCGCACTCAAATTATTTACACACCGGATATTGGAATGATTTTACAACTTCTTGACATCAAACCGGGTTTGTATTTTGATTGCAAAATCGCTAATGCTAGTTTTTAGGGAGTGTAATTTGTGAGTCGGGCACAGGCAGTGGCAGTTTGACTCATGCGCTTGGAATGGCCGTTTATCCAACTGGACACATTTACACTCATGACATTGAAGAGAGCCGTATTCGCAAAATTGAGCAAGAGTTTAAGGTTGGTGAAACGTTTAAGGTTAAACTTTAAATTCCCAGGAACATGGCCTTTCTTCTATCATGACGGCCGTTGTTCAAAATGTTTGCGAAGAGGGCTTCTTTGTGTCGAATGCGTGTGATGGAGTGTTTCTTGATGTTCCAGCACCCTGGGAAGCGGTAAGTTTCATTTTAGAGATATTCAAAAAATTTCTTTAGATTCCTTTTGCTGTGCAAGCTATTTCACGCACTCGTGGCGGTCGTTTAGTGAGCTTCAGTCCATGCATTGAACAAGTAAATTTACTTTTTCTCCACTGCAACAAGACTTGCTTAGGTTCAACAAACTTGCAAGGCTATGCGAGCCGAAGGTTTTGTTCTGATCGAAACTGTGGAAATTGTTCCCAAGTAGGCAGAAATCTAGAGTTTTTTAAACTATGTCATGTTTAGGTCATACAAGGTAACTGAGTTCCACCAGCAATCTTTGGTCGACTTTGATAAGAATGGGGATATGGGTTCAGCTCCCTATTTGAAAGATCGTGCACGCAAGAGAAAGGTTTTTTATTTGGAGGTTCTACATTTTCATTTATAATATTCCTTTAGTTGGAAGCTTCTGCCTCATCTGCAACCTCTGAAGACTCATCGCTTTGCGCCTCAATCACATCGTTGACCGCCCAAGTCTTCCCTGCCAACCAGCCAACTCACACTTCATATATCACTCACGCCACAATGCTTCCGCGTCTCGAGAAGCCCGATTCAGTCGTTTAGCTTTATCAGGTGCATTTATAGTCTCTCGTTATAGTCATTGATTATTTTTTTTTCTTGCCCTTCAATAATCATCTCATCATGATATTTTCCAGCATTAATTTCTATTTTCAATGCTCAACATCCTTTATTTTATGGCCATACACAAATTGTCTTCAAGTGTCTCCTTTTTTGCGCTTAAGCCCAGTCGAATAAGTGTGTTCCAATCTATATGCTAGTTTTTTTTATGTTTCACAAATAAACTTTTATAAATTAAAACCAAGTACACTCGACAGTTTAAATTCGTTTTCGGTACTGTAGGAGAAGAGCGTGGTCCCCCGGATCGTGATCAGCTGTTGGTTGCGGGAAAGATGGCGAGAGTGCAGGACGGGCAAGGGGCTCTTCAACGCGTAGACACGCATAGGGTTGAGGGCTCCCCAGAGAGTGACAAAGAAAGGAAAGGGGAAAAGACGCGGCGATCGATCGCATTGTAGCGGAGAAGAGAGAGCGGGTGGGGTAGGGGACGAGCCGCCGTCTCGTGGCTGCCCGCCCCTTTTGCTGCTCGCACTCGCCCAGCTCTAGACGTCCGATCCGCGGCGCTCTTCAACCACCCCGCAATTGATCTGTCTATATTCTCCCGCTAATCAATGCAGCTCGGCGAGATCGCTGAGCGCTTGTTAGAAGAGGTGCTGCTCAACGAGGAGCCCGGTCCGTCCACCCGGATCTACTCGATCAACAGCGCTGTACCACATCGTGAGCTTATCAGCGATGATGAGGATGAGATTGATCACCGACCTGCACATCATGTGCCCCGAGTCACCGCGCAAGATGTGATCAACGAGGCAACGGTTGGTTTTGATGAGATGTGTTTTTTTTCTTTTCTATTTTTGTGTGTTCCGAACGACGCCGTGGGTCTAGCTATATGATAACGATATTGTGTTGGGTTTGATTCTTTTTTTTTTTTGGCAAATTGATTCAAAATCTAGATTAAATTTGAAAAAATGGCTACTTATATGACTCTGGGCACAAAATTCAAATATGCAACTTTTTTCTAGAAAGGTTTAAATACGAATTTGAATTTACGGTTTTCATTTGCTCAACTCAAAGAAAATTTGCATTTGTAAATAAATTTGTATAAATCCATGCCCTGGAGAGTCACAAAATGCATTAATTTTTGGTGACTAAAGCTTTCCGCAAAAAATCGATTGTGCCAAATCGATTGCCCTCAATTTGCCAAAAAAAAAGAAAAAATCGATAACGTGCCTTAAACTGCCTTAAACTAATCCGATCTCACCGAAATCATGTGGCATGTGCACAAAGCAGTGACTTTTTGAGATGAAATTTCTTTTTTTTTTGTTTTTTCTTTTTTGATGAAGGCGTCGTTCGTAACCGTGTCCCACTTTTTCGCCGACGATACTTGGGGGAGTTGTAAGCCGAAATTTGCATATCAGAACTGATTTCAATGTTGAAAATTTCAATTCAACAGCTGCAGCATTAATGCTGGGCAAATTTTTGAAGCTCTGATCGCTTGGTTGACTAGCAGTTAATAGATTAGGACTAGTTATACCCAAAATTTGCATATGAATTTTGGATTTAGTTGAGGCTATAAGCAAAAGCTATAAGCAAAACTATAAGCAAAAGCTATAAGCAAAACGATAAGCAAAAGCTATAGCAAAACTATAAGCAAAAGCTATAAGCAAAACTATAAGCAAAAGCTATAAGCAAAACTATAAGCAAAATTTAGCAATTTCCTCAATTTGCCACTGTATACCTTAATCTAGACTGAATACCGTAATCCAGACCGTCTAGACTGAATACCCTATTCTAAGCTGAATGCCCTAATCTAGACAAATACCGTAATCCAGCGTAATTGATTTAAATCTCGATTAAATTTCGGACAATAGCTTTTTTTTTTGGCAGTGACATAATCGCTGGGAGAACTTCAAATTTACACAGATGAAATTAGGATTTAATTTAAACTAAGCTTGGTTGGTATGCAAATTTTAGCAATAATTCCCCCGGTACCCTTTGGCAATTTTCTCTCTAATTTTTGTTCCCCTAGGCCGTTTTTCCCTAGTGGGCTCTACCTCTTTTGGCCGCCGCACACACACAAAAAAAACGCTCTTCTCTAATGCGAGAATTGTCCTTTTTTTTAAGTTTTGCAAGCAACAATCGGGTTTTTTTGGACATTTGCGAGTTTTTAGTGGTGGTGGAATGTGTGACAGTCATTCTATCAGTTTTATTTTAACGAGATGTGGTTGAACGGACTGGAGACGAGCTTGGGAAATCGGGGGATTGGGTTGGCTGAGCCTCAGCGGCTCGTACGATAATCTTTGTAGGATTTTGGTACTACGTTTAGATTGATTACCGTAGTTAATCCTGGGGGGTAATCCTGGCACGGGTTTGGATAGGCTTTAGTCTGACTAGACTCTGACTAGTAATAGCACTTGTAGAACTATAATTTGACATGTAGAAAGCCATCGAACTAACTGACTTAAGAAAGTTGGCACTACAGCACAGTAATTCGGCCAATATTCAGCTCAGTATTAAGTATAGTAAGTATTCAGTTATCTGACAACCTAATTAGCTACAGTAAACCATGTTACCGTAATCCGTAGGTACTGGTTTAGGACACCGTACCCATTGTACTGGTTTAGGACACCGTACCCTAGCCAATACTGATTCGTTTCCTAAAACGTGTCCCTTTCTCTCAAACTACCGTAATATTGTCTCTATTTTTTATCAAATTTATCTACAAAATTGGAGACAAGTTTACGGTAGAAAGAAAGAGAAAGGGGACACGGTTTAGAAAGCACCTTTTTTTAAACTCAGCCAGTACCGTTCGCCACATCTCGTCAGCAAAAAAAAAAAGTTTGTGGCCCTTTTCCAATTCTAATGCCTCTAGAATGTGTAAATAGCAAGAATCTCTCATCACCCACAAAATCACCGAATGCTTCTAGCGTCCGTTTTTTACGTTTTTTTTACTCTCTTTCCGCCCATTTTGTGCTAACACTTATCCCAAAGTTTTCCTCTCTTTCTCTTTCTTTTGCAAGCAAGAATTAAAGCTATAGTTTCTTTTTTTTTTGTAGCTAACGATATTTAATTTTTTTTGTGCCCAAGCACCATTCCAGAAGCTTTCGGGATGCTTTTTTTCTCTAAAAAAAGCAACTATGCACTGCTAAATGGTCCAAGTTTTAGGCTTTAGTTCATTTCAGAAAAACATAAGAATCAATGGAAATGGAAAGTTGCGTAGTCATTGCTGAGATTTGCTGAGATAATCACTTTTCCATTGTTTCCATTGTTAATGACGTTTTTCTGAGATTTTGATCCAATTTTGCCATGATTGTCTAGCGGTTACTTGTTTGATTTTTGAGGTCTTTTGCACGCGGTGAAAGTTTTTTTAAAAAAAAAACGTTTGTTTAGCAGTTTTGTTGTTTAGCACAAGGCTGTAGTTGGTGTACTTTATGCTATGAAATCGATCAATGCTAATTCCCTGAACGAATGAAATTTTTGTGTCACGGCCTATCCACTCCCATTGGGGCTCAAGGTGAAAAGAGACGGTTTCCATTTTTCCATTTCTTTTTTTATTTTCCCTCTACCGACCCCCGTTCACTTTTTTTTTGGGGGGAAATCGATGGTTGAGGGAGATGATGATGGGAGAATTGGGAAAACGGGAAAAATTGGCGAAAGGAAAAGGGATACTGACGATGAGACGCCCAATTTCTCCCCTAGTTCTCAATCGATAGTTTTTTCGATTTAATGACCAAAATGTAAAAGAGAAACGTTTTTACATATATCCAATCTAAGATTAGCCTTTTTTTCTTCGTCAATTTAGCGCTACGATAATGACTTAAGATAGAGTTTAGTAAGAATAAGTAATAAGTAAGAATGTAATAAGTAATAAGTAAGAATGAAAGCTTAATCTTAAGCTTAATCTTAATCCAAACAACAATGAAATCTTTCATATAAATTGCGCTTTTACTATGTGACTAAATTTAGACATCAATCCGGGATTCTGGGGTTAAAAATTAAAGCCAAATGAGGTCGCTTAAAATTGTCGCTTAAAATTGAATACGATTGAAATACTATTGAAATACTATTGAAATACTATCGAAAATAAGCCCCCTTACCTATTTTTAGCCTAATAATCATATATATATATACCGTAAATACTGTAATAGTACCCCACCCCCATAATGACGGTGCGGAGCATCGCGTAGTCTAGCTTTGAACGAGTTTTTCTCGACACTGGTTTATGCTATAATGCTCGTTTAGATATCAAAAAATAGCTGAAATTCAGGGCAATTTTTTGATATCAAAAGACGGAGCATCACGTAGTCTAACTTTAAACGCATTTTTCTCGTCATCAGTTTATAATGACGGCCGGAGCATCGCGTAGTCTAGCTTTGAACGAGTTTTTCTCGACACTGGTTTATGCTACAATGCTCGTTTAGATATCAAAAAATAGCCCTGAATCTCAGCTATTTTTTGATACCAAAGACGCATTTTTTGAAAGTACGGGCGCTTTGAAAAACAATGAAATACTAAAAAATGACTACAAAAAAATGACGTTTACGGACTACGCGACTGTACGAGGGCGGTGGGGTACTATTACAGTATTTACGGTATATATCTATACCTAATAAACTATTTACCGAATCATAAGCTTTCACTCATCCACTTTCGCTCTCTTTTACGTTTCTCATATCGATCGAAAGTGAAAGATGAAAGAGGAAAATGAGAGAAAGAGGAAAAATTGTCGACAGAAAACTCGATAAGCACTGCACAAAAGTTTGTCCTTTCTATATTTCGATAGTCTTTTTTTTTTTTTTTGAGAATTTGTCCAATTGCTTGAGATTTATTTAAACGTACTGTTTTACCCATATCCATCACTATCGCTAGAGAATTGGGGAAACTCGTTTGGCGCCAAATTTTGCTTAAAGAGCTTTTTTTGAGTACTTTGGAATGCTTTTGAGTACCCTTGAGTACTCTTGAGTACCCTTGAATACTTTTGAGTACTCTTGAGTACTTTTGAGTACTTTTGAGTACTTTGGAATACTTTTGAGTACCCTTGAGTACTTTTGAGTACTCTTGAATACTTTTGAGTACTTTTGAGTACGTTTGAGTACTCTTGAGTACCCTTGAGTACTTTTGAGTACTTTTGAGTACTTTGGAATACTTTTGAGTACTTTTGAGTACTCTTGAGTACCCTTGAATACTTTTGAGTACTCTTGAGTACTTTTGAATACTTTTGAGTACTCTTGTGTACTTTTGAGTACTTTTAAATACTTTTGAGTACTTTTGAGTACTACTTACTCATTCTTTCAATTGTACTTTGCACTTGTAAACACACCATTTCTGGTGCACTGAAATCTTGATTTTTCTCAAGACAAGAAACCTTTTCAGCGAAAAGAATTCAGAAAAAAAATCGATTTAATTAAAAAATCGATTTGATTTGATTTAGCGAGAAAAATGAAGGATTCTGTGCGCTGGAAAAGGTGCGTTTACATGGGAGCACAAAGTAGGCTCAAATAACTGTTTAATAGAGTGAAATTAGAGTGAAATTTGTAGCCAAACGGAATCTCAAATCTCTATTGCTTCAAAAAAATTTTGCATGCATGCGCTGCGTTTTCTCGGATTTCATTTGGCTGTGTAAAAAGCGATAAACGTAAAACAAATGATGATTAACGGTTGCACAGAAATCGTCTTTTTTTATTCATTTTTCTAATGTTTCTTTATCTAATATTGATTATTAAGCTTTCAAAAATGCTTTCTAAGCTTTAAAAGCTTTCAAAAATGCTTCGTAAGCTTCAAAAGCTTTCAAAAGCTTTCAAAAATGCTTTCTAAG